AACAAGAACTTCTAAGCCAATATGGAATATTGGCCAGAATTTTTCTAAAATTACAGAATTGACTACAAGCTCAGGATTCTCTCTTATTTGTGGCTGGCTTTGGCCCAATTTTTCAGTTTAACTAGTTAGTTTTTCACTTTTAAAACCTACAAGTGGACCAATAACTACCATGGATTCCATCATACCAGTATAGTTGCAATAGTACTTATATTGCAAATTCACAAGGAATTTAAAAGCAAAGAAAATGCCAAGCAAATTCACCATATCGATATTGAAAATGTTTTGGAGTCCAGGTCCATCATAAGTTTGACAATCTAGAAATGATTAAAATCATTTTATAAGTCAAAATTCTACAATAGGTCATAAAACCAAACAAGACCAAACAAAACATCATAACAAAAAACAGAACTAGATCAGAACAACTTATTGTATCAGTCTTAGGGGTTGCAAAAGGAATAAAAGTTGAGGAAAAAACTCTAAACCATGAAAGCCTAGCAATTCACTATTTCAAGAGAATATGAACTAAATGCATTATTGAGGGATGGTTTTTGTTTGAAGATATGTAGACACCAAAATCCCCAAATCCGAGCAACCAGAAGCAGAGCTGAGTATCCTGAAATCACTCAGATACAGCCACATTGCACTGTCTGCTGTCTGGAATGGAGGCGCATGGAATGGAAGAATGGGGAGGCTTACCAAGAAGTAAGTTCAAATGCTAGCTCCGTCCGCGGTGTTCAGAAACCCGTATGTAGAAGTTATGTGAAGTCATTCCAACATCCTACGCAGATTGCCATACTGATGATGCTGGTATTGATGCATGATGGAGCTGGACTCCCTAAAGACTAAATCAAAACGCTTTCAAATTTACATGGTGAATTTGCTTGGCATCTTCTTTAGACTTTGCTCTAAATTCTTAGTTGCAATAGATATTGAATTAAATTCTAAAGTGAATTGCAAAAATAAAAATAGTTACCAGAAAAATCCTTTGTTTGCACTAGAGTCAGGAAACCAGTAGAGTAGCTCTAATATCAGAATACCTATTTAATACAATTAAGATTCATCAGAATCCAGCCACAGGCAGAGATATACCAAAAATGAACTTAGACTTGGATCTGTCTGCAAGTATGCTAGGCAGCTAGGTTAGTATCTTATTTTGACAAGCCTAATATTTTTGAAAAAATAATTAAATACCTACCTACAAAATGTCAAAAATTAATCCACTTTGCAGGCTTCACATATTAAAATTAGTGCCACAGACCCTATGTGGCTAGACTTCTCGCGTCTTGCCTACCTAATAAAAAAGTTATTTCACTAACAAAATTGAACTAAAACCTCAAAAAAAAAAAAACACTTCACCATTTACAAGCAGGAATTGAGCCCGGCAAGTCTGCAACTGCAAATATTTTGCAAATTATTTAATGCGAAAAGTAAATTATTTTACTATACCATCAAAAATGAGAGAAAAAGTATTTCGAGTAAATATTTCTGATGAAAACAAAAAATTGAATATTTGACGAGTCGACCGTCTGAAAAAAAAAATTACGGGTCCAAGAAGACAAGTTGCAGAAAAATATGCAAATCATGCAACTGCAACAACGCCGACGTAATTTATAATCAAATTATAAAATTTTGCGAATTACTCACCCATATAATCCAGGCTGAGACATAATGCTGTCCAGTCTAGATTATCCTAAAAAAAACTTTCAGTTCTCTTTTCTCATGTTATGAAGACACCTAGCGGACCAAACAGCCTTACAACACACACACCTCACTTGGTCAATGCTAACTCAGGTTTGGTTCAATGCGCGGGAAGTGACAAGCTCTATCTGCAACCCGATTGGTGGACTAGGATGCGCAGTGCAAGGATCCTGATACTGCGCATGGCGCCGACTTTGATTTCATATTGATGTTAATACTCTTGAGAAAAGCATCATCTGTTTAGAATATTAAAATAAGTAACATTTTTGAAACAATAAGAAGTCACATAATAAAAAATATTGTCGTGTATTTTCACTTTTACAAGCGTTATTTTCATATTTAATATATCAATAATTTTGAATATATGATTTCCTGTTACGTATCGTAAACTAATTTTAAAAATGGATATATTGCTGATGGTTTAACAACCTTGTGAGAATAAAAATTTACTTTTCGATAATTATAATTCGAAAATAGCACATACAAGATCTAAGTAGCTGTTTAGCAAATTTAAGCAATATCTTGTTTTAAAGCATTGAACGGCATAACACATTCTATTTTAAATTTTCGCTGAAAATTGCAGATTCAAATTCTTTTTAGTTTACAATAGAATTTTATAATCGTGAGTATGAAGAAGCTATTAGGTTGGTCGACCTGTCGGGCAATTTCCAGGCTAGTTTTGACCCGTTTCGCAGGGCCGTCTGAGTTTCAGCCCCAAATTTAACGTAGGCATTTGACTGCAAAGTAGCCCATATAGCCAGCTAAACGGTGACAATAATATTGTGTATTGTTCAAACTAATTTCCTTCAACTTTATTTGAAAATCTCTTTGCGAGTTGCGTATAATTTGGCAAGCATTTCACGTAAGTTTTGTAGTGCATGCGCATATAAATGTCGATTACCAGAAATATTAGACAAAACACGACACATACAAGGACTCACATTTTATTCCAATTGTCTTAACTTTACAATACGAAAATGAACTCAGAGCTCCCACTTTTTACAGTTGCATTCAGCAGTCAGGCACGAAATGGCCTAACATAGAACTGCAAATTGATGATCACTGCCAGTCAGAAAGGTCAAGTTGACATTTAAATACAAAATTCAGCCGTAGTTTACAAAATATAGGATTCACATTATGCAATTGAAAGCAATTCAAAGACATCAACGCTTCAATAAACAACCCTTGTGAATCACTCATAAATTGAAAATACTGCAAATTTTGGTCCAGATTAACAGATTTGGGGTACCTCGCAATCACACGAGGAATAAAAATATCCCTGCCTTGCGTTCATGGTAGGCAAAACCGGCATGATGTCGTCATGTACAGTCAAGGTCAAGAGTAAGAACATACGATATCATAGATCATATAAACGTCAATTCGTTGCTAACTTCCACCATCACCCGAAACACATAGTTACTCCAGGTTAAATTCACATACTTTCGAACATATCTATTATTTTAATAAACGTTCAAGTAGGGTAACCCAATATTTCAGTCTCCCACAAGCGCAACATAGAAAGTACCATTGGCATTTTCAAGAGAGAGTAATTACCCATCATGTTTAAAACTTATTACAGGTTCTCGCAGGCCTTCTGGAAGCACAGCAGCATGCAAGAACTTGCTTCATTATCACCCCAGTACAAATTGTCTTCCAAGAACAGGCTTTCATTAAGCGCAGTCAATAATAATCCCACGAAATTTGAAAGAAGTAGGAAACTGGGGTTTCCGAAACCGAAATTTTCTTTTACGTCTCTTATAGTGTACACACGATGACGAACAAGGTCCACTTTATTGGAAACTCTTATAAAAACAAATTCTTTTATCACTGAAGCCCACATTCACCACGACGAGAGCTCATAGTCTACAATTAGCGTATGAGTGAAGGGAAGACGTACAACAGAACTTACACGAACAGAGAGACTGGATAAGATTCACATCACAAAAGATTACGAAAATGTTGCTCAATAGCTGAACGCCATTATATATAACATGGTAAATTATATGAGCCATAACAATTTACTTTGACTAAACCCAAGCAATAACTAACCAAGGCAGACACAACCTGATTCCAGATAAACTCAAATGGAGAAAGTTTTCACGTGCATGACTATTGACAGCGACATTCGATTTTTGAATTCTCTGCTTGTGATCTACAGCAAGATTCCAATCAACTGGAGGAGCGTGATAATGGTAACGGGAGGCGCGTATCAATGATGCTTAATCAATCTACTAATAAGAGCGGAATCTGTTTAAAACCGTCAACAAAACCTATAATTGTCATAAAGCTCGAGACAAACAGCTGTCAGTAACAACGTAACAACAGGTCTTGTTTTGCAATTACGTTTTCCAGATGATAATTCGATACCATTCCATACTCTAAATTTAATACGGTGATCAGGAATAAAAAAATTGGGCATCCGGATAATTAACAAAATTAGGAGAAGGAATTTAATTCAATTGCGTCACAAGTAAATCTGGGGTAAATTGACGGAGGATTGTTTATGAACTAACTGCAGCATAGAAACAATTATTGCGCAGTTAGAATAAATTGCAATCACTTTCCTATTGAACTTTAACATCAATAACTGCTATAGACGTAATTGCATCAGAAAAGTCAAGTTCTCACATTAATCAAACATACAAAGTCTACATCACCTAAATATTGGAACACACACCATGCACGCAAATCAGCCTATTACCACAATGAGAAAGAACCGGAGAATCTATAGTAGAAAATACAATCATGAAAAAGAAAGCGCCCTTCGTACCAGCCAAGCAACTACTGCACTATTTTTCCAGTGATACCCCTCACTCCGTACAATTCCCGCAGACACCATATAAAAACTAGCGCTGTAAATTTGCAATCTTATTACACAACAAAAAATTTCAACTGTGATTAATGAAGACATGGTGGAGGAACTAGCAATGATATCAGTAGAAAATGATGGCAAGTGACAAAAGATCACAAAGCGCTCTGGCATCTTCGGTAGACTTGAGCCAAGACCAGATAAAAGGACGAGACAGCACTTCTTGGAAGAGGTCGTCTCATCAATTTAACATCACCCTAAGATATGGCAACATCAAGGCATGTCCTCTTCAAAGTCCAGCGTACTGAATTTGTTTGTCACGCTCAACAACTGCCGGAGAGAGAGAAAAAAATAATATTAGAAAACATGTTGCCGGATCATCTTTATACAATGCAGTAGGCCAGTAGCAATACTTAAAGCGAAATAAATGATGATTAGCTGAACGAGTCGACAAAAAGGCAAAAAATTTGTATTAATTTGCGTTGTCGTTTTTTATTCCTACTAATGCAAATCGAAAACTAAAAGAAAATCCTTGGAGCGGTGCAAATTTTTATATTCAATATTTTTAGCAACTAAATTTTCATAATGAAATTTCGGAAATTACATACGTTGAAAAACTTCATTCAACTAATTTGAAACATTCCCTGTCTTTGAAAATCAGAACAAATATTTCAAAATTATAACATAATTGCAGTATAATTGTAAAGTTTTATTTTAGGGATGCTCACATTGAATTATTGATTAAGAAAACAAAATTGCGGTTAACACGTAAGAGGCTCATGGTTTTTGGAGGCAATAATGCGGTTCATAGTTCCTAGAATGTGTTCAACTTTCATATTACATTATGTATCTACAAAATAATACGAAAGAGGCTACAAAATTCAATTATTTAAGCTCCCTAATCATTCAACCGTCGGTCACTTGTTGCTGGATGCACATTTCTATAATGCATTCTACAAAAAAATGCAAAAGTGTATGAAGGAGGCTTCAAAATTGAATTATTCAAGCTGTCCAATCATCTCACCTGGGGTTCATCGTTCTTAGGCTGAGCTTTCAAGAAACGCTCTTCATCACTATCGTATCCCTCGGGCCTTTCGACCTTCGGGGCTTGAGCGCGCGGTTTCCTAGCGTCGCGATCAACACCATTACTGTCACTATGCTCCACGTGGCCGCCGTCCACACGTCCATTGCGGTACGCCCTGTCGTCTTTGCTAGGTGCCACGTCTGCATGCTCGTAATCTTGACCGTCACGGTCAGGGTAACGGTCATCTCGATCGTAAGGGCGGCGATCATAACCGCGGGAATCGTCGTCGTAATTGCGGTTGCGCTCGCGACCGCGGCTGTTACCGCCGTCCCTGTCGTAACCTCCTCGTGTATCACCACGACCATCCCTGCGTTCGTTGTAACGACCACCGCCCCCACGATCGCCGTCTCTTCCACCACCACGATCGCTATTTCTTCCACCACGGTCACTATCTCTTCCACCACGGTCACTATCTCTTCCTCCTCTGTCTCCGTCACGACCTCCTCGGTCGCGCCAAGCATCGCCTCCCCCAACTCCCCCGCGGGAACTTTCTGCAACGAGTGGCTGTTGGCTCAGCTTCTTCTCGATCTCCAGTTCACGGGACAGCGTGTCTACAGGCTTCGCTGCTCCGAATATGTCAGCAGCAGCTGGTTTGGGGGTCACTTCCCTGCAAGTAGAAAATTAATTATGCACCTGCGCTGAGGAATACTACTACATCAAGCTTCTCAACTTAATGCACGCCAACAAAATATTTTTAACCTAAACATAGTCAAAAACACATGAAATAGAAACACTGAAGGGTAACCGAAACTTTAGGCAACCATCTTGATAATTATTTTAGCTGCTTACAACATAACTTTAAAGAGCCAATATAGCTGCACACATAATAGGAGGGGTGTAAATGATTCTACAAAGCACCCCGGTCAACAGATAAGTTTTTCGTCATTGACTATGCAATGATACTGCATGACCAAAATGAAGCTTTGCGTTACAGTTATTTATAAGATAAAATAAAACTTGACCGAAAATTAATTTTTGGCTCATTACTTCAGCGATCATACAAATCCTGAGATTATTTGCACAATTCCATCAGTTGCACAAGTAAATTGGAAAATTTTCAAGTTCAAACGAAATTTGGTGAACAGGTAATCCCGCATATGACCAAGGCAGTGCAGCTAAGCCAGTGAGCACAAATAAGACCAACATAAGCACACAAATATGAGAGCGGAATTGTGCTCTCAAATATGAGAGCACAAATATGAATGGGTCACAAAACGTGTTCTCAGTGTCGTTTGCAGAGAACTTTCTACTTAGATGAAGGAACTACTCTGAATGATTCAATTGTAGTTACAGGTAAACTATATATGGACACTAATTATTATAAGCAACTAACTTTTTCGGTATGTTTGGTGAGCGTTTGCCGGAAAGTTTTTCCTCTATAGCCATTTCCCGTGCCGCTGTGTCAACTGGTTTTGCTGCACCAAAAATGTCCGCATTTGTGGCTTTGGGAACATCGCTGTAATGAAAAACAACAATGGTAGGAGGCAAAAAATAGTAAAAAAATTAAACGCTGGAAGTTTGAAATTTCCAAACTATATTGAAGGCAAGCACAACTTCATGAAATTATGAGGAAAACATGTTAACATAGAAATAGAGATTTAAAAAAAAAACAGAAACTAATCTAGGAAAATAACAAAAATAATTAATTATTGACAGAATTACGAAATTTATTAGAGCTTTACAGTTTCGGCATCATTGACAGAACGGGGAAAGGATTGGAATCGATGTAAAACGAGCACCTACCTCCTTGACAACGTCGGAGATTTATGAGATATTTTGTTTTCTATCTCCAGCTCTTTGGACGCAGTGTTGACGGGTTTAGCAGCACCGAAAATTGAAGCTGAAGCTGATGGCGCTTCAGGCCTGCTGCTCTGCGTTGCTGCTGCGCCCTCAGAACCCTCGGGCACGGACCGCGGCTTGAGCACCAGCCTGCGAGTTTATAATGTAATGAAGTACAAGTGCGAAATAGGGGAGGAGTTCGGAAAAAGGTACAGCATCTAGCATGATCCAGCATATGGAAATTTGTGATCAAAATGCTCGAGCTAAAAAGAAAGCAAGCTTGAATAACTGAGATAATAGGTACAAATAGAACATCAGATACACTATTACAAAAAAATACCGAAATTGAAGGAATCTAAATTTTTTGTGGAGATTACGGACAAATGTTAAGATCCTTACTTGGGTCTTTCTTTTGCCGAATCCCTGTCGTCCGGCCGGCTGTAGCCGCCTCGACGATCATCATATCCACCACCTCGGCGGTCTTCAAACCCACCACCACCTCGGCGGTCTTCAAAACCACCACCACCGCCACCACGGCGGTCTTCAAAACCTCCACCGCCACCACCACGGCGATCTCCAAAACCACCACCTCCACCCCCTCGCCGATCGCGGTCCTCGAAACCCGAGGAGCCCCCAGAGCTCGGGGCTGGACCGCCCCTCCGCCAGGGCTCATCGTCAGCCCGTGATGGTCCGCGCTTGTCATCGTCAAAGCGCCCACCAGAACCACCACCACCGCCACCGCCATAGCGACCCCCTGGATGGGTAATAATGCAGTTATTTAAAACTAAGAAGCGTTTCAAAGTTTACTCTTAACGGTGCAAGGGTTTAACACTCCTCACGTTTCAATGAAATTAAAATAAAAAACGTCATAAATTACTAACAATACGGTTAGCAAAAGATAAAAGCAGAAAATCACGTTGGAAAAAGTGGAATTGGAAGTTAAAAGGAACACACGGAGAATTGATATCAATGACAAGGTGTACGGCATTCTCCTCAAGTCCAGATACAATTCTTGCTAAAATTATTGTAGATCTAAAAGTTTGGAAGATAATTTGTAAGCCAAAGGCAAGAGAAATGCTTGAAGTCATATCTCACCACGATCTACCGCGAGGGTGCCACGACACCGCGAGGGTGCCACGACACCGCGAGGGTGTCACGATACCGCGAGGGTGCCACGACACCGCGAGGGTGCCACGATACCGCGAGGGTGTCACGATACCGCGAGGGTGCCACGAGGCCGCGAGAAGGCCACGAGGCCGCGAGGAGGCCACGATACCGCGAGGGGGCCACGAGGCCGCGAGAAGGCCACGAGCATTTCAAAGGGGAGTATTTCACACTCAAACACGAAAGAGCATAACAGCTATACAATAATGAAGCATTTTATTTGCGAAAATTTACATTTTCCTATCGTACATACAAATTTGATATCTTGATAGAGTTGAAGATGCAGAGTAATTTAAAGATGGCACCCTCGATCATCTAGTCCTATCAGAACTAGATGATGGAGGGTGCCTACTGTACACTATAACTTCGTTGATGAAGCGTTCTTTTCATATAAATAAAAATATAAGTTCTTTTTTTTTCTTGCATAAAAAAATTGACACCTCAATGGGTTAAAAGATGCAGCTAACCTTCATCAGGACCCAATGATGTACCTATCTATAATAATGTCTCCATCATAAAAAGTATACAACAATGTAAAATTTCACTCGCAAACATCGAAGATTTTTTCATTGTATATGAAAAAAATATAACTCAGTACTCACTGCAGTGAGTGACAGAAAGCGCATTCTCTCATTGACGAAAATATGAAGTCACGGACGGACAGACAGACGGACATGGCGAGCACAATAGTGCATTTTTTTCATAAATGAGAAAATGCGCTAAAAAGACTTCTTAAAAGAGTGGTAGATGCAGCTAACCTTCCTCAGGACCCAATGATGTATCTATATTAATGTTTACATTATAAGAAGTATACAACAATAAAGCATTTCACTGGCAAATATCAAAACTTTTACATCGTACATAAGAAATTGACATCACATATGAGTTATAGATGCAGCTAACCTTCCTCAGGGCCCGATGAAGGAGCAGAGCGCCAGTCTGAGACGCCCTGACTTCTCTCGCCGCGATCATCGCCCCGCCCGTCACGGTCGCCATATCGTCCTCCTCCCTCGCGTCTGTAGCCATCGCGGCCACCCCCTCTCTCTGAAGCCGCTGCAGCCTCCCCACCAGGAAGATCTATCCTAATTTTGCGGTTGCGGATCATCTGCAAACAGATGGAATTAAAGTAACATTTCTTTTGCACAAATACCTACATGTTTGAGTGCATAATTACCCTCCCTGTAAGATCTATCGTAATTTTACGCATGCGGATCATCTGCAAATAGTTAGAATTAAATCAACATTTCTTTTGTACAAATACAAGTCTGACTGCATAATTACTTTCCCCCCCCCCACCACCCCCGAGAGATCTATCCTATTTTTATGGTTGATCATCAGCAAACAAATTCAACTGAACATTCAATGCACATACACAATTTTAATAAAATTGGGTGAACATTTTTTGTATATCACCTCATCTGACTGAATAATTTCTCACAAGGAATATCAATCCTTATTTTACAGTTGCATATTACCTGCAAACCAATTACATGAAATGTACATTTTTTGCACTTGCACCGTCAGTCTGCATTATTTTACAACGTTATATATAATCATTCCAAATGTAGCTACAGTTCAACCTATACAGTCCAGCAGGAGTAAACCATTTTCTAAGTAAACAAAATAAAAGATGAAAAACATATAAATCGTTTTCTATCTCCATTTCCTCTTCACATTTGGATAAAATCAAATTAGTTAGGGAAATTTAATTCTAGATATTTTTGCAAGTTAATAACTCAATCTCACACATGCAAGGATTAGGCAAGAATGTAGAGTTGAGAGCTTGTATCTATTGTGACATTTCCTTCCTAAGTTTTCCATCAAAGGATTGGAAAATTCCAAGAATGGTCTATAGCTTGTAAAAAAATCTGAATAAAAACAAAAAAATTGTAAGAAGTAATAATAAAATTTCATTAGTAAATAAGGTAGAAAAATTGCAAACAGTCACAACATTTGCAGCATTTTTCGTTGTTAAAAGAATGAATGCATTTGCAGCTTAAATTACTGGTTAGCTAACACATTTCTGCCAAAGTTCAAATTGTGCAATTGGTCAATCTATATGGTTAGTATAGAATCACCAATGTGCGATTGGCGAATCTATATGGTTAAAGAGCCCTTAACATGCCTTCCAAAGCAACATCTTACCTCTTCATGCTTTCCAAAAGCTTCTATGAGGTCTGACTGTGTTGCAAATTCCACATAACCGTAACCTTTACTCCTGCCTCCATCTCTGTCCATCGGCAGCCTCACGCCAATTACCTGGAAAAGCAACACAATTTTAGTAGCAATACAGCATGCTAGAATGAAATGATTGCTGAGAATTATTAGCAGTTTTTGTGTAATATTAACATCAATATTAGGCTATGGCACCTCAAAAGGCTTCAAAAATGTAGACCAATATTTTTCAAGGGTGTAGAAACTGTAGATAAACATTCTTCAAGGAAGCAAATCAACATTTATCATTTACGGTACATGGATCGATAACCTAATATCAAGTTATCAAAGCCTGTCTTTGGTAGAAGGTATTCATTTAGGTTGTTGTTAAATATCCTAATAACTGTTTCATCTGCTAATCATTATTTATCATGATCTCATAATCAAGTTATCTGGAATAATCCAATCTAAGTTTTAATCAATAATCCAAGTTATAATCAATATCTCATAATCAAGTTGTCTGCATGAATGCATACATTTAGGTTGTTGAAAAATTTTCTAATATCTGTTTCATCTGCCTCGAAAGGCAGGTTGGCAACGTGGCATGTGAAGGGTGGGGAGGTTGGGATTTTGTCAGGATCCACATGCGGTCCCCGGGCCATGCGTGGACAGGTTGGGAGCACAATGGCTCTTTGTGAATCTGCACAAGAGATAAAGGTTATCAAAAAAATATAAATGTACAGCAAAATTCAGAACACTACCACAGATTTTTACAAATTTTGAAAAGAAATTAAGCATGAGAATGCATAATGTTGGGTTTTGTACAAAATAGTTTCAAGTTTAACCTAACTTTATTTCCTATGATGGCATTAAATAGAAAATTTATATCATACATTTCATAAATTATCTAGTAAATAGACTCGTAACAAAAGGAACTATTAGGGTTGACAGAAGTGGAAACCACTTTCAGCCATAAAGGTTTGAAAATGATTCAAACTCTAATTAATCATGGAATTGTGTACGTTAGGTTATAAGTAACTTACACTCATCATCATCATCATCGTGACGTGGTGCACTGACTATGGTGCTGTCAGGGATGCTGTCACTAGCAAGGAACTCCCCCAAGGAGAGAACTATAGCCTTGGACTTCCCCTTCTTTCCTTTCTTGCCTGCAAAAAAAATGTAGTTTAATCAATAATAATTCACTATTCTACACTAAATGCTTTTCATACAAGTACAAAATAGATTTCATGGATTAAGAAGAGATTAGTTAGTTCAATACAACCATACAGGTAAAATTAGTACCAGCCATGACCATCTAGAGTCCATTTTACAGCATCTTGAAAACAAAATGGGAATTCCAAACAATGTTGCTAATTTGGGAAGACTTTGCAAAGACTTGATCTAACCATTTCAAGATCAAATGGTTAAATAAGGTTGCTGAAACATATTTGTGCAAGCTAATAATAATATTTGTAGATGACAAACATTCACATATCTGAATGACTAAGGAAAAATTATCCTCGTCAAAATTCTACACCTTTCATAAATTTTGAAGTCTAACACTTGGTGAACATCAATCTGGATCTGCAACCTGCCAGCAACTAACCAAGCCTGGAAGTTGATATCTGTACAAATTTTCCTGCTTGGCAAAAACTGTTATATATTATATAACCTTCATTTGGAATATTGACATTTTTTGGGAAAAACCATGGATGATAAATTTCATGGATGATTCCAACAAATTTCAATAATTTTACTTAATATTTATTACAGAATTTAGGAAAGATCCACTGTCCACATAAACAATAAAAATTATCCTCGGGCATTGGTAGTTACTAGTTTGAGATCATTCGACAAGGCTTCTACTCAATTCAAAATTTTGGATTTAAGCACAAGAAGATGAGGTTCTTCGATTAGCATTTTGATAGGTGAGAACAGTTTCAACAAGAATTCAGATAGCAAGTACCGAGCTGTCCCAAGATCAACATTAAAAGTTTACAAGTTTGGAAGTTAGTACTGGAAGTGACAACCCCAATCCAATATAATGTCAAAAGCTGCCTACTATATTATACATAGGCCAAGGGAGAATATCAAAGAGATTTTTCTAAGTAGTGAGTGTGGAAAGTGGAAACCATATTAATGATTTTGATTTTGAACAATCACAAGTGAAGGCAAAAGGTTTTCTATCATTTTCATGACAGAAGTTAAGCAAGGAGCATATTTTGATGAATCCAAAACTTTACTAAAATCTCATGGCCAAAACTTGTTAATTTGGGAAAATTTGTGAAGTTTTGCAGACCATGTATGTTTTAGTTAAGTAAGTTAACTGCGCAGATTACCTGTGTATTCCACACTTACAAAATTTGACCATAATAAATCAACCAAAAAAGAAAATAATTAATCTGGCCAGTATTTGTACCAAAATTGCACACAAGTGACACAACTGCTGAAGGCATAGTGGCAAACCAGAGCTTTTTTGGAATCAGTTCATTTTTAATTTCCTCAATAACTCAAGATTTAAACCAATTACTTAATTATGATAATGCTGGTATGATGTGGTATCCATGATACTTTACTGGTCTACTTATAGGGACTTGAAATTGAACTTGAAGGAGAGTCTAAAGAACTCTCTGCTTTGCCACTATGGCTGAAGGTGTAGGTCTGTAGGAAAGGTATTCAGTGAAAGGTAATTGTTCTTTCATCTCCAAAAATGACAAAAAACCCTAGATATTTTTCACACCTGTGACCTGGCAATGGGACAAAAGCATGGGTAAACTTGTGCATAGCCTAAAGCCCTAAACACACCCACACACTACACAGTGTGACACTGACAGTGACAGTTTTAACAGTTTTGTTCCCAAACATGGGATGGGTGGTTTCTGCCACTTTCTGGCAAACTTTCATACCTGGGCCCCTGGGGATTTTGGCACATCAACTGATCAAGATCAAAGACACATACTAATAAGGCTATCTGACAAAAATAAAAATATTCACTGCTCACTGGTAAATTCAATTAAAATGTTAAAGTTATTTCAACTTAATAACTTATCTCCTAAAAGTTGGCAAACTTTGATGATAAACAGCAAAATAACACTATATTCAAATTTATGCATAATAATTTTAATTATTTAAAAACATTACCTAATTCATATGGGCGCAATCATTCTAAAATACCTATATATTAGGCTAGGTATATCATTCGTGTGTATTGTCCCAACTCCCGAATGCCTTCATCTATTCAACTCCATTTTTGGAATCCATTTCCATTATTATGTTCGTATAGATAACAAAATATTTCTGAAATTCTTGAGCGTTAACAAAATCGAAAGCTTCAGCACATAGGTATGGCAATACGACCCAAATCCCACATCATGCTGACGTTCGGCCATGCCGTCATCACATGTTCACTAGTACGTATGATATATTCGTCTCTAGATTTCTTTACTAGATAATAATGCAAACAGGACATCACAAGAAAGGAATAAGAAAGAAAATTTGCAATATATTTACTTTAAGTTCCAACATACTAGTATATGTTGAATACCTGCCTGACGTACTCAATCTCACCTGACATGTCGTAACTAAGCCACGAAACCCACAATTCCACGAGCGAATGGCGCCACAGAAGCATAAATGCTTCAAAAAACCTAATTTAAACTATTTAATCCTCTAGAATGAACGGGCTGGTCGACGTTATTCCAATCTATGACATATAAGAAATTGACGTCGTATATTATTTAAACTAATTAATACTATTCATCGGGTACAATTCTCATTTTATTTTCATTTGTTTCTATTAAGTGTTTCCAATGATGCAAATAATGTTATTGCTGCCTAGAAACTTGAAATCTACGCATTGTCTTAAAAAATGCACAGATGAAAACGCATGGCAAACGCAACTTTAATAACGTCTCGGACAAATTTGCGGCCTTGTATATTGGTTTACGGAATCCAGAGGTATAATAGATCTCTAGGTAGGTAGTCTTTCAAGCGGAGGATTTTGCTGGGTAGCGAAATCAAGCGGAAACCCGAAGTGTGTGACCAGTGTTTAGAGATTCACTTGAACTTTTCATCTGTGATCATCAACAAATTTCGCATGTAAAGTAAAAGAAATAGATTTTCGTGATTGAAGCATACAGTACAGCCCAAAAATATGAACACGGGTCGAAAATGAGTCGTGCTCAAATGATCGTGAATTTGAAAAATATATATCATTGCAGATTGCTCTAAAAAATTGCACTCTCTCTAAAGTAACTTATAAAAAATGATGCAAAGTAACAATTCAAAACTCCAGAACAAAAATCAGAAACCAATTTGAAGCTCATAGTCATAGGCCAAAGGTAATGAGGCATAATATTAAAAACCAATCAGCTGGCTCGTCTGGTCAAAATTTCGACACGTGGTTAGAAACTCCACTATATTAATTGATGAAATATTAAAAAAACTAACTAATAATCAGAAATTATAGCGCAAAATTCGTGCTGTTAAGGGGAGATATGATAATATAGCAATTGAATATTATATTATGAGTTTTACATTTCTCTCGGATATCGTATTTTAAATGGAAAAAAATTGACTTCATAAAAAATAATTAATAAATACTTTATTCGAAAATAACATGCCTTAAGTTCACACGCGTGGCGCAAAGCTATTAGCAACACATGCAATAACAAAATAGTTTATGGTCAGTATTGCATCTGATAAATTCCAGCACGTGTTCCAACCTCCGCAAGGATTATTTCCCAAAGAGGAATAATTTTTATCTTAATTATTGCAGCTTCTTCAATCTATATGTTATTGTGTATACGATCAAGATGAAGCAGCCCATTTAAACCGTAAATATTTCTTGTAGTCATCGCTTATTAAAAAAATTAAAATAGAATACAATGAAAACATTAAATCAAAGAATTTATTTTCTGGATGCATTATTCTATCGAAAACAGAAGGATTTGGATGTGTTGTTCTTATTGATAAATTCTCATTTGTATCTCAATTCATCGAATAATTGGCGAACTGTGGCGAGAGAGCAGATTTTAGGAAATTTGAAAATCTATAGGCACTTCGCGAAAAAAATTAATGTGATTAAAAGCATCCACATACGGAAGTTCGGGCTCCAACACGATGCAGAAACAAAATGCACAAAATTTTAAATGGAAATTTTTTCAGTAAATAAAGAAATGTAACGAATGCGCATACAGCTTATACATAGCTGTAAACGTGGATTAGTTATAAGTATTCATGATTGTAGATTCAAAATTGCCATAATCATAGGATCTACTCACCCATTTTGCTGAAGAGTAAACTTGATCACGACTATAGAACTGCAGGACTGTGAACAACCGCTCACTCGACTGATGACTGGGAACAAACTGAGCTGTGCGAGCTGTGGACACCAATAGCTGCACTTGTAACCACCATAGGCCTAAAATAAGATCAAGTTTCTGAACGTTAAACTGTTAGTAGACTGAATCTAATTTTGTATCAATGGCATCATGTTAACAAAGAAATATCAATTTATACGCTGCTGAATATTAAGCAAACTTGTACTGTATATATCGGTAAACGATGAACACAATAATCGATGAAATATCAATTTCCTTCTTAAAATGTCATGCTTTAGCTGCAAAAGTTACGAAAATCGATGTGCCAAAGTTTGGAGCTTGTGTTTAAGCAATATAAATACATGTAAAAATTTCATCAAGTAATCTTTGTTTATACAAAGCTTTTCATGGTAAGTCTAATGTGGCGAGTAATTTGTTTATGATGAATCATGAGGAATGTGTATTAAAATATAGTTAAAAAAGAACATCAAGCCCTGACGCGGCTTCTATGTTTATTTAATAAACTTATTATTTATAACGGCAGATTACTGGCAAAGAGTCTCATCGTAGTCAAGATTTAAAATCACGTCATGAATATTTGGAGAGATGGTGGTATATGCGAGATGCTTATCTGTTTACTTTAACTAAACTTCCTTATGGGCAATACCGAGTAAATATAAAGCATATTTAGATGAAAAGTATGATAAGGGTAATAAAAACGGGGAAGTTTTAATCTACAGACCTGAGCCTATTAGATAAATATTAGCCGATGATATAAAAGACTTTATAGTTTCGATTCAAATTGTAACCTTAAAGTGAAATAAATTGAACCTCTCCGAATTTTCATGCTGGTAGAAGAATATAATACAGAAACATCTGTATGAAACTTGTCGTAAATTGATTCAGATCCTAATAATACTCGTAAATAAGCGCCACATTATACCACGTACAATTATGCTTTCCTGTTAGCGTTTTCGCGGCATGGTTCGATTACTCTGCCATTACTTGAATAAGAATACGACCTCAAAATAATTGAAAAAGTTTTTCTTGTAACTCTTGGCAAAATTTAATTTTCTTTTCAATTACCAATGTACATATTATCAATTACCTATGTATAATTACCTATGTACAAATACAAATAATTATTGAAAAAATCGTGGAAATTAGCTTATTACACAACAACAAATGAGATACAAAACCTTCATCCCGAAAACAACTTAACTTCATTAAAATACCATGGTAAATTCTATTGGAAAACATGTTAACGTATTCAGCATTGATCATAAAAGTTAATCGGAAAATTACCAAGACAATTAGAAAAAAACTCCATAGAAATGTAGTAATGAGTTCCCGAGCTTACGGAATCGAACACCAAGTCGCTGCAAAACTTCTCATTGATTTGAATTATAGAATTGAACTCCTTATTATGAATATGTGCCCAAAGGACTCCGGTGAAAATGCAATACGTTCCCACCCAGAGACCGCAACTCGACCTATGTCGTATAACCACATATTGTTATTGTGTAATTACATTAGTCCCATGTGCGAACATTATTATATTATACTCGGAAGTTCCGGGATTGATAATCGTTTTTATTTTATATTTCACTTCTCTGAATCCCATCACGCCTAATCCCAAAACACTAAAAATCAATATTCAAGCCACGGTAATATCCCGACACGTTGTCTCGTGCACGCGTACGCGTACGACAGCTTCTATTTATTTACGATGTCAGGATCAAAACACACAAACTTTGACAAATAAATATGATAAGAAAGACTGATTCCATTTTACTTTGCAAAATACTGGTTGAAGTACTAGAATTAACATTAACAAAACCTAACCCTTAGAATCATGCCGGCTAAAAAATTTCGTACAATTTTGACCTCAAAAAAGCTCTTAATTTTTATCAGCGCCTCAAAAATTTACCGTGATGAAATTTTACTCAAAGAACTTTGTAAAATTTTGACCTTCGTTAAAAGCTCTTTTATCAGGCACCACAAAAGTTCAGTGACAGAATTTTTCCTAAGGCACAGTTTTAAAAGTAATTTTTGTAGTTACAGGAAACTTCGTTTTTTATGCACATTCAATTCACAGGTCAACCCACGACTGTTTTTGTTTACAGTCTTGTGCCAGGCGACTTATTCTGTATGGTCATTGGTAGTTGGTTTCTTGATTCAAATTGTCAACAAGGTACGATAAAATTTAATGCATTTTTTCAAATTCAATGCATTCAAAGTTAGTGCAATCTACGCCAAACTCACGTACAATCTACGCTGTTAATTCACGTACCACCTACTGTCAGCTTTTAATAGGACACAATCAGTTTTAGCACAATATAGGCCAGCTTGATACAATTTAAGATCAGCTCACAGAAAATCTACGATTAAGTGACATACCTGCTACGGCAAAGTTACAGACAATCTACGAACAACTTGCGTATTATCCACGATCAAATGAAGCACAATCTGCAATCAACGTGCGTAAAATCTACAATGAACTTGCTCTTACTTCCAATAAATTTACGTACAATGTACGAAAAGCTCATCAAGTTCAACGTCGTTTGAGCTCATCGAGTTCAGTGAATTAAGCTCTTTAAAATTATTGGCTAGGTCACAACTAATGGCTCGGTCACAGCTAATGGCTAGGTCACAGCTAATGGCTAGGTCGCGGCTAATGGCTAGGTCACAACTAATGGCTAGGTCACGGCTAATGGCTAGGTCACGGCTAATGGCTAGGTCACGGCTAATGGTTAGGTCACAACTAATGGCTAGGTCACAAGTAATGGCTAGGTCACAACTAATGGTCAGGTCACAGCCAGTGGCTAGGTCACAATTAATGACTAGGTCGATGCTAATAGCTAGGTCACTGCTAATGGCTAGGTCACTGCTAATGGCTAGGTCACAACTTATGGTAATGTCACAGCTGATGACTAGGTCACAGCTACTGGCTAGGTCACAGCAACTTCATATCATTCTAGAGACTAGGCAACTTCATGTCATTCCGCTAAACTTATTTTATCAAAAGTATTAATTTTACTTTGTTTATCCCCTCAGGGGAGACTTCTGACGTGTGTCTGTGCTCGTCAGAAGTCCAATGGGATTTCGCGCTCCTAGGGGGATTGTTCCTGAGCGCCCCACCGCTGAGCTCGCGGTGTCTGACTGTTATAGGTCTCAGTTGTGGGGTTAAGTTATTATGTAGGCAGGATTCCTTGCATTTCCCTTCTCTGTCTCTCTCGTGCGGGCGACCGACTTCCCGTGACACTCTTGTTCGAGTGTCTATTCCAGCAAGTTTTTCCGTTTCTGTTGCTTTTCACCTGTCCCTCCTTGTCACTTCGTCTCTTTGAGATGCTAACGCTGCTTCTTTCGAGCCAGCTTCAGCGGGCTGGACATCTGAGACCTTCCGCTCCTTGTGGGTGATGAATAATTGAGACCTTCCACCTCTATGGTGATGTTCATCTTGACTTTCGGTGTGAGATAGCTTAATAACTGAAGCACTAGTAAACATTTGGCCACTAAACTAAACTAAACTAACTACTTTGTTTATTTTTGATAATATATTCGCGAAATAGAATAGCTATTCCGAGATTAAACTTCCAACCGAGTTATCTATGAACAAAATTATGCCATTGTAATTATTTGCCTGGATCTGTATCCTAAAATTTATTCTGTTAATATATCACTCCGAAGTTAACATTTTCGGATTGTGATAATAATGATGGTAAGCTCCCATCATCAGTTAACTTGCGATCATCTTTAAAAAATTATTCAATCTAGGGTTGTCCATTGATTTATGCCTATCTTTTCTGACTATACAGCATGCTTGAAACAATATAAAATAAAAATGAAACCAAGCATAAGCTTTCACCATAGGAAGATTTTTTGCTGCTGTCACATGACTTTCGAGCTTTCGTCGCTCTCTCATTTTCCTGCGGGTCAAAAACTTCGGGAACGCGAGTCTTTGTTGCCGCTGAGCTCTTATCTGTTCGGGTCTGATAACGTCTTCCATACTTCGTGCTGCTTCTTCTAAGCTCATAGTAGAATGTATGGCATGAATAAGACCTTCTGCGATCAATGCTGGTTATTTTCCTGTTTTTATCGGCCGTTTTATTCCTACTGTTCGTTTTTAACGGCAGACTGTTCGTAACAGCAGCTGATTGCTTTGTTTGGCAGCGTAGCTATACGTAGCGCTTGCTACGGCGGATCTATTCCTACTATTCGTTCATAATGATCAGTATATTCCTGCCGATCGTTGAGCGCTGAATTCCTATTGACAACGCCCATTGACCACTCACTTCCTACCGGTCATAAACGGCCACACAATTCCTCCCGGTCACAACGGCCGTACAATTCCTACCGGTTATAACGGCCATACAATTCTTACTTATCACTACGGCCGAGTAATTCCTAAGGTCATAACTTCCGTTAAAATATTCCAGTTTTAAATATTTCTTGAATTTTCGTTGATCGTGACGGCACGAGTTACCGGTTCAATGCCGGTCCAATTTTACCGTTTCAATCTTTTTTATTTCCAGAGTTTCCTTTGCTTTGCAGCTTCTTGCGTGCCAAGCACTGCGAGAGGTTCAGAGGTCAGCGCCGCGCCTATATAAAGGCCAGAGCGCCTTCACTTTCATTCAGTGGTGCCACTGCCGTCAGCGAGAGTGCCTGCGCCTGTTAACTTAACACATCGACCGGTGCGTATATAACGTATTCCTGCATATCAACGTCGAATTTTGTATCCTCATGTACATTATCGCCTCAGTCGAGAATCTTATCGAGATTAGATAGTAAAAAAAATATTTTTTCAAATTACCGATGAAAATGACTTTTCATGGAATTAATTTGCTCCTGACTTAACAAAACCAGAAAAACACAGAAGTGTTATTTGATTATATTAGGAATTTACTGTAAATAAACTTATTTTTCTTCTGCAGAACTCGACGAGACGTCACATAAGATCATCGCTAAGATGATCGTAGCCACCCTCACGACACTTGCGCTGGTCAGTAAAAACATTTCCTATCTTATGTAATGTTATGTTATGTTATGATGTCTTGGAAATTTATAAATTCGTTAGGCCGTATTTTAATATACTGCTGCATTATAAACTTCACTTACTGTTTATTTTAAAAGTTTTGGACATGGCATAATTCTATGTACAACACATGGAGGGAGAAAACAGACGGAGCAGACAGAGCTTAACGACGAGTTAACTAATAATTAGTTGGTTTGGTGTTCATTATATGTTCATTATAAGTGGTTAATCGGTATTGACACTGTTACAATGTCGAAATTGTTATTAATCATTTAATTAATGGTTCTCCTTAATTAGTTTGAAGTCTGGGACATCATCATATTCAGATTCATGACTTATTGTATAACTATTGGAAACCCAAAATGACATGCACGTTCGAAGTTCAGTAAATTGGTCGTGATTGCTACGTGGTTCATAATGTATGGATTGATTATACATCGCATTTAATTATACCCGGAATTAACTCTAATCTGCGTGGTAATTGAGTTAAATTAGGTTTACTTAAATTGATTTTTACATTTCGGATGAAATTATGAGTTATACAACTAATCTCTTTAAAGTTTTTTCCACTTGACGAAAGATTAACGTCCACATGCAAACGAAGAAGTAAAAGCAAGCGAAGTGAAAGGACATTTTGTTCGTGGCACCCGCGATACCAACGCTTTATGTTAACGTACAAAACGGCGTCTCCGTGCCAAATTATGGTGGCCGAGTCTGCATGCTTTCACTTTCTGAACTAAGATATATGTATGCATATACATATATACTGATATACTCGTATAAGCTTGCTGAACGCAAACTGCAAAATCTCTTGACCACAGAGCGTTTGCATCGACAATTTGCGCTCTATACCCGTTCGCTCGCTCGTAATCACAAAAGCTGCCATTGTTTTGCGGAATTTTCTTTGCTATTAAATTCCTAACCTGCCATTAGCTTCGTTTTTTGGAAGCTGCATGGGTGATTCCAAAACCTGGATAGCCTTGATGCCTGAATGCCGAGGTCATGAAGGCTAAAATGTCATCATAATTTGGAGCGAGGGGATTTGGGGCAATTTGGTTCTGAATTGGAGAAACCGATATGCCCATGACCTAGCATGGTCGATTCCGTGTGATGTTATAGTCTGGAATGATTTTGATTATTTTAACTCGAGTCAAATTAACTCGAGTAAAAAATTTGCGACTTGAGTCGCAAATTTTTTAATTGAATAAAAAAAATTTGAAAATTTCGTGCACTCTGACACAAAGTTATGTCGGTGGTATTGAATTGCGAAATGATTTAAGTAAATAAATGAATGGGATAAATTCAAGAGTTTTTTAACCAATCAGGGGATTTAAATATTTTGAGATTATAAAAATGACTTCTAATGAATATTTTAAAATGTATATGCATTGGCTTGCTTACAGACATTGCGGCTTGCTTGCAGACATTGCGGCTTGCTTACAGACATTTCCGACCATTCGTAACGAGTCGCATTCTTTTTTCTATTATACTGAAAGGGCAATTTGTTGATCGAGTGATGGAACTTCGTCTTAATTGAGACAAGATGTGGACCTTATAAATTGAAATTATCTGCTTGCTAAAAATCAGTCCCTGAGGAGCCTTATGGGTCAGACCCTCCGAAATATGTACAATTGAGTATGATAATGAGCAAATTAAGGGTTTATTGATCGAGGCAAGTCACGCATATTCTATTCCTGGACCCAAGTTTGCAGCGATGTCATAAATTAACATCGCCGTGTTGCTAATGATTATTGATGGGTGCAGGTAAGGCCGGTTGAGGCGGCACGAAGAAAAAAAACGAGCTGGTCAGATTGTCCAAATAGTGACACATTTTCTTACCCACAGTACCAGCAGAGGAAGAACTAACATGCTCTTAATTTTAACGGGTGCCGAATACGGTCAGAATACACGGATTAAAAGTGCACCGTAATTTGGACATAGTCTCACTCATTTCTTTTATTGTGCTGCCTAGCGGTTGACCTGACAACCTTGGCGGCGCAGGCGAAAGCTAAAAGTTGTTCACCGCGCGCGCCGACGCGGTTTTTGACTGAGTTTTTGCCCTGCATTCCTTAAGATTTTTGTTTGTATTTAGAATTTTCCCATCGTTAAATTAAAGCATCGATGATAGTTTAACGTATACATCTTTTCTTTTATTGTGCTGCCTAGCGGTTGACCTGACAACCTTGGCGGCGCAGGCGAAAGCTAAAAGTTGTTCACCGCGCGCACTGACGCGGTTTTTGACAGAGTTTTTGCCCTGCATTCCTTAAGATTTTTGTTTGTGTGTTGAATTTTCCCATCTTTAAATTAAAGCATTTATGATAGTTTGACGTATACATGTAGTGACATCACTGGTAAATGTATTTTTAATGACGCCGTTACTACTATAGATGAAACATTGACTGTACATATAATGATGAGAGTATTGGATGCATAGAGTTATTATATAATTTTATTAGGTAAACAATGCTTCGAGTTATTGTGTAATTTTCTTAGACTGGCTCTAAGGCCGTGATTGTGATAGTCCTCGAAATGCCCGATCCGTTGCATCACATTCCGAACCAAAGTTCAACGATGGCGGCACCGTATTTTTGTCGAGGAAACGTGTCATTTTTTTATCTGGGAGTGACATAACCAGCGACAAGGCTGAAAGGAAAGTTAGGATGCTAGTGAAGGGGCTACACCCGCATGCAGTTACCCTTTAACGGGTGAGCATCTCGACGAAAAACCACGTCAGACATCGAGACAACTTTCACGAAGGGGCGTGAGATGATGCCGCAGCCAAGCTTGGGCAGAGATATGCAGAGGTAGACCCATTGAGCAGTACACGATTGTCTCAGCCTTGCTGGGGCACTGACATGCTAGATTACTGCTACACGTGATCTCAGGCATGCTGAGGTGCAAGCATGCTAGATATAGGGCAGGTATGCTGAGGCACAGACATATTTGATCTCATACATGCTGAGGCGACGGCATGCAAAGGTAAAGACATGCTTGATCATAGACATGCTGAGACTCAGCCATGCAAAGTTAAAGACATGTTTGATCTCAGACATGCTGAGGCTACGCCAAGCAAAGGTTGTTAGGCTACGCCATGCTAGATCATATACTGTATATGCTGAGACTCAGCCACGCAAAGGTAAAGCCATGCTTGATCATAGACATGCTGACACTCAGCCACGCTTAGGCAAAGTCATGCTCTATCTCAGACGTCCATAATTAGTCATATCCATGCTGCTGCATTCCGAGCCCAGATCCTATCCACTATTCCTTCTCATTCACATTTCTGGTCATTGAGATCCAAAAAATTTTCTCGCCATGAATGTTATGTTTTATTAATAAATATGAAGTGTATAATGTTTTCATTACGAGTGATATTTATCGGGTTGCAAGTTGGGACTGCACTACAGAGCACCAAATGCTTGTAAGCCAAGAAGAAGTTGGTATTGTTTATGGTCCCGAGAAAAGAAAGCTAAAAGTTTTATCCACCTTTCGTATTTTATTCATTTACTTTCTAGATTGATTGTGGATTCATCAGAGGCATCAAGAATGGTTTAATTGCGTAATATCATTATGATGCGTTTCAAAACAGTAACAGTTGTTTTAGCCTTGAGAATAAATATTAACTGGAACCTATAGAAATGAAAATGTTGCCCTCTTGAAAGCAAGCTATCAAGTGGAATGTTTGATAATGTCTTAAGGCTGTACAAAAAACGAGAGGGGCGCATTCAAATGAGGTCCAAATGAAAGCGAGTCTCATATACGAGCCAAAGAACTGAACTACAGCAACGACAAAATGAAACCTCACTATGAAATCGAATGAAAAAGAAGTGTTTCGTGTGTAAAATTGTAATTTTTACAATTGGTTTACAAAAGACTATTGTAAACCGCCAGTTATTTTAAAATATATTTGAAACGAATCTCCAAAAAATAAGTGCCAGTTTTTAATGCAAATAGATCCGAAAACTGCGCACAGAGATGTTAACAAATTTTATCTTATGTTTGCAATATGAAAACGTTCGTCTTTGAAATGGTGAAAGCTCAAGTGACAACCAAGTCTATAGTCCAGATCCAAGGCTATAGGTCAGAAGTCATATTGTCCAGTTCATTGCGGTGATCTCTCAATGGAGTAAAACCACACCGAGTTTGAGATAAATCAGATAATATATACGCACCCAATGAAGTCCTGACATTTACAGTGCCAGCAAAATGCTGCAGGTCTCTTATCGTCCTTAGGAGTGGCGACGAAAGTTTGCTCGTGGGACTTAAGTCTTAGCAAATGCAATATAGGAACGCGGGCAACTACAGAGTACATATGTGACTGGCCCCTTGTGAATTGAATGAGAAAAAAAATCGTCAATACGTACGGGAAAATAATTGTCGTACACACACTGAACCTTGGGAAGCTTATTAATCTATCAAAAGTGAATCAAAAGCCTTTATTTTAAGAATTAAAAACAATATAAGGCCAATTATATATTTTCGAAAACAATGATGAACATGGTTATGACAACAAACATGGCTCATTTAATTATCAGGTTTTATTTAACAGCGACTAGAACAATTTTATTTTTCCTCCACAAACCTTTCATACTCATGTTCATCGTCAATATGTAGACATGCGTTGACGTGCTTTCAACATGAAATTCTTCGCTCCTAACATCTTGGAGGCTTGTGGTCGCCTAACTCGTTCATACATGCGAAGCGATGTGCAGAGCCGAGGTGGAGTATTCCGACATAAACTGTCCACTTGCAGTGATGTCCCAATGTTCAAAATGAACAAGTCAGAACAACCCATATAAAAAGTCAAAGTGACGAGGAGGAATGTAGATTTGAAATGATGGTTCGATATCTGTGGCCGAAATGAAAGGTTTTATCGTCTGCAGGTTGCCAGCCTTTCGACGGGACTGCCACAGGGCCAGCCAGCCCAGGCTGTTAATCAAATATGCCTGTTAACCGTACGGCTAACGCGGTCCGCATGTTAACAGATTACGGTTAATCAAATATGCCTGTTAACCGTACGGCTAACACAGTCTGCATATGTATTACGGTTAATCAAATATTACGGTTAATCAAATGTTACGGTTAACCGTAACAGATTACGATTAATCAAATATGCCTGTTAAACCGTACGGCTAACACAGTCCGCATGTTAACAGATTACGGTTTACCCAATACGCCTGTTAACCGTACGGGTAACACTATTTGCATGTTAACAGATTACGCATGTTAACAGAAATTGTTTATTCATTTGGTTGTGTTACCCTTATGAATATTACTATAGATTTCAACCATCTAGGGGCGGCTATTGTTGAAATTACTTCAAGTTTTCAATTGCTTTCAACACCATTTGTCGTTGATAATACTTTGTGAATTTCTTCTTCAAGCGTTGAGAACATTTTGTATATTTCGGCAATGGAATATATCATGCTAAGGAATCTCACTAAAAACCCTATTTTAAAAACGAAATTTACAGATGAAAAAATTGAATACCAAATTTGCGTTAATCCTTGCATTTCTCCCCAGCCGACAGTAGTAGCCAGCCGCCCTCGGTCGCGGTCAGAGGCGGAGGCCAGAGAGGCGCAGCCTGCGAGACCTGCTCAGCCAGCGCCACAGCCGCGGCAACCGCAAGGGGTGAGAGACGTATTATAGTATCCCCTACACGCATCAAATTACACAAGAACAAATTTTCGTGAAGGAATACGTATCATTGTCAACTTTATTTATTCTATAGCTTAATTTTCGTTGGAAGCGTGTCATTATATCATGCGAGCTTCGTTTATTGTTTCTTAAAAGTCGGGAAAACATTTGTTTATACTTTATACCCAGAAATATTACACACAAACTGCGATGGAGGGCTGATCTATCACAAGTTTTAAAGTCCGGGACAGAAGTCTTGTCTCGGTTCATACGTTTATTCCGGGACAAATTTTACCCTCTGTCCCGTTATTTTTTTCCCGGAATTTTCTCGTCTCGTTTCGTCTGTCCCGGTTCATTTCGAGAAAATTATTTCGAGACGCAGGAGTCTATGATCTAGTACCTCTTATGAAATTCATCAATGAGTAACATGAATGGCTTCATCACATGAATACAAGGGTGGGTTAAGTGACTTACATCATTAAAATGCAAATTTTCAAATTCAGAGGCGTATTTACACGTTAACACTTCAATGCTTAACTAATGAGTCCACACTTTAAACCCTCACACATGCGTTTAAGTTTTCTTGCTCTCAAAACGCGTTAAAATACTGCAATTTTTCTACCAGGGTCGACTGCTCGCTGATGACGTGTCTACCACGACGTACATTCCAATTCTGAAAGATTCTCGCCGGTGAGTGATAACTCTCCATGCAAATAACGTTGAAAACCTGTTGATTTCGTTAAAAAAATACGTTTATTTTATGTTATTTTAACGTCTGGTGCCTGTTGGAAAGGAAAACTAAGAATTGAATTTGAGGAATGACACATGCTTTGTTCATTTCTTACCTGAATAAATTCTCTATTTCAATTGAGCTGGTGGTAAATAATGTCACTATCGCAAATTGTTTAATACGAGTTATTTTCGTTCGTAACTCATTTATAATTTCCCTTCAGAACTGACCCTGCCACTGGAGCCTTCATTTACGATTACATGGGAGCTGATGGATCCAGCAAATACGAAGTTCGTTTCTCCAACGGAACTGTGCTCGGTAATTTCTCGTATATCAATGACCAAGGTGAACGCGAGACTCGTTGGTACTCGGCCGGCGAGCGCGGAACCGAAATCCAAGGTGATAGCGTCGTTTCCCCAGCCCCTCCAACTCTCATTGATGAAACAACCGGTAAGAATTACGTTGACTTGAGCAATTACGACCTTTACCGTCACTTGGAGGTGCCGTACGTTCACATTGCGGGCCCCAGTGACCCCGATGAGAGAGGACAGCTGTCCAGCCTCTCCGACCGGCGACTAGTGGATGACCGCCGCCAACAGTCCCAAGGCAGACCCCAGCAAGCGGCGCCCCAACCACAAATTGCGTTAGATTACGAAGATGAAACAGCATTCGCGGCACAGGCACCTCAACCGGTTCAACCTCCACAGCCCAGCAGAGTCGCCAGAACCCGTACAAGGGTCGAGGCTCAACCGCAACAACCTCAACAGGCGGTAGCCCCGCGCCAACGTTTCGATGCTTCTGCTTTGGACACTCGAAGTCCCGACCATGTCTTGGATTCGCTCATCCAGCAATTCCAGTAAAGTCACCGAAATCGATAATAGCGTAAGATTTGCGTCGAAGATTGAGTAATTGTTATTATTTAAGCTCAAAAACTTGTTGTGCACGAAACTTGATTAGAACAAGTTTACGAATAAACTTATAACTGAAGAGGGTTTCTTCTTTCACATTTACACATTAACAGATAAAACTGCCCTCTACATGCTCGTTCTTGATCTACAGCACTTGTTATTAGGCACTTGAAACATTATAAATGCAAAAGCCATAATCATTCCCTAAAACTTGCCCATGTTGCTTGTATAAATGGCATTTGAGACGACTGCCTAAGTAACGCAGTGAATTCAACATGTCATTAAACCCGTGCCTAATAGTCAATTGGTAAAAAATATCAAAGTTAGCAACAAATACAGAAGGAAATTGAACGAAAGCATGGTAGCTGTGATAGTATATCTTAAACAATGAGAAGAACATACCAAGAGAAGTGATAGTTACAAGATCTGTATCAAGGAATACACTTTTTCGACACCAAAATTGAGTAAACGTGTAAAGTTCTAGGTGCTAAGTTCAGAAGGAAACATTTTTTCGCGCATCAGTACAATTGATTTCTTCGAACCGCGTAGTCATAGGTAGAACTGTTGTATCGTCAGAAATATGCTTTAAAATAAAAAGGATTAATCACCTAAAAGTAGGTTTATAGCTGAGAAGTAACAGGCTGGGGTATGGATCTTGAAATGACTAACGGATTTTTTAAAAGCAACAGACCTTTCCCCAAGCCGTCCAGTAAATGCTCCCGGCACTAGAGGGGCAGATACAAGAACAGTGCGATAAATCCTGCCTTTATGTCAACATAATTACATAACTACGAAGACCCACAATGTAAAACCACGAGCTCCGGGATGTGAAATTCATAAGATGGCTGCTTTGTATTATGTTTTTGTTATAATCGACATCGTACACATGAAATAATCGATTTAATAAAGAGCAAAGATAGAATTAGAGTCATTAGAGCGGTTTGGGGTATAAAGACATATTATCTAACGGTAGAAACTATCAATCGCTACAACCACATTCGTTTTTATTCATGAATTGTCATAAATTATTACTTTGCAGTAATAAACGTGGGTGCGTAAGGAGTATATACCATGCGAAGAAAGGAGGTTGAAGGAATCAAAGGTTCCCTCATCAAACAAAGAAACATTTTACGAGATGAAAATATTCTTTTTCTCGTCATCAGTGCAAGGAGAAATACTTCTTATATACATTCTTGATGGACGCAGTGACTTGAATCTGCTTCCTATATTGATAGTTTTTTGACAAAAATGCACAAAAAACGAAATTCGAGATTGTTCGTTTAATACTTTAACGTTCTTTACATTACTAGGAATAAACAGATTCAGGATCTTGTTGAAAATCGACAGTTTTTAATCGACCTAAACTGAGATTTTAAAATAACATAGACACAAGTCAGGTCCAAACAGGGCAAAGCACAACAGAGCGTTTAAATAAATAGAAATTTTGAAAAGGTCGGTGCATATGTAGCCTTATTATTGAAAAATTTCCTACAACTTTTCCCTCGTCAAAGTCATGAAGTACGAGCCTAAGCCCTGAGTGACATGAACTGGTTGAAGATGTCCAGGATGTGCGAGTCCAGATCTGGAGTGAAGAGCAGCTCATTCAGCGTCTTCCCGTACCGCTCAACTTGGTTGTTGTGCTGCACATACACAAATTCATTCATTAGAAACCCGAACATCAAAAGTAATATTCCATGAATTACTAGTTTTAGGTAATTACAAGCTTGAGAGCATCGCAAAAATAACTAACCAGCACAGCATGACGATTTCTTGCTCGGTGTCGCATTTTGACGGTGTTCAGACCTGTCAAAATGAGCACTGCTGGTTTGACCTGTAATTAACTGACCTGCATGAAGATCTGCTGCAGACGCCCCACGGTCCAGCGATACCAGTGCGTGTCATAGTCCCTTCGCTCGGTGTCGCACTTCGACAGGTGCTCCGACAGCAGCATGATGAACCGCTGCACGTCACAGTCAAATAAACAAATTTAGGGTTCTTACTATTATTACTTATATTTTAACTTGTATAAAATGCAACCGGGTTTTTGTATCAAGAGCACTGACAATCTTTACGTTACCAACTATTCATTCAGTAAAATAATTTGACTACATGAACTCAAACGTTTATAAGTAGTACATATAATACTTGACAGGTATACCTATATCTTATTTAGTTGCTTGGCATTGTCTTTCTAAGTAGAGGAAGCAAATAAGCCTGCTTCCTCGTCAAAAATGCATATTTGCTTATTTCAACATCCAGAAACTTCTATTGATAAAACTTCCTTGAAAAAGTCACAGTCACAGCGACGCGTAAAATACTGAAGAAGTTATAGTTTTACAATAATAAATTTGAAAGCAATGGCAGTTTCAGTCACCTATATATCAAAATAATAAGTGTTAATCACGTCCAAAAACTTGTAAATGATCTAGTAGAGCAATCGCGTCGTAGCACAGACCTGGAAGATGATCAAGAAGAGATTCTTTTGGTCCGTGTGCGCAGTTTCGAGTTTCTCTTCCATGCGCTCGATCTCCTCCTCCGTAGGTCGTGGTCGTGCAGTGTCCTCGTCGCTGGAGTTGTCGGAGTTTGACTCTGACTCGTCAGAAGCACGTCGCGTCTCGGCACCGCTTCGTCGGCGTCGGTGAGAGTCGCGAGAATCAAGCATGTCTTTCTGGAGACGCGCCACGTGCTTCGACATCTTGCGGATGGTGGCGTGCAGAATTTCCCACACATACGACCTGCAGAGTTTTCAAAAGTTTAGGCTTAAGTTAGCATACATAAAGACTGATAAAAGTAGAGAAACTCGGATCATTACCGCAAGGAATTGAGAGATATTTTCAGTCCAATAAAATCTGGAATAGGATTTCAAATAATTTTTTTTAGATAGAGATTCATAAGCATCAAAGATAATGGTAGTTTTTGACGGACTTAAAATACAATGCTACGTACTTCGAATTAAAGAACAACTGGAACAGTGATTGACTTCTTGGATAACAATTTCTTTTGGTTGAAGTCACTTCAACTAACCTTAAATTCATTAAATCATCATCCAAATGAATAGGAACATAAATATTAGAAAATGAATCATCTGTAACCTAAGCATATCAATTGTGATTTAAATAATTAAAAATGAATTATATGCAACTAAATCAAATAAGGGTTGCAAATCAAAGTCAGTTGAAACAACAGATCAGGAAAACTTTCCTTATTATTACAACACTTCTCTTTAACTTCACTTCTTGTTTGTCTGTCTTTCTGCTACAAATCTTGTAATCGAAATTTGACACACTTCTACTAATCCTATTGATCTGAAATTTTGCACACCTGCTTAATGTTGGAGACAATGCATTAATCAAATGACAAAATAAATGATTTTAAAAATAAACAATTTTTTTTTCAATATTAAAAAAATTGAAAAAATTATTTCGTCAGCTACAAATCTTATAACTGATATTTGACACACTTTACCTGTCCAATTGATCTGAAATTTTGCACACTTGTGTGAAGTCGGAGGCAATGCATGAATAAATTGACAGAACAAATAATTTTGAATTTGAAAAAATCGAAAAATCAAATTTTTTAATATTCGAAAATAAAATGAGAAATTCGTTGTACATCTTTAACATTGGAGACATTGGATTCGTTAGAAGTGTTGTCTTTAAAAAAGTAATTTTTAAACGTATATTATTTATAAACCTGAATTCATTAGTTGCGAGAAGCAACAAGACATCAATAGATTATTGCTCATCACCACAAATGTTTTGCTTGCAAATACAAAAACTAAAACACTGTGATAATTAAAATTGATTTGTCAGCAAGTGGGTCACAGGCCCATGACTAGAACGCAAAAAGGGATATCAAAAAACGCAATTCATTCACGGGGAAGCACGAAGAAACTTTCCTCTTGCCTCCTCAAAACAAAGGCCAGACAGGGGTCAGAAATTAAAGGAATATTTTCCAGCCATCGATTCATAAGTCCTCAAGAAAGTTAAAAGCAGGGCGATTTCATTGGTTGAATACATCGTGTTCTATCGCAGTCGTGTTCACTGTTCCCTCCCTTCCGGTATATTCTCCTTATGACGATACAAATCAACCAGAAGCTAAGAAAAAATAATGTGAGTGATGGGCTTCTAACGTCTCAAATATTAATTACAAAAAGCATATGTCACTAATAAGTTAAAGAAAAGTAACAAATCGTTTTTTTGTTTCAAATTAAATGCTCTGTAAAATCTTCAATCAATTGTCTTTCCACTGTAGATGCTGTCAAGAGCCGTTTTTTAAGCTGGAACCGCAACACAATTGAATTTTTCTCCAACGACCGGCAGATTTTCCCACAGTTCACTCACAACCAAGATCAGGATAGTCGAAAAGACAGTTCATTTCTCGAGAGCTCACTCACCGCCAAGATCAGGATCGTATCTAAAGATAACTTTAGGTTTGGCAGGAACGAAGCAGTCGAACTGCTCAGGAACCACCTCAGCAATGCGATCATGGTACGACAGCCTGCAAAATAAAACCTTTTACCGTCTAATCAAAGATAATGAGCAAAAATTATTATAATAATAAGATAATATCACTGATGAACATCAGTCTCCCATGCATCAAGAAGGAAAGCATTGAACCTCAATCAAAGAGCATAGTGCTAATAACAGTAATTGCTTAGGATGATCTATTTGATAAGCTATGACACTCACAGATAAGTAACATTGTAGGGCAGCATGCAAATCCCATGACAGTACCAACCTCATGCAGCGCTGCAGCACCTCCACCACAAACTTGGCCCTGGGATGATCCACAGGCAATTTAGCAGCGTGCAGCCAGTCGTCCCACGACCATTTGAATTGGAAGTTGCTCAAGTGGTATGCGAACCAACTTACAAACCTGTTTAAACAATCAAAGATAAGCCCAAAGTAATTGCGCAGTGTAGTTGAAATTGAAGTGTTGACTATGTCGAATAGAATAAAAATTTTCCGTCAATATTCATCAATCAGTGTTAACTTCGAATATATTCCAGAAGATAGTATATTGCAATGATGAAAGTGTAATAATCTTTCATAGAAAACCATGTTTTTATAACACATAGTCAGATAAAATGTTATTGTCAAAAATAGAGGATCTTTCAGCATAGCTTCATGATGTCAGCAAATACTACCAACAATTTGTTTCATTTACAAAGATTTACCTTCCAATAACAAAGATTTACCAGTTTACATTATCAATAGAAATTATAATCCATCTCACTAAATAGAAACTGCCTCAACAACTCACCGATCATGGCAGCAAGTGTTCATTGTATCAATGCGTTCAAAGAGAAGCTCGACTGCCTGGGCCAGGACTTGCGGCATGGTAGCGGGCTGGAGCTTGCAGAGCTCGATGAGCAGGGACCCATAGCAGATCTGAAGGTAGCGCGACGCCGGCAAGTGGAACATCTCGGCCAGAACGACCTCAACAATGACGTACTCCAGGGGGATCTTCTGCTTCAGTGGGAAGTCCAGCAGGAACGAGGCGCTGCAATAATACGTGAATTAAAAATACTGAGAGCAAATCTTACATTCACACACCGAATTCTATACCAAACAAGTCATGATAGTAACAATTGCACTTCATCATGAGTTGCAATCAAATGAAAAATTGCAATTGTAATTGCAGTTCATCATTGAACTGTGTTATTGCCACCACATTCCCAACACATACCGCTAAAATTCAACAAACTTTTCCAACTTGACTCAAGTTCTTTCCGTTCGAGCCGCAAGAAACTACTTTTTCTATAATGGTGATTGGAGCACTGTAAGCACTGTTAGTTAATCTTTAATAATGCATAAAAAAATTGAATAATTTTTCATCAAAAGTAGACACAATCGAGTAATTGCATTATATATAGAGAGGAACATAACTTCTGCAACTACTCTGTCTACAAATCCAATTGGAACAAATTTTTGTAGGTTGCATGTAGTAGGTATTTGTTTTGGTGAATAAATGTGGAACACTAAAATGAAATTGATTAATTTTATTAATGCAGTTTTTAAAAAGCTCGGGTTGTTCTTGTGTCATTCTAGATTTTTCAGAGACTTTAATTATTTAAGCAATCAATGAGAGGTTTCCCTTATAAAATTAAGGACAGCAATAATAGGTTTAACAAAACAATTGATTAAAAGCAGTTGAAGTAGGAAGTTATTACTTCTGAAACTATAGACAGAAGCAAGTAAGAAGAACACGAGAAGACGCTCGCGTCATTGCAGGCTTCAAAGCCGTGCACACTCTTACGTCTAGCCGATTTTGCACAGTGAAGGGGCAAGAAAGGGGCAGATGCCGTATAGATGTGAATAAATCTCATCTCTCCGAGGCTGGAATGACATAGTTATGTGTGCAATAACGTTAACTGGATCCATTGTTCTGTTTATGAACCTAGATAATTTGCTGAACTGAACCTTCACCACACTAGAATAACATCACATTATGTTACTGCAGGAACATTGCCATAATTATTTTGCATGATACGTACCATTGTTTTCTCTCAAGATGGAACTGCTTGATGATGTTGTGGAGGTGCTCCTCAATGAGGTAACGTTCGATGGAGTGCGCCCCTGGGAGGATGGGACCCTCAGGGCAGTCAGTGTAGGCAAATAGCCTGAACACCACCCACGGGAAGGGGTAGGTGTTGTCAGGGCTGTGCGGCGGGGGCGTGATGACAGGGATGTTGTGTTGCAGAGCCTCGCACAGGACCTGTGAAAATTAAGTTCAATTATGATCACAGTTCTCTACGTAAATGACTAGCTTTAATTATGGCGAGAACTGTTCTTTTGATTTTAAGCCTCGCATAACACCTGTGAAAATTTGGTCAATTATCTATGCTTAGCTCGAATCATACAGAAGACTGTTCATTTGATTTTAAGAATCATCAATACCGAAATGGAACAAGCTTGCAAAATGTCCCTTAAATAAATATAGGTACTATCACAAGCCAGATAACAAAGGATCAAGAATGAAGACAGTATCAAAGAATTTTGAGAACATTAAGGACGGCATTGCGAAAATCAAAGAATTATCTGCAAAATTTACCGCCATACCATGGAATTAAAAATTAAATGATAAATTCCAACAAAATAGTTAAAACTGAATTTTTTTCTTGAAATTTAGTCACAAATCACACCTAGAAAATATTTCATACAACTTCATGTGCTGCAACAAACCTGATCAAAAGCCACATAGGGCCTAGCAATGTGTTTCTCCTGCCAGTTATCTGAGCGCAGTTTGCAGATCTGAGCCCAAAGGCAGTCCAAATATTCCTCTTGAGGGTGAGGAGAGTCAGACCTCCATACCCGCAGGCCCGCGACGTGTTTACAGCTTCGTTTGTTAACGTAGATCTCGATGTGCTTCAGTAGCTTCTCAAGATCTTGTTCTTTCTTCTCATAAAGCTCACGGCCAACCCAAGGCAGCGAGCTCAGCACAGCGTAGATGTACGTGTCACTCCGAACTGCATAGAGAGATTACAACTTTTAATCCATAATATGCTAAAACAAAGCAATATTCTTGACAAAGCAATTTTAAAAAGTATAAATTAAATGCCCTATCTTTACTTACTAAGACCAAATCATTCAGGGCCACATTATAACGAAATGGTATTGAAATTAGTTGCAGATTTATCAACTGGAAGAGTTTTCAGCACATACTTTGATCTATTTATTAAAAACAATTAATAAGGATTTTATATCAACTTATCCCAATTCATTACTGTTCCCTGTTCTTCTCACGCTAGGAATCTGGAATTATATGTGTTACCTAAGTCCACTTATTAGAAACAAGTAACAATGGTTCAAGATTTTCAGCAGTTTCTCAAGTTTACTTAATAGAAACAATTAACAAGTACTATTCAAGATATCATGAGCATTATTCGTTTTCATTCCTTGTGTTGTATCACGCTAAGAACCTATGTCAATGGGCCAACTAAACACTGTTGTTCCAATATTTCTTGTTGATTCTCGAGTATTTTTAGCGCATTTTTTCATTTATGGAAAAAAGGCACTATTGTGCTCGTCATGTCCGTCCGACCGTGACTTCTCGTTTGATTTATACACAAGAAAATGCGCGCTGTCACTCACTGCAGTGAGTACTGATCCAATTCTTTACCTTGTGGTGCATTGTCCTCCTGAGCAGTCTCCAGGAATGAGTGGTAGAGCTGCAGCAGAGAGTTGGTTGAGATAACGTGGCAGTTGACAAGATCAGCAAAGAAGCGCACCACATAACGAGCAGTCTTCCACATGCAGCTTTTGAGAGCGTCCTTGAGTTTGCGAGCCATCAGATCTACAAACTGAAACAAAGATATAATGTAATGATTTTCTTCTGTGGGAGTAGAATTATGAACAAAAAACGGATAGACCAAAATATCTATTTGTTTCCAGATTATTTTTTGGTTTGCCACAAAGGAAAAGGTTACTTGTTAGCAAGATGCAGTTACACATCTTAACTTTACATGAACTTCATGAATTTTCTCTGCAGAGTGGTATATAACTGCATAAAAAACTATAAACATAGAGAGCAACAACAAAACGAATCAATGGGACAATGAAGGATAACTAACTGAATCTAGTTTAACATTATATTTTCTTCCTGATTTACCTCTCCTCCGAAAATGTAATTCTTAGCATTGAGCAACCCAACCAAAGTTGTATAGATGGTGGTTTTTTCTGGCATTTTGACAGCACATTCACTCAGGATTTTAAGGATTTTGTTGCGGTAGTTATTGATGTCCGCCTCCAGCACACTGGCCAGTCCTTCAAGGTTACTCTCCAGGGACGAAGTACTCTGGAAAAAATAATAAATGGTGATATCGCTCCAACTGTTCAAAAACATAGAGATACAGTTCTTAACACAATATGAAAGCCTTTGGAGAAATGAGCAGGACTATAAAATAAAATGTTATGCAATTGAGGATGGTGGATGCTAATCAATCATTCAGTGAAGCCCTAAAAATTTGAGCATTAAATTATATAAAGTATCTGGATTGTAAAGTCGGTAGCACATAAAGGGATAAGGTAATATAAAGTTTGCACATCTCTCCTTTTTTTAATACTGATTATAATTATTGAGTCCATTATTTGACGACATTGGCAAATTTCAGTTTTTTTGCAGCAGAAATTTACTAAAAATGTTTATTCTACTTCAAAGGATTTGAGTGTCCAAATTTTTATTGATTCCTAATATTTTCAATATGAAATTGAATTAATTTGAGATGAATTTTAAAATCCTTCAACAATATTGATTTGTATAAATGTCTATTTAGCGCATTTTCTTATTTATGGAAAAAATGCACTATTGTGCTCGCCATGTCCATCTGTCTGTCTGTCTGTCTGTCCATGACCTCAAGTTTTTGTCAACAAGAAAATGCGCTCTATCACTCACTGCAGTGAGTACTGAGTTAGATTTTTGTTGTCCTTTGTTCAACATGTCAAATTTTTTTCATGTGCACCTAAATAATTGCCTTTGAATTAAAAACTACAGAATTGAGTAGAAGCCAAGTGTGGAGGAACAAATACTGCCGTGCATGAAGCTCTTTCTCAAGCTCAGAAAATGTCTACTCTCAAAGCTACAATTGGAATTCAGTCATGTAAATTACCAATTGGCAGATATATGCGGGAGATAAAAATATATAAAATTTTGGATTTGTTTGGCTTGTATCAAATTTATGTCATCAGAACATTTGCCAACACATTTGTCCTTCAATACTCATTTATTTATATTCTTTGCAATAGGTAGATCTAAAAGGCTAACTGCTAACATAGTTCTTAAAAAAATCCCTTGGTAATATTTATAACATTTTAGGCCTTGAAATCTGATCTTACTGAAACAATGACCAAAATCTGTGTATTTGATAAGTAAAAGAAAGGATGACTAGTTCAAATACTATACCGGTACTTACAGTGATACCATGCTTAAACTGAAAGTATGTGACAATTAAATGAGGAGAATCATAGTGGCAAACCAGGTATTTTTTAGACTCAGTTCATTTTTAATTGCCTGAGCTAAAAAATTTGTTTTATATACCACTGATTTATATATTGGGAGGGATATTTACCTATTTACTTGTAGGGAAGGTCAACAAAAAACTCATTTATATACCACTATGATAAGCATAAAGCATATAGTGAAATGAAATACCTTTTCTCCCACTCGGATGATGAGTGATTCCAGCCTGTCTTCAATCTCGACAGCATCAGTGCGCCTCCGTTTTCTCTCTCGATTATCTGTGAACAATTTCAAGTTATTAAAAATATGTGACAGCTGGACAAATAAATGTCAATAAAGATGGTGAGATAAACATAAACATCAATAAAACAGTACACAATTTAAATTTAAAAAATATGGAAGTACTAGCAAAATAAGGCACTTCTCAGGTGCATTCAATTACATTGAATTAGGTACCTGAATATTATAAGATGGCACAAAGAATAAATTGTTGAATAATAAACTCAATATACAAGATCATTGATGACATCTTGAATGGGTAGGTAGTTATTATATTGATATTTTAAATGAATGTTTTAACAACCAATTGACTTGACAGAAGTATGGATTTAAATAACTAAAAGTTGTACATGCTGCAAGTGCAAACTTCAGAGGTCATGTTGGGCCAACAGCCAACCCATTCTGGAAAATTGGGAAGAAGTCAAGTCACCTGTGATATATGTGAATGAACTAAAAAGCTCTGGCATGCAGTAAATTTTGCCTATCTTTTTTACTATTGCATAATGTTTTAAATGTAGAATAAGCTTAATATACCTAAACAGCACATTTTTCACCTGTAATCTTTGAAAATGGTCTACTATGCAACAACAGTTTTTGCCTGTGAAGCTCCCTCCAATGTTTGGAAAATTCTGTCCAATATTCCAAATTAAGAGCAAGCCTACCTGTTACTAACATACACTCATTTTTAATTTTGATCTCCCTTCACACATTCATTTTGCAGGTGAATCTGAAATCTGAATAGGTACCTAGGTAGTACCTAGGTAGGCCTACTCACTACTCAATACTTGACAGAATTTTTCCAAACTAGCTAACAGGTTAAAATTCCAGTTTGGAAATTTGCAGTTAGCCTAGCGCTAGCCTAGCACTTCTCCCTGTGTAAACAGAACAAATTTTTGTTAGAGCAATCAGCAATTTACCGAGTTTTTACTACTTTTTTCTACTTGAATCTGAATATTTGAATCATTGAAAGACTTACATAACCGGTTAAGCAGTACCTAATTAGCATTAAAAAATAAGATTTCGTACTTAGGATGTACAATTTGCTCACCATAATCTCCAGTATCATCGTATTTCCTTCGACTCATGTTTTCTAACAAATGTCCTGAAATTGAATACCACACTCCACAGCACTTTCCGATCTGAAAAGGTATACAAAAAGTTTCGTCAGCCCAATATTTCACAAGCGAAGGTGGAACAAGTTGGCGATTTTCGTATACACATAACTGAAATTAGCAAGAAGACATTCAACATAAGTCATGTGATTTCAAGCGCGAGATCACATTCATCGTAAGGCCTTAGGACAGGCGGCGCAACGAAGCGCTCAGAAAAACAAGCCACATCCAACCCCTAGAAATAGGCAATTGAAAATGGTAAATGCTGGCGACGCAAGACCTGTACGAGTTGCAAGGTGTTGGTGAGAACAATCCTAGATGGCTGCCCCCATTCACATGCGCAAGTAGCGTCAGGTACAATTTTCCGAATAGTTGTTAAAACTAATTAAGACACACACACAAGTACAATGACACAGACACAAAGAGACAGAGAGTACATTGTGAAATAAAATGCAGTGCATGCATAAATTGACTCTTCAGGCTTTAAAGTGTATTACGCATTTCATATGCATGAATGAAAAAAGTTGAGAAATTTTATGTAAAAAGTCTATTAATAAGGTTGAATCACAATTAATAGTTATAAAAACGAATAATTTTTCTTAAAAAATTTTCAATTAAAAACAGATTAGCTTGAAATTCAGAAAATAATTAGTTATTAGAAATACGGCGATGTATGAATTATTTCAGATTTGTACGACCGAATCGACACTTCAGCGAACTCGCCTGCGAAGACCGAATTTGAAACGCAAAAACGTAATTTTTCGCAACTTGCCCAGTCATAAATCCTTCAATTAGGAACGGATTCGCATGAAATACACATTATTACACAGTTTTTATTAATGTAGCGGCGGGTATATTATTTTATATATTTTCAAATTGTTTCATTTTTTATTGAAACTAAATAACGATGATTTTGCGCAACTTGCTCGGTTATATCTCCTTCAATTATAAACGGATCTGCATAAATTGTGAGAATATATTATTAATTATGTATAAATAATAACATAATAAATACATATTTATTATGCGGAGATGGAAAATGTATTATAGATTTTACGTCATTTAATTTTTTAACAGTACGAAACTCTCGGAAAATTTGGTCAAATTAAGATAGTTATTAGATCAAGCTCATGCTAATCCGTTCAATATGCTGCCAGTTTTCGACGCTCCTTTAGTCCCTTTTGCCGGCGCGTGCATGTACCGGTGATTAACTGTTCCTCCTTGGGTAGATATTACATGATATATCCATGAGAACTTGGAGATTGCATTGGGTGTGGAACTTCCAAATGAATTCGGAGCTACGTTGGGCAATGTTTACAGTGAGGTAATCATGTGATTTACTGTCACGGCTATTGTCAGTCTGCCCCCAGATTCTGCTGCATGTGGAGTGTATATTTCCTCACAAAGTAAAGCTATTTCATTGCACCTGCATCCTGACTTCAGTGAGCTGAAAACTGAGCTTATAATGCAATATAATTCACGTTGGTAGTTGTTCAGATATCTAATCATCGTGACTGGGCTGTTAGTTCAGACTCATCCATACTCATTCATAATATAAACAGTGATGCTCCATAATTGAAGAAAAACACCATCAACGGTGGCGCGCACGCACATGAGGACATTGGAGAACGTCTTGATACAAAAAATGTGACAAAAAGGCTTCAGTTATGGTCCGCCCTCAGCCAGCCGTGTATGGCTGCGCACCCGCTGATTGGAAGGCAGGTAGCGATGCTGCTGCCACGACCCCGGCATTCGAGGAGTTCCATATTCTGATGGCCGAAGGAAAGAAGGAGTGTAGGTGGACGTCGGTTCTGGTGCGTGGGACCTGCAGCTTCAGTTGTTGCCCCTTCGTTGCGCGTGTGACTGGTTGGCAGAATCCTGAAGTAGGTTGGACATCGACTAGGCGATGCAGCATTTTTTACAGTATGCATGCATTATCTGCCGTTCTCCTCAGGTGGAGCTAGTCCAACTTGAGTCTGGCTACCATCTCAGTGGCATTGAATGTGGGGCTAAAATCACGTAGGATTCTGCGGGCCGCTCCGCGTTGCATCATCTCAAGGATGGTCTTCAGGTGCTCCTGATGCGTCTCACAGGCAGGTGATGTCTATTCCAGCACCGATCGTACGAGGCCTTTGTAGCAGTGAACGTGGGCTTTTGTTGGGCATCCTTTGAAATTTTGGTAGGCAAACGCGCAGGTCCAGTTGACTATGGCTGTAGTTGCCTCGATGTGATTCCCCAGTGCAGAGTTTTTGATATTTTAACGACGAGGTACTTGGCGCAGGAGATTTGTTCCAGCGCCTGTCCTTGGATCGAGTAGGTAGTGGGCACTCTATTCCTCTTCTTCGGTTACTGACAGCTGGTGGCATTTGTCAACGTTGAATGGCATCTGCCACTTTTGCTGCCCAAATTCCAGCTTGCTGAGGTCGTCTGTGGACATGTGGAATCACCGACATGGAGAACAGCCTCCCTGATTACATCGTTGGCGCTCCGAGTATGAACGAGTTCAAGAACAAACTAGATAAAGCTATGGAAAAATATATGTTCAGACTTGAAATGCCTAGCACCATATCGAAACCGGTGGAAGTCTAGTCTAGTAGCTATTTCAAACTATCGTTAGTCATGAAAAGATCCGGTCAAATGACACGATTTTAGATCTTCTGTGAACAAGTACGAAAATTTCAAGAATCGGCAACAGGCCACACCAGGCCTACTCCTTACCGCCGACATCACTATGTTATTGTTAGGTCTTGTAGACGTTGCGCGCCAAGCCGTTATCTTATGTGAGAATACGAGTGCGTATCATCTGCAAAAACGTCTAACTCTGGCGTTGAATTCTAGTTCGGTAAATATTCCCTATTTCACAGCATGACCATTAAACTAATTTGTATCTTGGCATATCTTATTCATATAATTACTGCTCTTTCATGATAAAATTATTTTATGCAGCATGTGTGCTTAAATATTTGCTGTTGTCTTTGGTAGAACCAGATGTCAAGATGTTGTCAATTTCACCAATTTCTTCGCGAGATGCATTGTGGGATCGGTCGTCATATTTATTGCATGGTCTAGCACTCTAGCTTTCGCCCACGTTTTCAATCTTCTGCGCTTGTCTTTTTCAAGATTTTGCTTAAAGATGGGACGCTGCTGCGTCGTTGTTGGATGTACCAGTCGTTCTCACGACTTTTTAAACAGAAAACTGGACAATGGAATGCGTTTTTATAGTTTAGCAGCCGTGAATGTCGTGTATATCGGACCAGTTTACGTATCGTACTAAGATACGTATCGTATCGAATGCTATTGAATAGTTACAATATGTTACTTATATATCGCTTATATGTATATTAAAATGCAAGAATGAAAACGTATAAATGTCAGATGCTTCTTGCAATAACATTTTTATTGTGAGCTTAGCCGAGGTGGCGCGAAGTTCAGACGTCAGGCTCAGGTATTTGGATTTCGGTAATCGCCTAATCGGTCTTCGGAGTTCGGACAGTTCAGAATTGATGTAGATATTGTTCCAGCTTGCGCCTTGCGCCGTGCCTGCACTCTTCTTCGCCGTGCCTGGTGGCTTGAATTTAGACTGTGCTGCCCAGGCAACGTATTGGTAATGCTAATGGTTGCGCAGTAGTCAGTACCAGTGTGCACAAAATATTTGTAAATTAAATTCATACTTCTTCTTAAAAACTATCCAATATATTATTGATAGTTGACAGCTTCGATCGACGATCATAGCCATAGCATACGCTGCACTGATGCAGGAGTATGACGAGCTGACTGCCAGACTTACTGACTTTAGTGACTTAGCTGTTAGCAGTAGCCTCAATGCCCTCAATACACTCCTTTTACTCTGGCTTGCCCTTTGCCTTCATCTCCTCGAGGTGATGATTGTTGCCCTTCATGAACATCAGCCTCTCAAAGTTGGCATCTGACAGGGTGGCTCTCTTGGCACTCAAGATGTCCTTACCTATGGAAAACAGGCGCTCAGCTGCAGCACTGGATGGGATGGCTGTGTTGTACTTAACAAAAAGGTTCATCAACACCTGCTCGCCCAAGAAGGCAACGTCAGTCAATTCCTCCTTCGAGCAGCTTTCCAGCCTGATCTTCACCAAATTCTGCGCCTTGGACTTCAATGACCAGTGGCTCCTCGGTTCAGCCTCCTCCTGCACTCCATGGGCATGGGCTGAGTAATGCTGCTGAAGAAGTCATCATCCTCATCATTGCTGGTGCCTGGTGGTGCTGCTGCCCTCCTCAACGGTCTCCCTCAGGGCTGTCTCCACGGCGGTCTCCATGGCCTTCTGTACCCTGCTGAGATCAGAGATGGCTGTGATTATGCTTTTCCAGCCAGAACAGGCGAAACTTGAGGTGGAAGGCCGCTGCCAGCTGGCACTCCTTGTCTTCTAGGAGGGGCCCAAACCTTTTCGTGATGCCCGCCAGCATTGCGTCCACCAGAGGACTGCAGTATAGGTGTGGGCGTGGCACATAGCTTACGATACTTAGCATTAAATCAGAGATTTTTAAACCTTTTTAGCGGACTTCCATTTAACGGAACTAAATTTAGCGGAAGCTAATTGGTCCGCTGAAGGTTTTCAAAGTTAGCTGAACAGCTAATCCGATAAAGAAAAAGTTAGCTTCGCTAATTAGCGGTTAGCGGATTAGCGGAACTGTGCCCACCACTGTTTATAGTTTATACCATATCATGGCGTATGGCCCTGGCTGCTGGCCCCTGTGGGCGTATGCAGCAGTATAGATGTTAGCAATTTTTGAAAATTAAGGCTAAGGCTACGCTACCTATATCAGATTTGCTAAGCTAGGCAGTAGTTTTATTATTTTTAATTAAAAAATGAAATGTTGCTAATGCTAACTTACTCTTAAAGTTATAACTGTTATTTATTTAGTTTGTGCATTGTTTCATTACAATGCTTTTCTTTAACTGCATTTCTTTTTGTCTGTCTCAGACAGTCAGACTGTCTGCTACTGTCACTCTCTAGTCTGTCAGCATTCAGTAATAGTGCCTATACTGTGCTACTTGGTATGCAGCTACAAATTTTATAATCAATATTTAACACCTACCATTGACCATTCTATGCGTATGGTGTACCGTGTATGTCACTGGTTTTTCTATTCTACCTGTCAGATTGATCTGAAATTTTGCACACTGGTCTTGTTGTTGTTGTAGCTAATTGCCCATCCTGATAGTGGCAACTGCCAACTAGATAAGGAAGCAGTGTTTTTCTGGGCACTTGGTGGCGGTGCCACGCTGCCACTGGTAGTTCCATGACCATCACTGGCTTGCTGACTTGCCAGAACCATTTTTGCATTACACAACACCCTGGACAAGCCAGGTACCTACTCATTTATCAACTAGAGTTTGATGAATGGCTGAGTTGACCATGAGCTGAGCTTCCTGGAAGAACTTGTCCTCAGTGGGACTCAAACCCGGTGCTGGGTGCGAGAGACTGAGTCTCTCACCACTTGTCACCAGTCACCACTGCACCACTGCAGCTCTATTCCATCCTGATGACAAGGTCCGCTGTTGATGACGAGCGCAATTGTCTTCTAGAAGGCAGATCCGACACGTGCTGCAGACCTTCCAAAGTTCCATGAGATAAGGCAGCACCAGACCATGAAGGGCTTGAAGGCATTGGAACATGCAAACATCAGACCAGCAATCTTGTACTGCGAGCACTGCTGATTGCTGAATGTGCAACCAGTAAATATTTTGCAATATTGGTGTCACATGGTAGAATTTTCATGAGATTTCCATTATAAGTAGGGAAATTCTAATCCTGCATGCTTGAAGTAAATTTCAACTAATTTTATGGCCTCTGTCTAAGGTCTAATTTGTCTTCAAAGGAAACAAAAATGGTACCTACATATGATAACATCTACCTATGATTTTTGAAAATTTGCCTTTAAGACAATAGTTTTTACATGAAATTCTGCCTAATATTCCAGATTGAGATTGCGTATGGTAGTTTCAATATTTGAATGCTGTAAGCAAACTAACTTGATTGCTTGATTGTAACCACAAGAATCATTGTAAAATGTCACAAAAAAATATTTTGCTCATCAAATTTGAATGTTCCCTAATGTCAATGAGGCATAGGTTGCTACTTAGTAGCTACTCTAGTCAACATGTTTTCCATCAATAAAAAATGATAATAACATTCAAATTTACAATTGTAAGGTTTGATTGTTACATAATAACTAATACGTTTTTAAAATCATGCTAGGAAGTTGTGGCTCAGTTTTGTTAACAAAATTAATCATTTCTTTTTGAAGCTGGGTTTCTTTAGGACACAAGTGCTGTGGGGATGTTAGTGGCATTGACATTAATCCTGGAATCTCCTAGTTCCAAAGTTGAATAATTTCTATAACTTTGCAACCTTGGTACTTGATCATGCACTTTTGTAGCCTATTAGGTAGGCAATAATTTATTTATTAAGATTCTTGCAGCTCCAACAATGGCAGAAGTCAAGGTTCTGAAAATGGATTTTCATGCCTACTGGCAATGTGAATTTTGGCCAAAAATATTGTACAGAATAGCAAAATCTGTTTTTTTTTTGTCTGGAAAACCAGGCTATGTTTCCAAAAATTATGCAAAAAAATTTGCATTCCATGGGTAATTTTCAAAAATTGTCAGCAAAAAATATCTTACATTGGCAATTATTACAGAAGAATTTGAGCAAGCTCTACAAGAATGGGTGAAATTACCCCCCAAGCGCAAGTTTTTCCTGTCCTGATTTTCAATAGCAGTATCTTGCAACCCATGCAGCTAGTAGATCAATTAACACTACATGCTGCTCACACTTATCTTTATTTTGATGACCAATCAATAAATTAATGGCATCATGACCAGCATTTCATCATGAACAGCAAGTTAGTGTTGAAATTTTGTGAAAAACATGAATTATTAAAATTGAAACTGATAGGAAGATATGCAGCAGAAATTGCTGGGGACCTGGGGCTACTTATAGAAACAATAAATCAAGAGGAATAGGATCTAAAATTTTAGAGGTTTCTCCTATGACCATACACATTGTTGAAAAGCCAACTGCAAATGTAATGTCACAAATTTTGCTTCAGTTTTTCTCTCTGGATTAAATCTAGTGTAAAATTCGGAATATATACGCTGGAGAACTGAGTGCTCTGATTTATGACTAAAAAATATTGGGATCGAAGGCATTGGTGTATAGCCATCCAACAGAACATCAACCTTTGCCTTACATTGTTGTTGGTACTCTAACATCTTTAGGTGGGGATTAATTGCAATACGGGAACTTTTAGAAATATTTTTATTTAATAGATAATTATGTTGGTTGTCTGTTTCTTTTTCGTTCTGTTATGATACTTATAACTCTAAATTTTTTTGAGTAATTTTGTAACTATTTTGAGCAGATTTTAAGTTTCTAGTTTTAGCATTTCTTAGTTGCTTTTATTGTTTTGACACAAGTCTTTTTACACTACATTTGCATGCAATATAAACTGCAATGAGTGAAGCCATTCTTGAGGCAGAGCTAGTAGCTGCCTGTTCATCTCTAGGCTACAGTGATGGAGACAAATACATTCGTGACCCTGAATGTGTTGAAATTATCAGAGATCTGCTTAGGTAAGTTGAAAAGATGTCTTGAGGAATTCAATTTGTGATCTATATCAATTTCAAATTTGTTTGAGGAATCCTAATAAATTTAAATTCCAACAGTTTCTGGAGCTTTAGTTTAGTAAATTATCTGGTTTATTTTTAGAGGTCTATGTCAGTTTATCAATGATCAAATATCAGTTTAATTATACATAATTGAAATTATTGACTATAAAATATTAGAAAACTTTGTTTCCTTTGATTAGTTTCTGCTTAAATAAAGACAGTTTGAGTGGAGTTGATAAATTTTGATAATTCTTAATTAACTTGGTTTTTAAGTAGTCTTGCAAAATTTATTCCTCACATTTAGCACACAGTTAATTTTCTTGGCCTACTAACAGAGGCATTATTTAGTTCAGGAAATTGCTTTAAATTGAATTAAAATGCTGCTGTAAGTTCACATTTTTTATGTAATAAGTACTGTTTTACATGCTGGTTTTTAGAATTTCTTGATCCCAGGCAATTAGTGCCACTTTGCTCTCTCTGGCCTGGTAATGCTCTGAAAAATGATTTCTTCTTATGCTGTACAAATGCCTACCTTTATATTTATGTTAGATCTCCACATTTCTCTTGCCTAGTAATAGTCAGAAGTAATCAAAATAACACAAGCCATTAACATGCCACAGATATCTTCGTCGTGATGACAGTAGCCACCAAATTCGTCTTGCGCTCGGTGAGACCCGGGTGCTTCAGACAGATCTGTTACCACTCCTTCGTGAGCACCATAGTGATGGTGTCCTGCTGGACCTGGTGCTGCGTCTCCTGGTTAACCTCACCACTCCTGCTCTCCTGGTTTTTCATCAGGAAATCCCTGAAGACAAGTCTGGGCGACAAATGTATCTCAGACTTGTGACTCAGCAACAAGGCTTTAAGGTTGGCTTTCTTACTTTTTCGATGTTAATTAATGCAAAGAATAGAAATTAATAATAACCACCAATAAGCTATATTGCTATAACATGTTACAAATCAACTTGTCTACCATCTTCAAATGATTTCTTAAAAAAAATCATGGACAATGAGATGTGATACTATGTGTCCCAATTAATGAAATGAAAATTGAAATATCTTGGAATAATGTTAAAAACTGGGACAATTGCATCTTGGAGATTATTAAATGTGATAAAACTGATATAAATGTAAATATATAGATATAAATTGAAATTTATTTGTAGTATCCTTACCCTGAGATGCAAGAGGGAGCTTTAATTACCGGTATTTTATTATACATTGAGCTGTGAGAGTGAGCTTTTCATTATGCATCCTTACACTGAGTTGTAAGTTTCCTTTATTATCATCATATCTGCTTTGTGGGTTCGTTTCCAACATTGTCAGAGCAATTGCTTTTGATGTCTCGTCAGTCGTCACGGTGTCCTCTGTGGTAATGCGTGCTAAAGCTGCCCTTCCCCACAGGAGGCGTTCACGGACGCGGGTGTGTGGGCGGGCATATCTGAAATCTTGAGGACGAGGCTGGAGCAAGGAGCAGACCGCGATGATGACGCTAACCTTGTAGTCGAGATGGCGCTTGTGCTGCTACGTAATGTGCTGGCCGTTGCCCCCGGCAGGCATGACACCACGCGTACTGCTGATGATGCAGACTTACACGACCAGGTCAGGGTTTTGTATGATTTCATCATTTTACCTCTATTTTCTATTAACTTTTATAGTGTAAAAGTCTCTTATTTTGAACTGCATTTGAATGAATAGTTTCATTATTTTAGACTGTATTTTAGTGTATGGTTTGGATATTCCGCCTGTCTATATCATCTTCCCTTTTATAAGGTAGGTTGCTCTCATTTAAAATGCATTTCAATAGATGATTTAATTCTTTAAAATTGCATTTGATTGTATGGTTTCATTATTTTACCTCGCTACATTCTCTTTCGTTTTATAAGATAGTTTATCTTCCTTTGAACTACATTTAAATTTGTGGCTTCATTATTTCAAATTTCATTTGAGTTTATGGTTGCATTATTCTGCCTCTCAATTCTCATGCCTTTCTATTCTAGTGTATGTTTGCCCGATTTCTTCTTTTCTCGGACGTGCAATCGCTTCGAAAGGAAGGCTCATTTGTTTTCGAAGCTTGGAATTCACAATTTAATTTCGTTAGTATTATTTTCGTCTTCTCTATAATTCATTTAATGGATCGAATGAGACAAAATGGGTCAAAAATGAGTTGAACTACTAGAGCACTTAGTAACTTAGTTTCTTCCATATTGTTAAAATAGAAGGGGCAGTTTACATGTCGCCTACAATGGTTAACTTTCTCAATTTATATTCTATCAGGGTGCGTACCGGTCGTGGAAAACCTGGAAAGTCATGGAATTTGATTTTTCATTTTCTAGGCCTGGAAAGTCATGGTATTTCATTTCAGGTTATGGAAAGTCATGGAATTTGCAAATAAATGAAGAAAAAAGAAGTGTTTTTCTGTGCTACGTGTGTTAACCCATCAATGCCGAGTGGTTCCATTGGGATCCAGTCATCCAGCGGAGAAAAATGGATTCACAATAAAATTGTAAGATCAAATAAATATACAAGTGGATGCATAGGTTTGATACACATTTTGACATGATCGGGCAAAGTTTGGTTCTGCTCCGCAAAGTTTTGTTCTACTCTCTTTTCAGTCAACATTCAAAGATTACTAGAAGTAGGTCATGGAAAAGTCATGGATTTTTTTTCTAAATACCTGTACGCACCCTGTTCTATATAATTTTGTAATTTTGCGTCTCTGTGTGGTCCTCTAATAAATTATTGCTCATTGGACTATCTTCTTGCTTTGTAAGCATACAACTCTTTACATGATTCCATCATTTGCATTGTTAGAAGAGTGACGTGAGTGGTTAAATAATAAAATACGACAAGTTATTCAAGGAATGGTCTGAGGTTCATGTTAATTAATCAAGAAATGGTCTGAGGTTCATGGTAATTAATTACAGAAATGGTCTGAGGCTCATGGTAATTAATTAAGAAATGGTCTGAGGTTCATGGTAATTAATCAAGAAATGGTCTGAGGTTTATGGTAATTANCTGGTACGGACCCGGGAGGCTGAAAAGGCGCGACGCCAACAACAGACCCGCAAGCACTACAACGCTCGACACTCCCGCTTCGGAGGCACCTTCTGCATCCAAAACATGAAGAGCATCAGTGACCGCGACGTGATTGCGCATAAGCCCTTGGCCGATGTCTGTGCCTTGGATTTTGATCAAAACAAAAGAGGCAAAAAGATCCCGAAAAATCGTGCTCCCTTGCCCGATTCATCAACTACGAGGCGGTCTACTCTGGCAATCCGACTTTTCCTGCAGGAATTTTGTGTGGAGTTTCTGAACGGTGCATATAATAACCTGATGAGCATAGTCAAGGATAACTTGAATAGAGCTCGTGTGCAAGAACATGATGAGTCGTACTATTTGTGGGCTATGAAGTTCTTCATGGAGTTCAACCGACATCATGAGTTTAAAGTTGAACTCGTGAGCGAAACATTGAGTATTCAGTCTGTGCATTATATTCAGACGAATATCGAGACGTATCACGAAATGATGACCACCGAGAAAAAGAAAATCCCGCTGTGGAGCCGCCGTATGCACAACGGTCTCAGGGCCTATCAGGAGACCATGATGACGTTGGCCTCAATGGACAAATCAAACGATCAATCAGTTAGAGATTCTTCATTGGCTCTCAAGAGCAAGATGTTCTACGTCGTCGAATATCGCGAATTGCCGCTTGTACTCTTACTGAATTATGACCCTTCCAAAATGAGTAGAGCTTACCTCAAAGATCTTGTTGAAACAACTCATGTTTTTCTAAAGCTGCTAGAGGGCATGTGCAAGAAAACCAAGCACCTTTTAGTTCAGCTACCTCAGCGAAAGAAGAGCAGCCATAAAAGGAAACCAGAGAAAAAGGCCGGTCTGCCTCCGACTCCAGAAAAGCTAGAGGAAATCTGGAGTTCGTTGGCTGATGAGCTCTCGTCCGTTATACGTGGTGAAGCTGGCGAGTTGCCTGTAATGGTTCCCTTTGATGCCGTGTCTGAACTTTCAGAAGACGAGCAAAAGGAGAAAGCCATGCGTAAAACCAATGCTTTGCTGCGTGATAGAGAACTGGGCAAAGCTGTTGCACTTTTCAGAGCCTCGAGGGAAGTGTGGCCGGAAGGAGACGTATTTGGTGAGAAAGATATCGACGCCGCCGGCGAACTTGCGTGTTTGAGAGAAGTCTTCATGGCGGATCTAAATCCCACCCCTCAAACCGAAACTCCAGAAGTTCCAGAGGAGGAGGTGGAAGATGACGACGACGACGAAGAAGAAAGGGAAGAAGTTCATGCTGTCGAGGAGTCTGCTCATATGAGTGAAAGAGAGTTGGACTTCCCGGCTTTTGTGAGAAGATTTGCACACCCTAAAATCCTGCAGTCTTACACATGGCTATTTAAAAGTTATTCGAGTAACAGCGACCACACAAACCGCTGCATCATCAAATTATTTCACCGCATTGCATGGGACGCAAAACTACCAGCTGTACTTTTCCAGGCTTCAATTTTTGTCATTCTTCACGAGGCCATGACGGACCCAGCTCGAAAAACGAGTGAAATAATCTCTGAAATCGCGAAGTTAGGCAAGTACATCGTGCGACAGTTCTTCACAATAGCTGAAACCAATCCAAAAGTTTTCATGGAGATTCTTTTCTGGAAAACTTACAAAGAGGCTGTCGACATAGAGTGTGGATACGATGGGCCATCGACATCTAAGGCTGTTAAAAGTCTTTGGAGTGAAGAGGAAGAAGACGAACTAACACGCCTGTATAACGAATTCAAAGATAACGAATACGATGCTGACGATCCAAAAGACATTGCTGATCGCATCGTTCAAAGCTTGATCAGACAAGACCGGTCTAGGCGCATGGTTATTAAGAAACTTAAAGACATGGGCCTGATTGCAAGTTTAAAGGAACTGAGGAAGAAGCCAACTCGCGTGATGGCTAACCAGTGGACGGACGTGGAACTGGACGAGCTCAAAGTTCTTTATGAGGAGCATAAGGATGCCATGGACCCAATGTCTAGAATATTGGACTTCATGGTAAACCGCAAACCTAAGCATCGCGTGATCGAAAAACTATTGGAATTAGGTTTAATCGATGATAAGAAAGAAGTGAGACGGAAGAGGATTCCTAAGGCGAAACAGAATAAATCAAGAGGAAAAAACAGCGGAGAGCAGTTCTTGAAAGCCAATCGCGATTCGGACGATGGCGCCGATTCAGAAGTCGTCGATGACTCTGATGGATCATCCTCTGAAGATGATGAACAAGAACTTACTGGGACTGTCCGTTCAAAATCCACAAATGCTGTACCTGTTGTTACTCCTCATCTCGTGTCTGTCGCGCTTAAAAAAGTTTTTGACTCGGGGTACCGAGAGGCTGTCTCATGGCTTGTCGAATTACTTCAAGAAGTCGCCGACGATCGGGAGTCTGACGGCGATTTCTCCCCTATTCCGATCCTTGCCGTGTCCGATGAGCAGTCGAAAGCAATCGATGATGATTGCTTCCAGTCGCTTCTGAAAATTATTGGGATCCAGCCGCCTCAAAATCACGAGGAAATGTTCTGGCGAGTGCCTGAGAAATTGTCAGTCGAAGGTCTCAGAAAAAGAGTGCAGTATTTGTCGCAAGGACTTGAAGGAAAACTTCCGTCTCCTACTGACCGTGATGAGGGAGACTCTTCTGTAACAGAATCGTTCAGAAATAATGAAGTTTTGGAAACGCCACTTGAAAGTTCTTGTCCGGAACAAACTGAAGACGGATCAGACGTCAACGAAGAAAAAGAAAATCGCGGTAATTCCCCACTCATCGGACATGATTCAAATTCAGAATTGAATTCTGATTCGTCATTAGTTTCGCCGCATCTCAAATCTAAGAAAATAACTAAACGGCGCCAAAAACTTGATTCGGATACTTTCAACGATCTTGTTTCTAAAGCTGCTCCTAAAAATGTGAAGAAACGCAGAATACTGATGGAGCAGAGCGACAACGAAGACGATGACAATTTGTATACGTCTGACCGAAATAAATCTCCCAAAACAAGCGAAAAACGTTCGCAAGTCGAGTCAGATACATTTGATGCCTTGCTAAATTCTCAGCACAAAGCTGGGGCGTCGAAAAAACGTAGAATACTAATCGACCAGACCGACGATGAAGCGAGCAACGACTCACAGGAAAGTTCGACTTCAGCTGCCGTCGGTGCTCACGATGCGGTAGACGATAGCCAAAATTCCAGGAAAAGAGCGCGGATCTTGGACTCTGATGATGACGAAGCGTCCGACGATTACACCAAAATGCGCAAGTTGGAACCCACGCGCGGTGTGAATGAGACCGATCAGGATAGCGACGATGACCAGGTGCCTATAGTTCGTCACAGGACCAAGGCTGTAATTGACAGCGATGATGAAAATTAGTAATACCGTTTGCGTTCCTCTATTTTTAAATTCCTGCCCGTAGATTTTACAGCGTTTGTATTCTAATGGAAACTATGGTGTGAAATGCCGTTTTTTATTATGTCTTTTAAATTACTAACGGAATTTCTTATGATTTTTTCATTGGTTAGCTATAGGTATGTCACGTTTCGTGAATTTTGAAGATCATACAGATGAATTTGTTGCTGGGTTGTTCCGGTTTAGTTTCATTTGACGCTTTAAAGTAAAATTTTTATGCCAAAGAGGTTTCAAAACATTTTATTTCTTATCCTCGTTTAATTTTTTTCTAAAATTGTTATGGGTGCCCTAACATTTTTTACTCGCATGGTACCGAAGTATTTTTTTCAATTGCTTTGATAGTCGTTATCGTGCATTCTGTTAAAGGATCAATTTTGTAACAATATGCTTGATATTATTCAATAAGTGTCAAGAGGTGCTTTTTCGACCAAGTTCTATTCCTGCTTTAACCAACCGTGGAGTGTGGAAGTTGTTATATTAAACTATATTCAATTTATTCTTCTCTTATCATACTACTAAAAAAAGAATTTATTATCATGAAATTATTGGTTAGTGCATGGGGCTTTGAACAGGAATTTGTTGGGTGTTTTATGTTGGCAACAACTGCTTAATTCTTCGAAATAATTGAATGTCTGCTATCTTCATCCTCGATTTTAATAGAAATGTTTCTGATCAATGTTTTTCATGTAGTCGGTCATTACCTCTACAGAAGCGTGTAGTGATACGGGCCGTTTCTTATCAATGAGAGAAGGAAATGTGGAAACAAATTTTATTTAGACAGTTAAGAAAGTGAAGCACTGGGACTTGAATTTTAGAATGGAATCTCATTCCCCCCTATGATAGGAAGAATTTTTGGAAACGATGTAGCGGTTGTCTAACCAAATTCTTAATGTTACATGCCGCCCGTCATAGAATGACCCACAAAAGACTGACCGAATAATCAAAACGTAGATTTTTACGCCGATGACTTCTGAAAACTTAATTCAATGGGAGTCTCGGGGAAAATATTGCTTTTTAGTGTTCAACAGGTCTTTCGAGGTTCAACGGGTCTAATGGGGTTCAATATGTCTTACGAGGCTGGTTCAACGGACCTTTAAGGGTTTGACAAATTGACGGGATTCGGAATAACGTAATTTTAAAATTGCACTGATAATCTAAACCATGGTAATGCCGGGCTAACACGCCCGTTAATTATATGGACCATTGTATGTCGTCAGTGACCTGCCATCAATTAACTTATATTGAGGAAAAGTATGAGCACTTTCTGGGTAAATTCAACGCGCGAAGGCTGTAAGATGTTTTATTCTAACAGAGGTACTCAATATATACATTATTATACACTGCTAAATTTCTATGTTACATTGAACATTGGTTGCCATTGGTACATGGATCAAAAGAGAGACCGAAAGACGACACTAAATTTTTCCCTCCACTAACAACTAAAATATTTGACTGTTCAAATGTTATATCTGCACTAGTTTGCGCTAAAGTGTTCGAGGAAACTTAATAGAACAGTCTTTGGAACGTTGTTTTTTTCGTTAAACCAAGAGTACTTATAAGCATTCAAAATGAATATCAATACTGGGATTGATCGTTAGCATGCTATTTTTGGTCGAGTGGCCGTTCATTAATTTATAAAAGGTTGTTAAAAGTTCAAGTTGTTGAAAGTTTACGAGGTTAGATGGAAAAGACAAAGTTCATGCTTCACTATATAGTATTCAATTGTCGCTAGTGAATTGATTGATAATTACACTGCAGTTCATACATTTAAACAAAAACTTAAGCTGAATCTTGAAAAATAACGCAAATGAATATCTGGCGCGTTCTCAGTAGCAAAAAACATCAATTAATATATACTTAACCAAAGTGGAAACTAGACATTTGCTATACACAGTTGAAAGCACAAATTAGCATTGATATGCTCGAAAGAAGCCGTAACATGACATAGCAAACACAGTCATCTCAAAAAGAGTGGGACAAGATTGATCAACAACCTGAGACATCTTTCAGAAAAGGCTATCACCATCGCGGAATAAATCATAATTACGATAATAAATCGAGAAAATGGAATATCAATATTCAATTATTTACTAATTACAATCTCGAAGTTGAAAAAACATTTCAACTTTGTCTAAGTTCCTAAGACTGTCGAAATAAAATCGCCCATAAATTGTGCTAAAGTCACAACTACCGAAAGCAAAGGCAAAACTTTACCTCGCTGATCTAAATGTCTTGCAAGAGAATGCCTATAATAACACGGCATCATTAAATTTAAATTATTTCCATTAAGAAACGTCAAATTGTCAGATTCTCGAAGAAGCATGGCCAACTGAACGGCTAATTATTTAAATACGGATAATTAATTTAACAAACGGTATCAGAAATAAATGCTGAAATAATTTCTATTTTATTTTTATTAACGAGTTTCTCAGTCGAAATAGAGACTCGTGTACATCGTCACTTATTTACGCGTTCTGCGTATTCTCAATATAAATAAAATAATTATCTACTGCGTGCAACTGCTATTAATTAAAAACAGTCTAGGTAGAAACTACCAATCTTTATTACCTATTCAACAATCACGAATAATTGGTCAACAATAGTTATATCGATTTTATGAAATATCAACGATTTCATCCAACTGGCGAACACAATATTGTTATAATGTTAAGCCTTCGCCTGAATGCGGTGTTTAAAAAATCCATTAAAATCTCGATTCTAAGATACTAAATAAGATTTAATTTGAAAAAGCTACTCGCGCTGCGCTCATACAAAGCTGCCAAAGAATTTCATGAAAATGCTGAAATTTATCAAATGGTGACATTCATTGAGTAGATCTTTGTCTTTATATTATACAAAGCTGCATCCGAAGCTAAAGATTAATTTCTAATATCCATTAAATTTCATGAATTTATCGCTAAAATAGCTCACCTCAACGCGAAAAATAACGAAACAAACGAAGCTGATGAGTGCGAAATTCACTAGAATTATAACGTTTGTTTGAAATTTGTTTGCTTCGGCAAGAAAATGAACGGAAACCATATGGCCATGCACTACTAGGATTTGAGTCTATTTATTATATCTTCATGTCCTTTCTGTAAGACTAAGAGCCAGCCGTATGTGAGAAAACCTGTGATAATTAAAAGAATTATTTATTTTATAATGAAATGAGTTATTTCATAGTATACCGGTTTTATGAAATTTTTAGTACGATTTCCCGTCCCAGCAATTCGTAATATAAGGGTCTAACGAAGTAATATTTTTCAGTTGAAGTTGAAAAGTACTTCATGCTCCGGGCAATTTTTTTTTAGCATGGCAAGTATATAGTATTTGTTTTGCTGCATGAAATATTCGGTAAACGAGACACTCGAACCAGTCCTTGCAGCCTTGTCTTATTCAATACCGTTTGAATCGTCTCTTCCTAACGTAATTCAACAATACTTACATCAATATATGACTGGACATGAATGGAATTTCAAAGCAGATTGTAACATGGAAAAGTTGACAGTAAAGGCTACAATTTTACGCCAAGGAAAAACACTAACTATAGCCGACAACCTTTTCTCACTTAGTCATTATAGTTAATCAACAATGAAATGTTTACCTGAGCAAAGGTGCTCAGCACCAGATACAATATATTAATCATCATATTATACCTTCTGTCCTGTGCTCGGCTAGTCCATCTACTTTCCTAGATAATATTTGATGTAAATTCATACTAACTCATAACTAATAAATATATTTCTTTGCCAATATTCTCTTAACATATGAATGTAGTATCGTTAGAATATTACAACAATGATATGAACACCTCAGCTTTATCCAAGCTCAGACTATCATCTGATAAAGCTTATCTGAAGCGCTCGAGTTTAGTATCAAATTAATCATCGTAATTATCTGCTAATGCGCTTACCTATGCATATTTTGAACAGTTCAAAATAAACCCTGAATATACACAATTTACCGGCAGTTATGAGTCAAAATTCAGGTTGATGGAAATCAGGCCAAATGCATACGGTACCAAACATCAGTTGTTTTTAAGAAAATTTTTAATTTCGTTGCAGGTTTCAATCCTAAATGACAGAACAGGAAAACATGGTATTTCTGATAAACTATGAGGTAATAATAACGATATATTGTTTGCATCTCTTGGGCAGAATATCGAAGAAACGAGGTGGTCGTAATACAGGGTGATTCACGAAAACTTCCTGTTGTGTATTTTGCGCCAGGCAGCCAGATTTTGTAGGAAATGGGTGATGAGTATTTTATATTAAAGGAAAGGTTATGAAGTTTTGTGTCCAGCCTAGTAAGTTGCCATTATGCATTGGACAAGTGAGCAGCGTGCGTTTGCTGTCGAGGCGTACTTTTCTAAAAGCCGTTTTGCATGCAGAGTTGTTTCCGTCTGAGACAACATCTTGCAGAGCGCCTCATCTCCTTCTTTGGCCGCCCCGATCCCCCGATTTGGCTGCGCGTGATTTTTTAAGGGGCTTTATTAAATCAATTGTTTACAATGACTGTCCAAGGATACTACCTCATTTGAAGAACAACATACGCCAAGCCATCGCCAACATACCCGTCAATATGCTTCAGCGAGTTCAACGGAACTTCAAAAATCAACTAACTGACTGCATTGACAATGGGGGACGTCATTTTTCCGATGTCATCTTTAAAACAAAGTGTACAAAAAGTGTTCTATATAGTTTTTTTATTGAGCTTTTAAATCAGGAAGTTTTCGTGAATCATCCTGTATTTAGTTTAGGAATATCAAGATAACACGCAATGTAATGGACAGAGTGGAGATCTATTTTGACATTCTAGAAGATATTAAAGAGTTCGATACTTAATTAATTAATATTCTTTTCATAACTCGACGATTTAAAGCACGATTACCTCTCATACATTCTAAAATAAACCAAAGAAAGTCATTACTCAATGATGACATTCAGTATGATTCTACACACCAAGGCGTAGATCATGTAGGTCAACATTTTGACCATACATGTCAATCAACAAGCTTAACCTAAGTTTTGAATTCTTTTTGGTAGTTTAGATATTCCTCTTAGAGCCATGTTTCCGGCCATAGCTACTTACTGTTTGATTATATTATTATAAATAAGTCATGAAGGTATTAAGTGATAGATACATAATTTTGAATAAGGTTAAGTTTTGAAATATAATGCCGATCTGCTTTAGTAAAATGAATATCTCTGACACGAGTTCAAGTAATTTTCAAGAAAGTCCGAGAGTGTGGCAAAATTTTGTCGAAGTCTGATGCATATATCTATACTCCCTAGAGTTAATGAACTAAAATGTAATGTCTCGGGGAAATTCGACCTTCTCACAGACCGATGAAAACCGATTCCTTCTTTTCTTGCTGTTAACAAAAATTATTGGTATGGTATTCCAAACTTTTGTTAATATCGATTTTCAATCTTTTGTGCGCTTATTTAAATCTATTCTACTATCCAAATGAAGGTAAAATCTACAAGTTATTCTCGAGAATTTCGATGGAGGGGGATATTACGTAGGAGTGCTGCTATCAACGTACAATTGGTCGAAATGTAATGAAGTTGAATATCCAAAAGACTTCGGAGTTCATAAAGGACTTCGGAATGAACCTTCAAAATACCCTTCACCATCAGGAAATAGAACAAATTGATTTTTTCAAGCCATACTGATTGACGAAAGAAATTGTTCTTCCTCATATATGTATGATTTAGTATTTTCTCATAATAACAGCAAAGATCGAGTGCACTTTATTGCACGATGCTTATTTGAACGATCATAACTTTGGAAGCTATTTTTCAGAAATTTTTTACACATTGAAAACGCGAGAGGCTCTACTCAGTGAGAGATGTTACCAATCTTATTCCAATGCGATTGAATTATTAGTGGAATTAGCAACATTTGCTCCTAGCTTAATTAGCAGAAGAAATTTCCCCATGGGGCATGCATGTTGATAAAATCTATGGAGATGGGATACTTAACTACGATGCAGTCATGCATATGAATATCCTGTGAATCGATATACCAAAACTTGGGACTTGGGACAGATTTATACATAAAAAATTACTTGTTGCATATCAGGTAAGATGTAAGTAGATGGTAATCAAAGTAACTTTAATTCGGCAGCGTTTAGAAGAAAGCATATAAAAATAAGACATTATACACAAATTGCTACCTCCACAAACATGATCATCATCATGATTTTTCTCAGTATATTACCGTGTATTGTCAAGGGAGAATTATTATGTAATATATCTTAAATAATGACACCACGACTAAAAGGTGATTCATAGTAACGCCGAGTCAAGAAATATAATTGAAAAACGTACAGACTTCCACGTATTGACAATATTCCATCAATACATAGTAATTCTTACATGATTTAATAGAGCCAACACCTGAGGAAGAAGTAATGACGTCTCATTTTCTTATAGACTAGAAACTACCATCACATACTTCTTTAAAGACGTATTACCATAACTTTAACTTAGCCACCCATAGAAGGCGAGACGATTCGACGAGAATGAGCAAGTTAAAAGGAAATTATACATATATTACAGAATGTACAATAGGAAAAATTAATGCTAATATCGTGGAAAGTGGTAACCATCATACAGATGTATTGCCATGCGCTTTCATGAACACAGAAGTCGGAGTAAAAACCAAGCTTATAACTCGGTTACAGATGAGAACACATTTTTAGGACATCTCAAGGAATGACACTATATTATAATAGAGAAACGGTCATTTATTCCCTGTATCAGAAGTCGGACATAGATGAACACCACAATACGGGAACATGTTACTCTGGTATTATGAAGGATAGTTAGACAATATTTGACTCTTAGATATAACATGCTAAATGCCATTGAATTTCAAAGACCAAATTTCTTGAAAAGGAATGACTTTCCTTTGGACATGGCGTCCGTGACCGGATTTTGTGTGGCCAAGTCTCCCAATTTTCCCATAATATTGCTGTCACCCATTGGGTTAGGCAAGGAAGAAAGTCCTGCACCCAGACCTCCCGGCAAGGCTCCTGCTAAACCAGCTGGTTTATTTTCACCTTGAGGTCTCCCATTTGTTGCAGTGTTAGCCGCGGCGCCGGTCAACGGAGCAGCAGTATCCTCCATAGGATCGTTCAGTTCAAAATCCTGCATTAATTGATCTAGATCGGCTGATGATATAGCAGGTGGTGGTTCTCCGTCAACACCAGGATCGAGTTCGTTCAGTTTCCTACTGCCAATTGAGGATCTGTCACGGGACAGCGACCTACCACCTCTCCCCTGCGGGTCGCTGGTATTGGTCCATCCTTGGTCTGGACGGTGGTCCCCCCTCGTATCCTGCAGAGCAAAACACAGGACAAATTGAAGGTTTATTGCCAAAAATATTTGTATCGCTAACAATTTTATGAAAAATGAACAGCTCAAGTGCTAATTGGAATTTAGAAGACATTACTTGCGACCAGAATTTGAAATTCAACGTTTGAGATTATCAATGACATTATCACATGTGTTTTTGTGTTTTTCAGATAAAGATTCTAATGCAAAAATGAATGAATTAACGTCAAACGTTATATTCACCACATAATGAACAAAAGACATACGTAACTATGCATTAAATGTGCCATAATAAGCTGTATTTCATGATATTTTTTTGGATAAAAGTAACCTGGTTTGGTATACTTAGGATTAATGCTTCAATTTATAAATTTAGCCAACTAAAAAGCGAAAACCTTACATTATACAAAGCAGAACAAGTCTCGTTAAACTGCTCCTCATATACTAAACGTTGGGTAGAAGGGTAATTTAGTTAAATATCTATTAGGTATTTACAAGAGGACAAGGGATATTTTAGTTAAATTTTAGTTACAAAACGTCAGGTGAACGAATTAAATCAACTCAAATTTAGAGCTCAAAAACGACCAGAAAGAGAGATGGACGAAGTGTGGCGTCGGTGAGTGAGTGAAAGATACCGATTAATTTTACAGACGGTACGTGTTTTAATCCAAAATCGGATAAAGACTGGCAACGCCCATTAATATGCTATACTGATCCGATTATATTTGCATGAAAATAGATAATAATTCATTGTCAGGTTCTTTATTCACATATTATCAGCTGCTTAAATCGAAATAAACGATTTTCAGTACCGGAACGAAATTCTCGATGACAGAAATGGTACAATAGTTGATGCTTATATCGCGAGGGGCGTGAACTAACCATCGTTCAGATATATTATTTTCTGATGTTAACCTTGAATTTGTAAAAGCAAGACCAGGAAGACTTGATATGGTCACAGTTTTATTTGATTACGTAGTCAACTGGCGCTGTCGAACTGCTAGAGTAAATTTTAAAGTAGAGTTTTGGTAAACTTCGTGTTTATGAACTTGTTCAATCAGCTGAAGAGATTTGTGCTGAACTGCAATGCGTGCACAGGCAACTATTATCATATTTCAGTTGAACCAACAACGAAAGTCGCATCATTCCATTGAAGATTGAAATAGATTCCTTCTAGAACTTCTTTTTCTAAGCAAAAATTGCATGCACTTCAATTTGAGAATAAATGTGAGCCATGATTGTCAAAAAAATAACACTTAGATGGTGCAATATAATAGAATATAAATTTTTAAATTGATAAAAATGGAGAAAAAGTTGTTGTACAGCATATAAATAATGTGATTAAAAAAACATAAATAGTTGCATAAATTTTACAAATTCATGAAGTTCTATGATGTTCAGCCGCATTAATGAACAAGATCAGCAGCTAGTATGATCGTCTATCATATCTTACTTACAATCGATGCACTAATGTACCGAATGTAAAAGTTTCCCTAGTAGAGGTTGATTAGTACGGTACCCGAGTTACTAATTACTGCACCAGCTTTAAATGTTGCAAGATTTATCACGAATGGATAAAATGTCATGATATGAAGCGTAGCGATGCATGCAAGAAACATGGAGACGCAATCCTTATAATTTGCAATCATTCCTTGGTAAATACCCTATGTCTGATTTTCAGTAGCTTCTGATACTAAAAGCTCAGAAAATATTACTATTTAGTTGATAAGAAGCGAACTGAACGATTCTCCATCGAGAAAAAATATGAATTGAAAAGATGAGTAACATTACTTTAATTCTGTCCAAAATAATGAGTTGCAGATGCTAATTTATATTGTAACGAACACCTTGCGTACGTCAGGCAAAGTCGTCACCGAAAAATCAAATATGAATAAATACCCTAAGAATAGAGATTTGACAAATAATTTGATCGAATAAAAAAAGGTCAAGCACACAGAAAGCTGATGCATGCTGACAAAGCTGGGGCGCGATGCGAACAGGAGATTGGACACACATTCAGGTTCGGAGCAACTCACCTGCGTAGAGTCGGTGGCGAGTTTGGTATTACCTACAGTAGGGTCTACATCGAGTGAGAAGAGAGAGGTAAAATAGTTAAGGAATTGTGGGAGGCAGTTAAAAACATAATGCAAACACCAAATGGCATTTCTCCTGTCAGATGAACATACATTGCAATTAAGGCTACGAAGCGGAGTATAAAATCATCACTGGAAATGGTTGTGAAATACAGATACACATTTCTGTCAGTACTTTGCAGACACACCACTGAAGCTGGAAAGGAGACAGAAGGATGTGGTCAAGATGAAATACGGCTAAAGGGCGCGTAAAACCGAAAAGCGGGTATGAAACATACGTAGAATAAATAAGATGCTATTGTCAGAGTACCGATACCGCGGTATTAAGCTTTGCTCAGACGCATACGAGAAATGCATAATGTTCAAGCGAGTTATTGGTATTCAAATTAAGTTTGGATACTAATAACACGTGTTTAGCCTACGCGGTCATACGCGTGGTCTGTACGGTAGACCATTTGTGCTTTTTCATAGCGTTTCACTCTAATGTTAGAATATCGGAAGCACAAATTAGCCGATTGATAGAAGCTGATACGGCACTACTGGAACCTGATCTCAATTAACAATTGAAAGATACACTTATTAGTAACTTGACGCACTGCAGGCTCCTACCAACGAATCAAGGGGATTTCTGGCCGATTTGCCCCCTTTGCTGGTGTGCAGCCATCTTGCATCGGTTTGAGCACTTTCCATCGACTTCGAAGTACTGGGAACTGTTTTGGAATCTTCTACCGATACATCATCTTTTGCGTCCGAGTGAGTTTCTTTATTTCGAAAATGAATATATGGTGAAGCTACTGCCGCGCTCTGCTTAACTTTTTCCAACCAGCTGCTTTTATCATCTCCCGGCAGAGTTTCGTTACAGTTTTTCAATTCCGAGTTGAGTTTATTTTTTTCAGTACGATTGAGAAAATGTTCCGTACTGCTCTTTGTGGCCTGGTTAAACCAATTTAATGGTAGCCGAGCTTCGTTTGAGTCCGCTACAGTTTCTTCCCTTTCATTTTTTCCTTTTGATAGTGTAGTAGGCATTGCTACGACCGTGTCGTCATTTTTCGCATCAACAAGGCCTTCGAATTTTTTAAACCAAGTAGCCGGAATCTTCGTCCGGTTCTCATTGGCTCCCGTTTCGTCCCGTTTAGGCGCAAAGGCGCTTGGGGTGCTAAATGAAACTGACTTGGACTTGGATACAGGAATTTTTTCTTGCCTTGAATGGCTCCTTTTAGTTCGATCGTCAACTAGGGTGGAATTTGGGCGCGCCAGAAGTTCCGAAATAGATCCAACTGCAGAATCTGCACAATTTCGCGTAAACAGTTAAATTCTACACTATATGTTTAATTGGAAAAAGGCTGAAAGCTTTAACAAGAGAAGCGACATCTTTGAAACACCAAAGCTGCATTTTCACACACATAATGCAGGCGGAAACGATGCGTTTTGAATTGGCCACCAAATGAATTATTGGCAGGGTTTGATTGTACGAGTATATAGTAGCTTAAATACCATGCCAAGCAACGTTAAATAAGTAGTCTCACTTTTCACGCTTAATGTTAAGTCTGAAATTTCACATATCATGCGAAACACACAAAATTGGGTCAGACGATTGGTAGAAAACGTACGAGTGTTTATTTTGTGGGACTTGGTATTAACGGCACGAACTACAGAACGGCAGTGGATTTCATGGTCTCCCATTCGTCTCATGAACAAGGACTGGTCTCCACCACCAGCAAGACAAAAATGAAGTGAGAAGCGCTACTTGGACTTATAAGTATCAACATAAAACCCTGGTTATCGGTACCAGAATTTGGTGGTGTGGAGATGTGTTTCAGCAGCGATGTCACCGTCCTTACCTTCAAATGCACTGTGCCAATAAGAACAGAAAATATCAGTGTTGGGCTTAGTACGAAACTCCGGCAAAAGAAGTAAGAGAGAAGAACGCGGTATAACGAGAAACAATTGCGTATCAACTTCTACACTTTTACTATCTGGAATCAGCACATAAATCTTTCCATTGAACAAGCAGCAGAAGAGCCCAGAAACACTTAATTTGACCATAACGGCCGATGACACAAAAAACGAACCACGTGAAACGGAACGGCTTAGCAGTTTCAATTTCAGATGTAATTAAATTAAGTCATGTAAAAACTCTAATAAAATCTTTCCAAAAATGAAATCTAAATTTTCTACTCAAGTGATAAATAGCTCAGGGATAGAATGGTTTGTGTTGGTATAAAACAAAAGCACATTAAAACAAGCAATTTCTAGGCCATAGGCTAAAAACAAACTGTAGAAGAGCAACGGAGCGATGTGTGTGTGTGATATGAAGGTATTCCTCCTCAGATTTTATTTTCAACTCGTAGCATATCGACTTCAGTTACGTTTCATATTGATTGTTTAAATTCATCTTCAAGTAATGTTAAAAAATTTTTCCGAAATTTCGGTGCGACTACCGAATAGAACACAAGATTGCGGTAAGGAAGACAGCATGCGTGCGTTACTCAGGTCAAAGTAGACCTGATGACTACATGAGAATAAATAAAATAACAATACTATAGAAACATTCAAAACATAAAACATCAAAAACTAAACACCAATTAATGCTCTAGCATTGCGAATTCATATTGAAAATATCTGATTGAATTCACCACAGAGTAACACCGAGTCTTTTCGCATTGAGCATGCGATGAACGAAGTTAAGAATCGAAAAAAAGTGACAGATATAAAATATTTCTTTAACTCACAATCTCAAAAGCACGGCTACTTTTCTGAAATAATAACGATACCTGGAGAAAAAGAGCAGGATTTCCAATAACATCTAAACGTTCACAAATACTGCTGAATCAGCAGCATGCAGATGTAAGAAACTATTGTAAATACAATGAAGATTCAAGACACCGATGAGAGATGAGGAATCTCATTGCATTAGCTAATGAAACACCCAGGCATAAAGTAAAAATTCGTTTATTACCAGTCCGCTAATTTTTATAAAGAAGCCTTTGGGATATGTGATAATAAATCCTTTCTACGGTGCACTGCGTGGTCACTTGAAAGCAACGAGTTGTTTTAGTTGGAAAATTAATATGTTATGCATTACTGAGCCATTGCTTCCTGCTTAAAGCCTTCGCACAAATAATCCTAGGTGTTCCTTCAAAAATTTTGAAGTAGAATCAAATGAAAGCAAAAAGCAATAATTGTTCATTTTAGCACTATGGGATCATGCATGTTAATAGAAGTGAGTGAGGTAATGGCTGGATGAAACTCCATCCAGCCATTATAATGTGTAATGGAATGTGGAATGCAAATGTAATGTGCGATGCACAATGTGAATGGAATATTATGAGATAATGATGGTGAAATACCTTCTAACACGCACACAATCGCTGTGACATTTCAATATTCTCCAATGTTTAAGTATCTGAAGGAACAAAATTTCACGTTGAACACAAAAATGTGAAATTATATTGATAAATTAAAAAGCTAATAACGTCGAGTATTGAACCAAAAAATGAAAATTAACTTAATTAATTAATTAATTAAATAAATTAAATAAATGAACAGGAAAATGTTATTATTTAGGATTAGATAGGATTTTTAAGCACAGGTAAAATAATGACAGGAAAGGATCGCAGCTTGGTCTCAAAATCGGTAACCAATTTTGAGACACGGTCACGGGATTCAATATTTATCTATCCTAAGAATAAGAGAATAAAGCAGAAGTTTTTTCACAAAAGTCTTACTCGATGTGGCAAAAATTCTTCAAGTTGAAAAAATTCCTATAAGTTAAAGGCCGTAATATTATATTAATAATAATAATAATAAAAGTGGTTTTAGCGTTTATTAGGCCATAGGCCTGTCGCCGATTCTTAACATAGCAGAACATTCACAGCTTGTTACGGTCTCGAACTCGCAACTCACTGCTACAATTCTGCTGTGCTTAACCGCCCGGCCTCCTCGCAGATTCTGACCAGAAACTGGCGCACAGAGCTGGGATCGAACCCGCGCCTCTCTGCGCCAATCTTGGTACTCTGAACTGTAACCACTGGGCTACCCTGTTAGCATTGTTTTCTACTACTGGGCTGTGTTATAAAATAACATCACAAAACGAAATATATGGAAATTCTTGACACGGCCAGCACATTAAAAACCAAAGATCTCCATATCTTTGGGGGCTCCTTACTTTAACTTTTTCCTTGCAATACGAAAAAATGTAATACAATAAATCTGTCGGAACAAATTTTTTAAGTAGGCATAGTGTTTTCAAGCAAGAAACATTAAAATGAACACAAATTTTCTACACGCTCATGGAATGATGAACACAAATCAGTTTTTTATCGATGAATTGAATGCTCAACGTAGCGTATTTCTCAATAATTACCTCATTTACAGATTTTTAAGCTAATATAATATGAATTTACTTCGGCAGTTATTTTCAATCCCTAAACGGTGCAGGAAATAATGGCAATCTATTGAAAATGTTGAAAATGCTGTTACTTAAAAAATTACATATTTTAACAAGTGGTTTGAATCCGGACACCGCCACGTGGTGACAATGAAAAATGGATGTGAAATTCGAACCAAATTAGTACTGACTTGCGAAAAAACATTCATAAAATATGAACATTATTTTATACTTTGACATAGGTTTGAATCTATAGTTATTCCCGCAAAAGATACTGTAATGCCTCGTATTCAATCAAAATTTTCGATAACAGAAACGATGCGTCAGCTCATTACCTACGAAAATTTGTTCATCGATTTCAACTAGGTGAGCAGAAAATGGAATACATATCTTCATTCTAAAATTACGATGTGCTTGAAAAAAACGTTTAGAAAGTAGTCGCTACGCGGCATGCGCCCGCACCAATAGAATCCCGCACAAATTTTGATGCCCTATTACAGCCCTACATATTTAAATGCGTTATAAATATAAAACACTATTTAACATATAATATGCAGAACATAGAACTTATAACCAAGATACGTAAGCGGTAAAGGACGCAGGGTAAATAGTAAGATGGAAATCAACGCACCTTTCCTGCGGTCTCGCTGGTCGGGCCGAGGGGGCGGTGGGGGGCCGTGGACCCCTGGTCCCAAGCCCCGTCCTCTGTCCCGGGGGTCCATCGCGTCACGCCGTCTATTGTTACAAAATTATTCATTTCAAGTAAAAATTTAAAGAGCAAGTTGCAGTAACACTCAGTAATATATTTTAGTGCAATTTGAAGGGTGATTGTGCCGAAGGTTGGGCACGAAAATCGATTGGACAAAGAAGTTTCATGTTTGGATTGATATTCAACCAACATTGCAGTTCTTTAGGTTGTCAACATCATAGCGTTTTTATCGATATGTGGAATAATTTATCAAGCATATAAGTAATAGCTAATACAAAAGCTTCAAGGTTGGCGGCCTTGTGGCCGATTTCTTAGGCCATCAAACCACAAAATACTTTAGGTTGTCAAAATTGTAAAAAAATTGAATTTCTAGTAAAATTGAATTTCTATTAACGAGTGGAATTATCTTTCACGCATAAAATACAAAACCTGACCTCATGTCGTCAGGGTAGTCCTGGTTCGGTGCCTCCTGCAGGAAGTTGGAGGGCACCAGCCCGCGCTGGCCTCTCAGCTCCCCCATGTAGAAGCCATCATCGTCCATGTCTCCGTAAACGTAAATAATGTCCCCAGTTTGAAACGATAGCTCCACCTGAAAAATTTAACCAGTATTAGATCGGAGTAATTTGTAAAAATAATTTTTTCCTTTTCAGTAGAGCATAGGGCGTGTCCTGTGATGGTTCAACCTCAGTGTAATGAAGATGCTATCGATTATTGTCATAGGGACAAAGTCTCGATTATTTCTTTGAGTATAAGTTACCTCGGAGTCGACGTTGGGGGAGAGTTCCTGCGGATCATAGTCGTATATGGCGACCATTTTCTTGACGGGCATATTGGCGTAAATGTCCCCCCAGCGGTCGCCTTGGTGGCCCCCGGCCCCGCGGCGCCCCAATGAACCTTCCCGCCGGCGTCGCCCCATGGGCCCGCCATCAGTTTCCTTCATCAGCTCCTGGGCGACGCGGTCGTCATCCACCTGCCATCATCACGATATACACCATTCACGATGTACAATACAGCCGCCATCACGTTATACAATAATAGCCGCTTAATTTATTTGCAGAATCGCATAAATATGGACGATATAATACGACTATATGATATTTCTAAAAGAACTAAAGTGCATAACCGACCAAGAATTGTAACTCCCACCCCTGCATTAGCTGTTGACCATTTCAACGAAAAATGAATTACAACAAGATTTATATATATATTTTTCAAATTCACGTGTTACAACATTGTATTTCAACTTCGATAACTTCCCTTCAAATCTGGAGTGAATTCGATCATTCCAGTAAAAAGAATTACGACTTCACAAGTTAAGAGGCTAAGTTCTCAAGTTAACTGTGCGGATTGTTGGGTGCACAGTTTGTGCACCCAACAATCCGCGCAATTAGCGAAGCAAGACTAAATAAATGTATAGTAAAACATTAGAGATGTATAATAATGAAAATGTTTAATAAAATGTATAAAAACACAAATTACCTGAACTTCGGAGACGATGTTACACGGTACGTATCCGGACCGGCCCCCGCACTCGCCCCAATAGAAGCCATCCGCATCCTTGTCCCCGTAGACGCGGATGAGCTGGCCCTCCCTGAAGCCCAACTCCTCATCACAGGCGTTAGAGTTGGGGCTCATCGTGGGCGGATCGTAGTTAAAAAGTGCCACGAAAATACGGGCGTGGTCCGGGCCTCTCCCAGCCGCGCCCGGGCCTCGACCGTATGGCTTGTCGTCGAAGCGAGGGTCTCTGCGGTCTCTAGGATCTCGACGGTCTCGGGAATCTCCTCTGGGTCCACCCACTTGGTCTCTGTGAACAGATAAGTTATATATATATATAATCGAGAGCTATGGTGCGAAGGATAATCTCTGACTTTTTCAACGACATTATCAGCGTAAATATATTTAAAGTCAGAGATTATCCTTCGTAAATTTATTTAACCGCACATATTAAGATATATTTAACCGCACATCTTACAATGCGTTTATTTGTTATTACCGATTATCGGTCGTATTTGTTTCCGTTTTACCTTACCCTATCAACTTGTATTTTATAACTGTAAGGCTGTAGCTCCATTTATATACAACCTATAACACTATAACTATAAATGGGATATACGTACCTTCCAATATCTTATAATAATTATTGGACTAAAAAAACGAAAGTTGCCATTTTATTTCCTATTCAAACTATTGGAGGATTTCAAATCCAGCTGTCGATTTTTTCCCCTTTAGTAAGAGTTTGGTGTGCTCTCAAAAATTACAGGTGATGACTAAGAAAGTTCGATTAAAATCAAAAATGGGTTTCTATTGTCTCTACAATATCACTGTTTTTCTGTTCTTTCTACGGTAATTGCATAAGAGACAAAAATTTCAAAACGGTCTCAAATTTTCCCTGCCTACTTGTGTTTTCCCGTAATTTGAAAAAATTTAAATAGAGTCTATTTATTTGAATAACGGCGGTATTGAGATAAGAGCAATAATATGATACTTTAATTTTACGAGAAAATGTACAAATGAACAGATCTACTAACGGGTGAGCTCCATCATAAGGAAATTTAGATGAACGCAACCAAGCATCTTCGATGCGCTGCGACATAGAAACGTGAGCATAAAATTAGATGTACGTAAAAGACACAAAATAAATAAATATGCTTTCAGCGTTACAGAAACTAGATGAAAAATTAGATGTACGTTAAAGACACCAAATAAATAAATATGCTTTCAGCGTTACAGAAATTAGATGAAAAATTAGATGTACGTAAAAGACACCAAATAAATAAATATGCTTTCAGCGTTACAGAAACTAGATGAAAAATTAGATGTACGTTAAAGACACCAAATAAATAAATATGCTTTCAGCGTTACAGAAATTAGATGAAAAATTAGATGTACCTAAAAGACACCAAATAAATAAATATGCTTTCAGCGTTACAGAAATTAGATGAAAAATTAGATGTACCTTAAAGACACCAAATAAATAAATATGCTTTCAGCGTTACAGAAATTAGATGAAAAATTAGATGTACCTTAAAGACACCAAATAAACAAAAAAAATAAATATGCTTTCAGCGTTACAGAAACCAGATGAAAAAAGCTAAATGAGTTGAGGTTTTAAAATGAATGAATATGCATGATGCATTAAAGACATAAAATAAATAAATAAGCATTAACCGTTACAGACACTACATAAAGAAGCCGGGTGTATTAAAAACATAAAACAAATTAATATGCTTTAATCGTTAAAGATACTAGATGAACAAGCCAGTTGTGTTTAAAACATAAAATGAATAAATAAGCTTTAACCGTTACAGACACTAGATAAAAATAAACAGGAGTGTTTAAAACATATAACATTAAATTAATATGCTATGGGCGTTGCAGACACCAGATAAAGAAGGCAGGAGTGTTTAAAACATAAAATAAATTAATAAGATTTGCCCGTTACTGACACTAGGTGAAGAAACCAGGAGTGTTTAAAACATATAACAAATTAATATGCCATGGGAGTTACAGACACTAGATAAAGAAGTCAATAGTGTTTAAAACATAAAATACATAAATAAGCTTTAACCGGTACAGAATCTAGATAATAAAACCATGAGTATTAAAAGCATAAATAAATCAATATGCTATAATCACTAATCACATTTAAACCACATCATATGTCCAAGCAACATTATATGTTCAAGCAACATCATATGTTGAAGCAACATCACATGTTCAAACCACATCATATGTCCAAGCAACATTACATGTTCAAGCAACATCACATGTTCAAACCACATATATGTCTATGCAACATCATATGTTCAAGCAACATCAAATGTTCAAGCAACATCATATGTTCAAGCAAAATCAGGTGTTCAAGCAAAGTTATATGTTCTATCAAAGTTAAATGTTCAAGCAAAGTTACCAGTTCCAGCAACGTCATGCAAAATTTAAGATTGATGCAGTATAGCGAAGGAATATATCACGGAGATTCGATATCTTGGACTTATATTTTTCCATAAAAATCGTGCACTATATTACGATTAGTCTCGTAAAATCTCTTAAAAACTTATAGAGGTAGAAACTTAATTTGCTAACGACTGAAAGTTAACTTAATTCTGATACAAGCATACGCATATGCATGAAAACGTGAGTAGCCAAAAAAAAAAAAAAGACATCGCGATTAGAAAAAGGTTTTTATGCAAGCAGATTAACTTTCGCCTTATAGAAAAATACTATGCATTCAAATAACGGTATTTTTTTGGTTATTAATAAATGACTATACATTCCGTATAAGGCATTTTTTTCGGCTAATTGAAAATGAACATACATTCCAGATAGGGTGCATTTTTCGGCCAACAGAAAATAACTATACCTTATGGATCGATAAGGTTCGTTTTTCGGCTATTAGTAAATAACTATACTGCGGATAAGGTGCTTTTCCGGCTGATAGAAAATATACTTTACGAATACGGTGGAAAGAAGTTTTGCTTCAAAGAGTTCTCGTATTTACATGGCGTAGGTAATGGAAAATGGTGATTGAAATTGGAGATATAGGCACTTTTTTTGTAAGAGGTGCAAAGTGAATTGCGTTACATACAATTTTCTGCGGAGAAGAATATAAAAAATGGTAAAGGTTGCGTAAGAATAGCTTGAGCGAATCTAATTGTGCACCTGAACATAAAATTAACTAATTGAATACTGACGGTAATGCAGGGTTAAAAGCTTTGAAAACAGCCAATATATTTTTGAAAAAGTATTAAACAGAAAACTGTGCTGTAGTATGTTCTAATATCCTTGTTTTTTAAATTTTAGGTCGCTGCATTTTGTTCCTAAATTTGTTCATAAATCCCAGGGATACATTTTTCCCTCGACGTCTTCCTTGTTCGAAAAAAAAACGCCGCGAAACGGTGTGACCGTATTTCAGATGCCGGCCGACCCGTGAGATAAAACACCGCATATCACCGTTTTTTTTTTAGATTTAGCACAAGAAACCCTTACCATTTTTGAAAAGAAACAGTGAAACGGTTTATTTCACGGGGCTACCGGCAACTGGAACAGCGGTCACCGTTTTTTCATCGTTATTTTCAATAGTTTTACCTTCCCATTTCCCCAATTTCTTCTCAACTTACGTCTTCCCCGTCCCGCTTGGGGAGCGGCAGGGGTCTTGTTGCCTGGGGAGGAGCAAGAGGAGAGCCAGGGAAGAGACCAGAGAGACCACAGGGAGAAGACCAAAATAACGAGAGATGGAAGAAAATACAATATGTTAATAAAACATTTCAGAAATTTAATAAAGATATGAATTGAACAGGTTTCACAGACTCATCAAACGTATTTAATTATGTGTAGTAAGATAATTAAACTAAAATAATGACTTGAGAGAGACGAAAAGTTTTTATTTGAATTCTTTCTGTAATAGAACTGTACAAAATGAAATGGAAATAATAATTATTGTGAAATAATTCAGTGAAGAAAATCTGAGCATGGTCATATATGATAAAAAAATGTGGTGAAAGATCAAAGCACGAGTCAAGTTAGCAAGAAGAGAAATGTGATAATAAATAACTGCAAGAAAGTTCTTGCTGTGGTGCTTGAACATCTATTATTTTTCTCATGTAATTGCCAAAAGAACATTTCTTTCCTGGGCTCCGAATCATGTTTTGAATGAGGCAAATTTTTGCGTACCACATAAATTCGTAAAATATTTACAACAATATTCATTATTCACATAAAAAGAAAAATCGATGTAGAGAAAATTGAAGTCATGTTTCTCTTTGTTCATCATTGAAATATACTCACAGTTTATTAACTGCATTAACTCACAATTAGTTTCAACTGGAAGAAGCTTAACTTCTAGCCTTACAAAGCTGACGATCAAAATTCGTCTAGTATTGCAAGTGTCAATAGCGGAACGTAACTAGGTAAAGAGGTGAGAATATTTTCCAATTAATGCAGTGACTTGACAATAAAACGATAATATTATGACGTTGGAAAAATAGAACCGCTGACGTAGAACAAAAAAAAAAAAAAGTTTCAATGATACATCATATCCCACGTTTATAAATTTACATATAACTCCTAGAGGCAGAAAAAGTTAGTACATCTCATGCACGGATCTCTGAGGGTACAGCGTTGAGGGATCCGAAAATAATTCTATTTTGGGGATTAGTTTGAAGAACACGCAAAAATTTCGTCGTCCTACAAACAAATTTACCACGAATCCTAAAGGTCATTAGGAGATGCCTAACAAAACAAGGGCAATGATTTGTTATAAACACCTTGGCCAACTACATCTAAATCTTTTGTAAGGGTAACGCGTTTTTCGTAAAAATATCAATAACACAAAAAAAATTAGCACCTAAGTATGCTAAATTCTGCGGGTTTAAACAGGGTTGACGGAATTGTGGAAAAACTAGCAATAAATAAAAGGACTAAACAAAATTAACATTAAATAGTATTGGAAGCGTTACGATCGAGAAGAAATAATTTGAATATACTTCTCAACCGTTTCCGAAATAGTTAAGGATTAAAAATGTTCTTACTATTCTTTGTGAAATGCAAGAAATAATATAGCAAGCATCAAGTGTATTAAGCGACGTAAATAATAGATTTGGAGGCTCAATAAGCATTAATAGCAGAACTGGACGCTATTAAGGAAGTCATGCAGCGATGGTCAAGCGTGGAGTTCAACTCCTGACGAGTTTAACTGAAGCAGAGAAGGTGCCTAAAGCTTGAAGAAAATCCCATAGATATAGTAGAACTAAAGACAATGATTTTACTGCACGGATTATGAGGAGATGCACAAGTTAGGGATGCAAAAGCAAGCAGCAGACAACACCGTAACGTCTTCATTTACCTGCTATACCGAGAGAACTGAAAAGAGAATTTGACAGTCGCGCCAAGCCGGATTTGGGGGGTTCTTGTCCAGCTAGACGTTAGGAGGAGGTTGCAGGATGGAGGACAGACAAAGTTACGGAAGAGGATGTACAGGTTCAGAAGCGACAAATTGTAAAAATGTGATGATTAGAATGGGTGAAAGTGCAATAATCGTTTGAAGTACTTGTCACTGATAGAGGCATGTGATTTAGACGGAAAATTGTACGAACGTTAATTTTTGAGAATAATTTTGACGGTAAACCAGCAGAGATATTGGAAAAAGTTAGACGAAAATCCATTTAAAATCGCTCAACATACAAGAGATGGATGAAGGGTTACAGTAATAGTCAACGCAGTTAAGCCCAGAGTCGTTTCGTAAGTTGCAGTAAAAAACAACTTAGGAATCTTCAGCTTTCCACATTCACTGGAGAAAGTTTTTTTCAACTCTGAAGCAATTTTCAATTTTTTCTTCTGAATGTTAACAGTGACACACAAAAAGTTGGGTTCGAATTGAGAAGTATTGCACAACTTAACAAGCGTATAGCTCACATTAAAACCAATTTTCTACGTATGAAATTTTGCAAAATGATCGAAAATGTAACAAACATATATATGTTTCAGTGACGTAACTATGAAAATGTCAATTTCGCTACTTGCGCCGAATGAAATGAGAAAGGCGGATGAATAACAAGCTTCAAATAATTAGTATGACACAGAACAAGATCGTAAATGATGATTTATCACTTAGAAACTCAAATGACGATTACACATCTGGAACGCGAGAGAAAAGCAGCAGCGAGAACACATAGAGCGCACGAAAATATTAGTCCGAAAAGCCACACCAAAAATCGCAGCCCCGTTAACAATTAAACAAAGCTACACAATATGCAATAAGATTATGGCGAAAGCTTTCGCGCGTTCTGTCATCGCAACGGAAAAAATGTTCAATTAACAAACCAAAACAATTCAGCATTTCAGAAACTCAGTTACCTACGCCTGGATTCCATAAGTCTTAAAATATCTAAATTATTGAGCTGGCTGGAAAATCTATTTTAGTACTTGAATGCTGCAGCCTGCAGGCATTTACGGTGAAAAAGCTAAAACGCCAAGTAAAATCCCAATTAATTCCCGAGGATCTTTATTAATTATTGGCAGTTAAACTAAAAGCTGCTGAACAATCATGGGGCGCCGATGAGTAGTGAATATTTTTCTCGAATATACCAATCCAAAATTATAATTTTGGATTTGACCAAAAACAACCCAATTGCATAAGAAACGTACCTACTATTCTGAATATTTTTATTACGTTAAATTGAAATTAAATGTGCACTGTAGCTGTCATATAAAGATAAAGCGAAAATACTTTTGGATGATATTTGTGTGCAGCAGAGTTTACCCGTTGGCATCTTTATCACAATTTCAGTCCGACCACAATGATGAAACCCTTACCGTAAATGCTGATCAATATGTCGTGCGGTCCATAATTATATTTTTACCGCGATAATGAAACAATACCATCTACTGCAAATAATAATTAGCAACGCGTCATATTTATCCTAATTATCTCAACGAAATTGTAAATCCCCTTTGAATAGGCGAAAGGCAACATTTTAGCATTAATTATTTGTGCGGGACAGAGGCAAGACTCACCGATGGAAGGAATGTTGCCGTGAATGTTAGCCCCGTGCTGCTGTCGTGGGTACACTTCCTTGTCGCTGAGATTCTCGTCAGGCTCCAGGATGGTCTGACCGAGGTCGTCGGTGCGGACGTTTGGGTTGGGGGGCGCCGGGCCCGGACTTCGGCCGAAGAGTTTGGCCGTGAGGCCTTTGACGCCCGACGTGGCCGCTTGGGCCACGGAACTCGTTGCGTTGGTGACACTTGTGGTAGCTTGGTTGCCGTGCATGATGTTGTGGTGTTGTTGGTGGGGTTGAGGTAGTTGGTGGTGGTGTTGCTGATGACTAGTTTGTTGATGTTGGTTACTGCCACCGCCCAGTAAACTACCACTGAGGAGACCGCCTCCTCCAAGAAGGCCTCCGCTTCCTAGGATGCCGCCCCCAGAACTGTGGCCTGATCTCGACATGTCCATATCCTGTGCAAAAATTTCGTATCGAATGAAATTAACCTATCATATAAATTACATTTTCCTTGTGTTACTTTTCTCTAATTTCTTCGCGATATCAAATTAAATCTATGAATTAACTCAGGTATGTTTTCTGACTGTCATTTTATAGCCCCTGGAAATTCGTATGTTGTTTTTGAAGCATAAATTAAAGAAAACCCATACATCGTGCTACGCGCTAAAACCGTACTACGTTCAAATCCATACATTAACTCGTCGTTAATGTATAGATTTGAACGTAGTACGATGTTAGCGCGCAGGTGACGAACATTGCCGTCTCTACAGTGAGCTTCGGAAATAAACGCAGTCGCGCACCAAAATCAAATGATTTATCTAATTTAATAAGTGAGTTTTGACTTTGAACCAAAGCGCCGATATTGCAGTTATTTTCGTGTCAAAAAAATCTTGTTGACTTGATTCTTAAAACAGACTTGCGTCCTAGTCTCAAGAAGACTACAAATATATGTGAATAAGGTTAATTTCGTTTTGTGATTCGAGAGCTTGAAAACATTACTGGTTTTATGCTTGAATACAACCATGGACCTTGCGCGGATATGGGATATTTTGTTCCCATTAACTTCCTTTTTTTTTGTTATTTTTCTTAATAAAAAAACATTTTACTATATCTTTGTTAGTGTGCAGTACTACATAATTTTTGCCCCAAGTATTTAGTAGTTGAAGATTAATTTATTGGCATAATTATTGGGAAGTCACAATACTTAGTCTACAAAAGTCCATTAAATTTACCCGAGGGTAAAAAAATCACTTGTGAGATCACTATATTCTAGCTTTTTGGGGGAAGAAGCTGACGAATTTACCTTGAATGCGACTCAAACTACACTAATTTAACCGTAACTTGGAGCAAACACTGAAATCAAGATACATAACCACCTGCACCAAACAAAATCACCATACACAACCACCTGCATGAATACATAACCACCTGCTCGAAACAAAATCACCATACACAACCACCTGCATGAATACATAACCACCTGCTCGAAACAAAATCACCATACACAACCACCTGCATGAATACATAACCACCTGCACGAAACAAAATCACCATAGACAACCACCTGCACGAGTGCATAACCACCTACACGAAACAAAATGACCATACACAACCACCTGCACGAATACATAACCACCTGCACGAAACAATAATTGCCCTATATAACCACCTGCATGAACCAAGTTACCTCAGCAACATCAGACTCCCCGGCAGAGGAAGTATCAACTTCACTTTCTTCTGCGATGTCAGAAAGTTCGCTTGGTCTGTCGGCGTCTGATTGAAGGAAATTTTCTTCCTCTATTCCTTCAATGGGGGAGGAGGCTGACTCACGTGAATCGTGAAGCTCATGCTCGTTCTAGCCAGTGCAAAAAGTAAACATAATATGGCAAAAGTAAACAACTTTTTGGCAAAAAAATAAACAAAATTTGGCTAAAGAAAAATTCTAATTTGTAGGGTGCAACTGAAGCTGGCAGGATGGGGTCAACGCTAATTACTATTACTTTTAATTACTAAAATAAATTTAGCGGTACGTTTAGCCAAGATGCAGGATAGAGAAAGATATATACAATGGGATTTAAAAAAATCTAAATAAAAATAAATTCAAATACATTCAACAAATTAGAAGTATAAAAAATTAAAAACGTGATATAAGTCTAATAATCAACAGTTGTACCGAAAAAAATTAGACATGCTGCAGAAAAAATATATTAGCTGCAAAACTTAACAAAATATATGGATATTGCATGCAACAGCGCTCCCATGAAGCAAAAAAAAAACTGTTTGCTCACGCAGGAAATTCTTGACAAAAATACAGAAAGTCGAGTTGAAAAGTAATAACTAATCTAAATGATGTATAAAATAATTGAGTTTCCGTTGTGCTTTAGTTTACTCCGCAGAATCTTGATAGTTGCAGAAATTCTTCTTGTTGGTTTACGAGTAAAACGGAGAGCAAAGTTCTACGTAAGGCATGCAATTTCTACCTCAAATGGTCCTTCAGGCATGTAATTTCTACCTCAAATGGTCCTTATTTAGTTATGTAATTACTGCCTCAAATGGTTCTACTTTAGGCATGCAATTCCTACCTCAAATGGTCCTTCTTTAGGTACGCACTTTCTACCTCAAATTGTTAGAAGGGTTCAAAAAAAAAACAAGGATATTTTACAAGATTCAAGTATTAATGGACGTAATGCTACCAATAGATATAACGTGAAAAAATTATTCACACTTCGTACCTTGATTCGTAGTGAGAAGAAGACAATAACACAGTGATATTTTTAATTAAAACAGGCCTACCTAGCTCATTAGGCAGGCGAGGCCATGATCCATTATATGCCTTATGACGGCCGCGGATAACCAAATCACTCGCTAGAATAACGAGGGAAAACTTTTTTCAAAATAACTATTTATTTATTTAAAAAGGGTTAATACAATACTGGGAGCGGTTAATCCTTTTCTGGCCTACACGGTCTCCAATCATATAATTGTATTACCCGTTTGTGTTTACCTTTTGTCGGCCACGGCCGCCGCGGCCAAAGGAGCCAGGTACAGGGGTAGGGACAGAGTCGCTGGAGACGCTCTCACGACTCTTGGTGCGCACCGTGATGTGGCGAGGCTCGAACCCGTGAATTTTGCTCATGTCTATCAAAGCGTGGTCGCCTGTAGGACGTAGAGAGAGAGAGAGAGGGAATAATTTAGTTACATTAAAGAGCGGCTCATATCGGAGAATTTAGGCTCTGCCACGTTAATTAGATGCAGGAACACATTTCATGTTTGGATTGATATTCAACCAACATTGCAGTTCTTTAGGTTGTCAACATCATAGCGTTTTTATCGATATGTGGAATAATTTATCAAGCATATAAGTAATAGCTAATACAAAAGCTTCAAGGTTGGCGGCCTTGTGGCCGATTTCTTAGGCCATCAAACCACAAAATACTTTAGGTTGTCAAAATTGTAAAAAAATTGAATTTCTAGTAAAATTGAATTTCTATTAACGAGTGGAATTATCTTTCACGCATAAAATACAAAACCTGACCTCATGTCGTCAGGGTAGTCCTGGTTCGGTGCCTCCTGCAGGAAGTTGGAGGGCACCAGCCCGCGCTGGCCTCTCAGCTCCCCCATGTAGAAGCCATCATCGTCCATGTCACCGTAAACGTAAATAATGTCCCCAGTTTGAAACGATAGCTCCACCTGAAAAATTTAACCAGTATTAGATCGGAGTAATTTGTAAAAATAATTTTTTCCTTTTCAGTAGAGCATAGGGCGTGTCCTGTGATGGTTCAACCTCAGTGTAATGAAGATGCTATCGATTATTGTCATAGGGACAAAGTCTCGATTATTTCTTTGAGTATAAGTTACCTCGGAGTCGACGTTGGGGGAGAGTTCCTGCGGATCATAGTCGTATATGGCGACCATTTTCTTGACGGGCATATTGGCGTAAATGTCCCCCCAGCGGTCGCCTTGGTGGCCCCCGGCCCCGCGGCGCCCCAATGAACCTTCCCGCCGGCGTCGCCCCATGGGCCCGCCATCAGTTTCCTTCATCAGCTCCTGGGCGACGCGGTCGTCATCCACCTGCCATCATCACGATATACACCATTCACGATGTACAATACAGCCGCCATCACGTTATACAATAATAGCCGCTTAATTTATTTGCAGAATCGCATAAATATGGACGATATAATACGACTATATGATATTTCTAAAAGAACTAAAGTGCATAACCGACCAAGAATTGTAACTCCCACCCCTGCATTAGCTGTTGACCATTTCAACGAAAAATGAATTACAACAAGATTTATATATATATTTTTCAAATTCACGTGTTACAACATTGTATTTCAACTTCGATAACTTCCCTTCAAATCTGGAGTGAATTCGATCATTCCAGTAAAAAGAATTACGACTTCACAAGTTAAGAGGCTAAGTTCTCAAGTTAACTGTGCGGATTGTTGGGTGCACAGTTTGTGCACCCAACAATCCGCGCAATTAGCGAAGCAAGACTAAATAAATGTATAGTAAAACATTAGAGATGTATAATAATGAAAATGTTTAATAAAATGTATAAAAACACAAATTACCTGAACTTCGGAGACGATGTTACACGGTACGTATCCGGACCGGCCCCCGCACTCGCCCCAATAGAAGCCATCCGCATCCTTGTCCCCGTAGACGCGGATGAGCTGGCCCTCCCTGAAGCCCAACTCCTCATCACAGGCGTTAGAGTTGGGGCTCATCGTGGGCGGATCGTAGTTAAAAAGTGCCACGAAAATACGGGCGTGGTCCGGGCCTCTCCCAGCCGCGCCCGGGCCTCGACCGTATGGCTTGTCGTCGAAGCGAGGGTCTCTGCGGTCTCTAGGATCTCGACGGTCTCGGGAATCTCCTCTGGGTCCACCAACTTGGTCTCTGTGAACAGAGATAAGGTATATATAAGCTAATCGAGAGCTATGGTGCGAAGGATAATCTCTGACTTTTTCAACGACATGATCAGCGTAAATATATTTAAAGTCAGAGATTATCCTTCGTAAATTTATTTAGCCGCACATATTAAGATATATTTAACCGCACATCTTACAATACGTTTATTTGTTATTACCGATTATCGGTCGTATTTGTTTCCGTTTTACCTTACACTTTTACCCTTAACACTGCCGAGCATCTTCGATGCGGTTCGGCATAGGAACGTGAAAATAAAATTATATGTACATTATAGACGCCAAATAAATAAATATCCTTTTGAGCGTTACAGAAACCAGATGAAAAAAGTTGTGTGGTAAGGTTATAAAATGAATAAATATGCAAAGTGCATTAAAGACAAAAAATAAATAATTAAACAATGCGCGTTAAAAAACATAAAATAAATAAGCTTAGACCGTTAGTCACTATAGTAAAGAAGCCAGTATTGTTTAAAACAAATAACAAATTAATATGCTATGGGCGTTACAGACACTAGAAAAAGAAGTCAATAGTGTTTAAATTATAAAACAAATAAATAAGCTTGAAACGTTACAGACGCTAGATAAAGAAGCCAGGAGAGTTTAGAAAGTATAACAAATTAATATTCTATGGGCCTTACAGACACTAGATAAAAGAAGTCAACAGTGTTTAAAACATAAAATAAATAAATAAGCTTTAACCGTTACAGACACTAGATAATAAAACCATGAGTATTAAAAGCATAAATAAATCAATATGCTATAATCACTAATCACATTCAATACCTGGTATAAGAAGCGTCGCGGGCATTAGGCGGCATCCTCCGGCCAGGGGGGCCAGGCTGCTGCCGCGCAGCGTTGGGGTTACGAGGATCAAATCTTCTTGTGTCGCCGTATTCGTCCTGGTAGTTGTCCACACCGTCACGTGTCACTTCTGAAAAAATATTTTTTATAATAATATAATATAATACGATAATAAATTAGAAGAATTTAGTCGTGAAGAATGCCTTTATGAACACACTGTTTAAAGGAGATGCTTTTAGACATACTTTGGTCCGTGCGGTTTAATAAAAACATTCCAACGACTTACGAACTTTGAGATAACAGTTTATTAAAGGCATTATTAGTATACTATAACAGCAATTCGCTTGAAATAACATATGATTTCAGAACATATTCTATTGATAAGATCAGGCAAACTAACTATAATAGACATTCGTGCAATCTCTTGAAAAAAGAAAGATGCAAGTCAAGTGATGGAGTGAAATTTTCTCGAAGAAGTAGTCAAGACTGCCAGATTGAATTACTCAACTTTGATAACTTATGAAACATTTTAAATAAATCACACTCTATTCATTCTGAACGATATTTTAAACAACACTGTAGCTTCTCGCATTTGTTGCTAGAGAGACGATAGATTTAGTACTTCACTTAAATTAGTATTATTAAATTGATAGCATTCTGCATGTAAGATGTTTGCAAATCAAACCGAAACTAATCAAAAAATAATGACTGAACCATTTATAAATTTTTGATTGCTCTATTTTCAAAATTAAACTGGGGTGGCTGCTCCTTAAACGTAGCAGTTTAATAACACTAAGGGTTCAATTTATTCAATTGATGGCAATCTTGCCCAAAAAGCGATAATGCAATGCATGTATCAGAAGTGGCAAGACAATTCAAGTCTGAGGAACGATTCACGTAATACTGGTAGGAATTTAGTGCAAAGTAACGTCATATATTGAAGCATCATCGTATGTTCACCATGTTCTATCAATGTCGTAACGTCACATGTTCAAGCAACATCACATGTTCATGCAAAATCATATGTTCAAGCAACATCATATGTTCAAACCACATCATATGTCCAAGCAACATCATATGTCCAAGCAACATCATATGTTCAAGCAACATCACATGTTCAAACCACATCATATGTCCAAGCAACATTATATGCAACAACAACTACATTCAAGCAACATCATATGTTCAAGCAACATCATATGTCCAAGCAACATCATATGTCCAAGCAACATCATATGTTCAAGCAACATCACATATGCATGTTCAAACCACATCATATGTCCAAGCAACATTATATGTTCAAGCAACATTATATGTTCAAGCAACATCATATGTTCAAGCAACATCATATGTTCAAGCAACAGCATATGTTCAACCAACATGCATCACATGTTCGAGCAACTTCATATGTTCAATCAACATCAAATGTTCAAGCAACATCATATGTTGAAGCAACATCACATGTGCAAGCAACATCAAATGTTCAAGCAACATCACATGTTCAAGCAAAGTTATATGTTCTAGCAACGTCATGCAAAATTTAATATTGATGCAGTATAACGACGGAATATATCATGAAGATTCAATATCTTTGACAAATATTTTTTACATAAAAAACGGGCACTATATTACGATTAGTCTCGTAAAATCTCTTAAAAACTTCTAGAGGTAGAAACCCAATTTGCTAACGACTGAAAGTTAACTTAATTCTGATACAAGCATACGCATATGCATGAATACGTGAGTAGCCAACAAAAAAGACATCGCGATTAGAAAAAGGTTTTTGCAAGCAGGTTAACTTTCGCCTTATAGAAAAATACTATGCATTCAAATAACGGTATTTTTTGGTTATTGATAAATGATTATACATTCCGTATATAAGGCATTTTTTCGGTTAATTGAAAATGAACATACATTCCGGATAGGGTGCATTTTTCGGCCAACAGAAAATAACTGTACATTATGGATCGATAAGGTGCGTTTTTCGGCTATTAGTAAATAACTATACNTTTATTACGTTTAATTGAAATTAAATGTGCACTGTAGCTGTCATATAAAGATAAAGCGAAAATACTTTTGGATGATATTTGTGTGCAGCAGAGTTTACCCGTTGGCATCTTTATCACAATTTCAGTCCGACCACAATGATGAAACCCTTACCGTAAATGCTGATCAATATGTCGTGCGATCCAGAATTATATTTTTACCGCGATAATGAAACAATACCATCTACTGCAAATATTAATCAGCAACGCGTCATATTTATCCTAATTATCTCAACGAAATTGTAAATCCCCTTTGAATAGGCGAAAGGCAACATTTTAGCATTAATTATTTGTGCGGGACAGAGGCAAGACTCACCGATGGAAGGAATGTTGCCGTGAATGTTAGCCCCGTGCTGCTGTCGTGGGTACACTTCCTTGTCGCTGAGATTCTCGTCAGGCTCCAGGATGGTCTGACCGAGGTCGTCGGTGCGGACGTTTGGGTTGGGGGGCGCCGGGCCCGGACTTCGGCCGAAGAGTTTGGCCGTGAGGCCTTTGACGCCCGACGTGGCCGCTTGGGCCACGGAACTCGTTGCGTTGGTGACACTTGTGGTAGCTTGGTTGCCGTGCATGATGTTGTGGTGTTGTTGGTGGGGTTGAGGTAGTTGGTGGTGGTGTTGCTGATGACTAGTTTGTTGATGTTGGTTACTGCCACCGCCCAGTAAACTACCACTGAGGAGACCGCCTCCTCCAAGAAGGCCTCCGCTTCCTAGGATGCCGCCCCCAGAACTGTGGCCTGATCTCGACATGTCCATATCCTGTGCAAAAATTTCGTATCGAATGAAATTAACCTATCATATAAATTACATTTTCCTTGTGTTACTTTTCTCTAATTTCTTCGCGATATCAAACTAAATCTATGAATTGATTCAGGTATGCTTTTCTGACTGTTATTTTATAGCCCCTGGAAATTCGTATGTTGTTTTTGAAGCATAAATTAAAGAAAACCCATACATCGTGCTACGCGCTAAAACCGTACTACGTTCAAATCCATACATTAACTCGTCGTTAATGTATAGATTTGAACGTAGTACGATGTTAGCGCGCAGGTTACAAACATTAATTGCCGTCTCTATATTGAGCATCAGAGATAAACGTACGCAGTTGTGCACCAAAATCAAATGATTCATATAATTTTAATAAGTGAATTTTGCCTATAAGCAACAGCGCCGATAATGCAGTTATTATCATGGCGAGAAAAATTGTGTTGACTTGATTCTAAAAAAAAACTGACTTTCGTTTTACTCTCAAAAGGGATACAAATATATAAGTGAATAAGGTTAATCTCGGTTGTAATTCGAAGGCTGGTATATATTACTAGTTTTATGCTCGAATACCACGATTGACCTTGCACGCATGGGGGATATCTTGTTCCCATTGACTACTTCTTTTGTTAGTTTTCTTCATAAAAAAATATTTTTTACTTTATCTTTATTAGTGTCCAGTTCTACATAATTTTACTCTAAATAGTTAGTTCAAGATTAACTTAGAGGCATAATTAGTTGGAAGTCATAATGCGTAGGACTATTTTCTGCAAAAGTCCATTAAATTTACGCAAAGTAAAAATAATTACTAGTGAAATCACTATATTCTAGCCTATTGGGGGAAGAAGAAGCTGACGAATTCACCTTGAATGCGACTCAAATTAAACTAATTTAACCGTGACTTGGAGCAAACACTGAAATCAAGATACATAACCACCTGCACCAAACAAAATCACCATACACAACCGAAAAATTGAGTTACACATTATATAATGTACAACCACCAACACGAGTACCATAACACCAACACAAGTACACCAACACAAGTTGGTGTAAAACACCAACACAAGTACAACACAACCACCCGCACGAGTACATAATTACCTGCACCAAACAAAATCACCATACACAACCACCTGCACGAATACATAACCACCTGCACGAATAAATTACCACCTGCACGAAAAAATAATTGCCCTACATAACCACCTGCACGAAACAAAATGACCATATATAACCACCTGCACGAAACAAAATGACCATATATAACCACCTGCACGAAACAAAATGACCTAGGCATGTAATTTCTACCTCAAATGGTCCTTATTTAGTTATGTAATTACTGCCTCAAATGGTTCTACTTTAGGCATGCAATTCCTACCTCAAATGGTTCTACTCTAGGCATGCAATTCCTACCTCAAATGGTCCTTCTTTAGGTACGCACTTTCTACCTCAAATTGTTAGAAGGGTTCAAAAAAAAAACAAGGATATTTTACAAGATTCAAGTATTAATGGACGTAATGCTACCAATAGATATAACGTGAAAAAATTAATCACACTTCGTACCTTGATTCGTAGTGAGAAGAAGACAATAACACAGTGATATTTTTAATTAAAACAGGCCTACCTAGCTCATTAGGCAGGCGAGGCCATGATCCATTATATGCCTTATGACGGCCGCGGATAACCAAATCACTCGCTAGAATAACGAGGGAAAACTTTTTTCAAAATAACTATTTATTTATTTAAAAAGGGTTAATACAATACTGGGAGCGGTTAATCCTTTTCTGGCCTACTCGGTATCCAATTATAATTGTATTACCCGTTTGTGTTTACCTTTTGTCGGCCACGACCGCCGCGGCCAAAGGAGCCAGGCACAGGGGTAGGGACAGAGTCGCTTGAGACGCTCTCCCGACTCTTGGTGCGCACCGTGATGTGGCGAGGCTCGAACCCGTGAATTTTGCTCATGTCTATCAAAGCGTGGTCGCCTGTAGGACGTAGAGAGAGAGAGAGAGGGAATAATTTAGTTACATTAAAGAGCGGCTCACATCGGAGAATTTAGGCTCTGCCACGTTAATTAGATGCAGGAACACAGCTCCACTTGAGATGTTTGTTAAAATATTATAATTATATTTAATATAATTATATTATATTAAAATACTATATACGTTAGTGCAGAACTAACTACTCACCCGTCGGGCTTTCGTATGCCACGTTAGGGCAGAACTAACTAGATGGTATTGAAACGCGTTCGAATAAAGACGAGAGAATGCATTATATTCTCTATTTTTGCAACGAATCGATATTCTTAACCCGAAAACTCACCCGTCGGACTCTCCACTTCGGTAACCTTCTTGCCGTCGGCGTAGACGGCGTAACCCGTCACGGGGGCGCCGTTACTCGTGCCTGCCGTGCTGTTGATGGTCACTGGCAGCCACGTTACCAGTAACGATCCATCCTGCTCGTGGTTCATCTATTAATTTAACAACTTATTCGCGTATTTCGGTATCGAATTTTAAGCGTTTAATCAATCCAGACTAGCTGGCCATGATTCATTAATTAAATCCATGACCAGCTGGCTATGAATCCAGACCAGTTGGCCATGAATCCAGACCAGCTGGCCATGATTCATTAATTAACTTTTCTGTATACACGCACAAAAATTTTGTGCAATATATACCATTGTCATTATTTAATAAATAATAGAAGCATTAAGTTAAAACCTATGTTGTGAAAGGTTGATGTTAATTAATGTTAATAATATAAAAGTATTAAAAAGCTCTGATTTTCCTCACCTGCGGACCCATCTCGACCTGAACGTCCACTGGTGGGTCCGGCAGACCTGCGACGTAACAAAAAACATCAGTGCTGCGTTTCACGACACGAATCACATAAGAAATGCACTTATTCTTCAGTTTAATATGTTAAACTAATAGCTAAATTCAATTCAGAACACTGTCATATTCACCCCAATGAACGAGAATGAACGAAATTTGAAATACCTTTGAACCGGCAAAATGGAATGAATGTTCACTTGATTCCATTTTGAACGCAACGACTATATATTTCTGTCACATTGACTCCATGTGTCAATTGTCACGTTCAATTTGTAGGAAAACTTTAACAAGATTTCGTTTAAAATTAGGAACAAAGAGTCCATTGGAATATAACAAAATTCATATAAAAGATGGTTTTCAAACTGATGACAATATGATTTCGTCGAATCTTTAACTTCGACTAAGTTTATTTGCTATTGAATATTGGACATTTCCGATTAAATTATATATAATATTAACAACCAATAAAGTGATATAAGTGAAGGTATGGATTGAAAAAATTAAATTGAAAGATGTGTACGGGATGTTCAAAATTTCATGGTTATAACGGAATAACGCTTAGAAAAAAGATACGATAAAAATCTTACACGGCGTGCATGCTTATCAAAAGTTGAATAGATACTCAGTGATAGGATGGAGTTTTCTCTACTCAACACTTAATTGAATAATAAAGATATAATAAGTTATACAAGTGATAGTGATACAATAAAGACAATAATTTGATATATAACACATAGAAGACATTGGAAGCTCATGATAATAAATATGAATGAATAAGAGTAACTAAAACGCGATAAATACAAACGAAAACCCCGGAATTAAAAAGCGAAGAAATTTCTTGAAAACATGAAGGCTAGCTTAAAAAAGTAGTACGAAATAAATTTAATGCAAAAACATTCATTTTCCCATTCCTTCAGATGTGCTCCTTTTATTAGCAATGACGTGAAAATCAAGTCTAAATTAAGTTTCGTTATAGTCGAAGAAACTTCAAAGTGGTGCAAACCAAAAAAATAAAAAATAAATAAATACAGCTCAGTTGTATTATTAAAAAACTTTTACATGATATTAGTAAAGAATTTTCGATAAATTTTACTTTGAATAATTACCCAAAGTTAAATAGCACCAAATAAAACGCATAACTATGCGGATACTTATCAAAATATAATGAACACAACCTTGGTGTACTACCGAAAAACATTTTTAACAACCAAAAAATCGGTTGTGAAAACATACTCGAACGAATACTTTAATGATTTGAAATTTGACCATGAACTGATACAGAATTTTGATGAGCTAATGTTAAAAAAATCTATACAGTTAAACTATCACTTGATCCGAAGCTAATATATGAATTTATTATTGAATGATAAATTGACTGAACTTTAACATGTACATCTGAATGAATTAAAACTAATTTCTTGAAAGTCAAAGGGATAAAAAAAAACGACCGGCAACGTCTTGCATCGAAAAGCAAATTTTATAGTTCGAGTGTAAAATTGAAGAGAAAATAATACCCAACTGCAGAGAATTGGTGAAAACAATGCGAACGAAGGTACTAAGTCGAACACAAAGAATAAAAATATTGTCAGAAATTTCTCGAAAAAGGCTTCAACATTTAGTCCGTCGTCAGAGGAATTCAGGTATACTTAAAACTAGGAACAGATTTCCCCACGATTGTAAAGAAAAGAAGATTGCAAATATTGCTGTTGTTATAAAGTATATACATCAAAATAACCATAAGGTAAAAAAACATAAAAGCAAAGACTACAGTAAACAAATACCAAATATTCTTTACAAGCAAGATCTGTGGAAAGAACATTTTTTTGCAGTTCACGGCTTTTAGCATCTAGCGTCCATTGGAAACTAAATTCATGATACTTTGAACAGTGCAGGCTTGGTTGAGCTGTTATATCGTAAATGTTGGCGGAATAGATTTAATGATCCATTATTTATGAGCAGAAGATCAGGCCAAGCATTAAACCTAATATCTTCGGATAGAGATAAATTGATACTCAGATAGTGTTATACTAAAGGCATCAGCTGGCATACATTAAATAATTTTGTATCACAAGCACGATTCTTGAGTACAGTGATGAAAATATACCCATGCTAAATACGATCATATGAACTTAGCGATAGGAAATCTAAGGAAATGTTTTTATTTATGCCAACAATTAACGAAGTTGAATCTCAAAGTGAAGCTGGGCTCAATCGAGGATTTCCGTCGCAAGGTTAATGAGCTTAAACGAGTAAGACGAAATAAAATTTTGCAAAGTTTGTTAATTAAAACTAAAAACTTATCATGTTTCCCTTCTCCGGGCGTGTTTGCCCATTTTCGGTTGGATCAAATGATTTGCAGACTCAACCTTGTAATGACGCAGCGATCGAATTAAATGAATCAGGATGTGCAGATTTACGATAGAACAACTGTAAAACCAAGCCCGCACTGTGTTATAGGATATAGAGTTATAGATTTAAGAAGGCCTCGTTATATATAGGATACTTCGACGACAATTAACGGAACGTCATACCTCTCCAACCTACGGCCAGGCAGGTATACGTGATGCATGATGGCGCATCGTGCGAGATGATAGAAAAGAAGCATGGATGTTAAAAATACCGTGCAGATACGGTTTATGTGCAGTATGGATTTTATGGTACATGACTGATAATATAATCAAAATAAAGGAGGCAAAGAGAAAGATTGTTGGGGAAATGATTGCTGGTGGTTGAAAATTTTGTAACTTCGATGCATCATTCTAGATGCACTCAATTTTACTGCCAACAGTTGAGTTACACGTAGCATTTAACTCTTGGATCCCAGTAACTCATTGTTTGATTGCTATCTTTTTTTTTTAATACAAGAATATTAGAAGAGAAGCTCTCTTCATATGTTTTATTATCAGTAATATAAAAATGTTCAAGGCCTATATGCACCACAAAATTAAGCGTATAGTAAAATTTAAGCTGGGGATAATTGTTATTGCTTGTTTACCATTTGTACATAACTGTTAGTCGAGCGGTCAGAGCGAGATGTTTTCGATTTATGGAGATTATGTAAAAATATGTGCAAATGCCTGAATCGAATTCGTATATACCATATGTACCTTGAATACAAAATTAAAGGATGCAAAGTATAACCTTAGACAAACTGTACATCAATGATTGATGAAGGAAAAATAACAACATCTGGAGTTAAATTTTTTCACATTAGTAGATCAAGCGAAAACGTGGCCCAAAACAGGGAAACGGGACTAGAAGAAACACATTTGACGTTGCCATGAGTGAATTTGTCTTTGTCATTCATATGATTTCTGACATTTCATCCAAACGAATGACGTAAAAATTTTTCAAATTTGCTGTTCCGAGTGCACCTAGCGGCGGTGATACAAAAGCTTTTACTGCGTGCAGAAAAGGATGCGATCTTTGATACACATCGTGTTCATATCAGTGCAGTATATTTATTTATTCAATCGCACACATAGCGCGGTTACCACTAACCCTTTTTATAAATATACAAAAAGGAAAAGGTTAGGATTGGCTTTAGGAAAGTCAAGAACTTTCGTACCTCCAAACATGTCATATTCAAAAATTTTTATTCGCTAAACTATGACTACTTCTGTGGTGCTTGTTAATTAAAGCACGTGAGAAATTACAGAAATTGCACTTGAAGTTATTAGAGACTTGGGTTGGCGTAACCGTTCTTTGGTGTGCGACTGTCGTACCAAAGAATACTGTGCAGCGGCTGAGCTCTAGTTAGGTGCGAAAGGACGCTTTACATACTTGAAATGAGGGAGTAAATTTGTCATTAAATATGAGATACTCACCTCTGCGACTTGCAGCTGTCGCTCCTAAGAATATAAAGATCGCCCCCATGACAATGCAAATAGTGTGAGTGATAATCAGGCATAAGTAATCTCACTCGAATTATGATAGAATTTTTCAGCGATTGATGTTATAAAAATAAAATTCAGGAAAATTTCTCATAATGAAAGGTATGAATGACTTTACTATACGAACATGTCAGTCATAAGGACTTGTTCATGAACTGGCATATACATAATCCATGCGTAATTTTAGTATACGCAATCATCGACCATTGTAGTGCAGCGCATCCATGAATCTATTGTTAGGAGTTTAGTGAATCTAGAAACTTCTAGGACAGCAAGGGAACTTTAGAACTCTAAATTCGTCAATGATTTCAATGAATTAGTAAAATAAAACCAACAAAAAATAATAGGATCTGAATTTTTACCTTTAGGTAAGGTTCTAAACTCGACAGTCGAGGCAAATCTCTCGTGCTGACGAGCGATCTTCTCGTCGAACTGGGGAGCTCGGAGGTTCCTCGCCTTGATGCTCACGCGGTAAGTCGTGTTAGGAGACAATCCTGAAAATTAAAAAAAATTTTAGGTTATGACAAATAAAAAACAATGAATATAAATGATTCAGCTTCAGACGATTCTTAATCAAAAGCATTACTTCGACGCTGTTAACGCAGACGGTGTGTTGGAAGTTAGAGTTGGAAGGCAGCCAGGAGATGACGGCGGACGTGGATGTGATGCTCGAGGCCTTGACTCCAGTGGGCGCTATAGGCGCATCTTTGCCGATGACCATCGTACACGCGGCGTCCCGAGACGTGCGACGGTTCGGGGTTACCGACCGTACGCTGATGCGGTGAAGCTGAGCAGGAGTGAGAGAATATTTTTTTTTAAACTTGATTATAAATTGAAGAGCGTATTAAATGCTGATGAAAATGAAAAAAAAAACATTTTGAATGCTGAGTGAAAATGAAAGAACGTATCAAATGCTGAGTGAAAATGAAAAAAACATTTTGAATGCTGAGCGAAAATTTAATAATATTTAAATCCTGAGCAAAAAGAACATTTTAAATTCGGAGCAAAAACGAAGAACATTTCAAATGCTGATCAAAAAATAAATGACAATTCAGATGTTAAACAAAAATGAAAGAAAATATGAATTGATACGCAATTTCAAGTCATCATTCAGCAATAAAATTGAATTTTTTCGATGAGCAAACGAACTTGTGACGAATTCGTGATTTCGTTCTGTTTCATAAACGCGAACAATTATTGAAAACTTTTGTACACAAAATTCTGCTTGTTGTATGAATATTCAGATTTTAACTTTTGTAACCTATATAATGAATCGTGAGATATGCATTTTAAAACATAATATACTAACGATAATATAAAGAGTCATATCCTTTTGATTTATTTACCTGTCCAAAATTGAATTATTTACAATTTTTGGAGTCGTTAACTTGTTTTAGACACATTTAAAATTATTCAAGATTTTATTTCAGAACTGGACTAACTTTGGAAGAGTCCACGCCCTCAACGAGCGCTCTGGTTCTCTCGGATGCCTTAACAGTGGTCTTAAGGAAGCCGTTGACGTAGACATGATAGGACTCGAGGGTGCCTGGTTGCAGGTCGGCGGGAGGGTTCCATCCGATGAGAATACTCTTGTTGAGTTGCCGCTCGAGAGTGAGTTGTACTGGTGCAGGGACTAGCACCGAGAAGAATAGGTCTAGTTAGGAGAGAAGTGCGCCCATCACTACATGGAAGTTACGCTATCATCCAATACACAACCTCTTAAGGAATCCAACTTGGGTCAATACTCACACATAAAAATTCGCAAACGGAAGTGAGAACGAAAAGAGGAAGGAAATACAAATATAAAATGAAGCTAGAATGGGATTTGATCGACAGCTTAGTGCAAAAATGAGATAAATTATGCAATTGAATTTTTATTTTGCGGAATTTTTATTTACAATAGATTCAATAATAATCAGCGGCTGGAAGCAAACCTGAAAATAATAATCAAAGAAATGAAGTCTGAGTTCAGGTTCTTGAAAATTCCGTCTTTGGGTTATTGTGTGGGCGTTGAAATTAGTTTTTATCTGATTTGAACGTTTTGTAATTAAGCTTCAATGCATTGCTAAATTTTAGGTTACTTTAAAGTCAAGAATATGAAGGCCGCAAAAAATTGTTGTGAAGAAATGGACATCCCACATTTAATCTCGACATTACACGAATCGTTAAGAGTTGAAAGTATTTTATTTTAGGAATTTTTTTACCGTGGGGTATTCGGTATACAACAATATTTGGTGAATATTTTGTTAATGCATCAATCTTGAACTTTACAAAACAAAAGTTTCATCCCGAACTGAATGGGATGATTAGTGACAGATCATTTTTGTGCTTACGAGTTTTAAATATGCAATGATTTTATTATTAATTTAATTAATTTTGAATTTCTATTACAATTTTGATTGAATTTTGAAAATACTGGAGTTACTAATGCAGAACCAAACGCTCAAAAGAGATTCACGAATGGAAACATCTATAAAAATAAAGTGCAGGCAGCAATGCTGAACTGTTCATCTACACTGCATGGCGGCTAGAAGACTATACGTAATTTAGGGTGGGATCATCTGGATATATTCACGACTGCAAAAGATTAACTTTCAAAAACTTGCAGTCGAATAAAAACCATTTTGGATTTCAAGCGAAATTTAATTGCATTCGAATTGGGAATTTCAGACCAAAGGCCAGGTTTGATAACACAAATGATGGCACGAAGGAACAAACATTGACGATTTGTTTGTATTTTAAAAACATTTGATTTAGAATATTGTGCAATTATAGACCAGAAATGAGGGTAACATTAAATTAGATAAGTTTATCACATTGAAAAGGATGTATCATTTCAGCAGTGAGAAAAGATATGACATGGATATTCATTCTAATATTTAAGGAGAACAGGGCAACACCGAATCATAGAACAAAAACTCGGGTATTTAGGGGGAAAAGTTTAGTGAAATGATTATTTTTCTTGATAAGCATAGGTAAGCTGAAATTCTTCCTGCTAGTTCATGAGTTGTTTAGGAAATACAAAAATTTTGTCACGATAAAAAATCTATCAGCAGAAGCATGTGCTGATTTCAAGCTTCAAACTATGTCACAGCAAGAAAAAAGGGTATGTCTAGCAGCCTCGAGCACAGTATTTGTTGCAAGTTGTAGCAAAATTATGGTATCATTCTAGAAAAACACTGTGCAGAATATATATACAAGATATTCTGCACAGAAACTTCAGATATCTACAGAAACCATTATTCATAATAGAAGGCTGAAGGTAGCATGCGAATTATTGACACAAGTTAAACCTAGGCTAGGGCTGCAGTTCATTCTAGTTCACAGATTCTCTAAACATTCTCAGGCACCGTGCACAGTGATAGAATTACGCTTATTCTCAGGCAAGTCAAACAACCGAAGAATCGTTCAGCGACTCTGCAAATTTCTTATCGTTAAGCATCGTACATTATTTGATATAATAATAAACGAGAGGATATCCTAATCTGAAATTGTATCTAGTACTAGAGACCAGAGAACTATAGCTAGAGGCATGATTAGCGTATTTGCACTAATTCACAATTTTATTAATAAATAAAAATAAAAGCTGATAAATTTCGTGCGGCGAAACAAGAATGGTATTTTAGAAGTTTATACACACGAAGCCTCAATCAACGAATTCGGTTGATTGAACTGGCATATCCTCCTAAAAATTGATATTAAATTTTTTATCATTAACTAGTTAAATAGGAAGATTTACAGAAACTATCGTGTGCTTTTTGAGTACTTCTGAGGAAGTAACTTGAAATATTTATAAATTCGGGATGATTTTAATGATGCGTAGGTTGTGCGTAATTGAAAAGAAAAAACTCAATCGCATATCTGAATTCTGTATATACAGAAATAATCTCCGAGCAAAGACGTACCTCCAAATGGGTGATAGCAATCTTTTTTATACAGGGAAAAACGTTATAATTGAGCTTTATTAAGGAAACAGGGGTAATGATTCTTAAAAAAGTATCAGTTAAGTATGTTTCCAAGTAATAACAATCAAATTCCCGTATATAAAAAAAACATCCTGATAGCGCAACTTATTTAACCTCGTTTTATCGTCACGGCTGAATGCTTCAACGAATGAGATTAATACTCGCACGTTATTATTAGTGAACCAGAAATATAAATTTTTACGCAGGATGAGAAAACTTGAAACTGTATCTCGATAATTTTAATTGAGTAAAACACATCAATTAACTGTGCACATGAAACTATTGTGTCAGTATGAACCTTGTGAATCAAGTCACGAAAAGTACAAGAATCGGCAACAGGCCATGGGCCTATTTATTCAATGCCGACACTTATATTCTATTCTAATGTGTATGAGTTAATTGTACAGAGAATACGCTCACCTTGATCTCCCATGGGTTCGTCTTCCTCAATAATGTCTTCGAGGTCGAGGTAGCTGTTGTATTGTCGTATAGACGAAGAGTTCATGCCCAGATCTGATGAAATAATTACGAATCCATTAGCAGAATATGCCAAGGGGATCTTATTTTCTATATGAGCGGAGTTCATTTTCAATCATAAAAGAAACAGGTGATTATATTGAACTTATTACACATTTTAGGATAGTTCATCCCATATCTGATAATTAAAGTATTAATATTGGTGCAACGTAATACAAGGCAGGTCTCACTTAATACAAGACCGATAATAAAAGTATAAAAAATAAGATAAATTACAAACGAGTAGCACATTAGCGATTGAATAAAGGAGTCAAAATTCAAGGAAATGCAATTTTAAAGCACGACCAGCTTCGCTTCATATTAAAAATTAAGAAGACTAATATTAATTTGAGGCACATCAGATCGTCAAAAATATTCTATAATTTTGCGAATCATACTCTTTATATAATTCTAATTGAGAATAGAAGTTTAATAACTTATACATATTTTCAAAGCCATCTGGTTATCTACTTTTTCTACGAAAACGCATTTACGCTTGGCATTCAGTTACCCCTAAACCTGGTCTACAATAGCACTTATCTACAGAAATCTACCTAAAATATACATACATCTGGACGAAAATTCAATATACACAGATATTAAATTGTAAAAGTGTGCTTCATTCATAGAACAGTGCTGTTCACACAGATGAAAAGTACAAAACCTATACGAAATGAAACAAAGAGGCTATGAAACTCTGACAAATCTCCGTTTTAGTGAAAAAAATTGGTTCTATTCTGGTAAAAATGTATGGTCGATCACTTAATCGTCCACAGACTCTTTCATTAATCAACAATCCATTGCGTTAAATAATAAAAAAATTCTCTGTTACACAATTCAGCCAAAATGAAGAAACTTTCATCATCAATATCATTACAACAAACATTTTCATACATTATCAATAAATTCATTTCCCATTGACTCCATATACAGATTGTAGGATTGAAAAATCGCACAAACATGTGGTGTGAGGAATCAATTTTTTTTAAATAGAAGCTTTAGTTGTTCAGTTGAGAAACTCACCTAAACTTGAAATACTAGCTTCTACCAAAGAATTATGAAGGTAAATCAGAGTAATTTGAAACGACAAAATGTGAATAATGGCTTTTATATTTTATCTAAACACGTTTGATTAATAGAATGTATTGTTTTCGTGATCATGATTATAGTTATTTAACAATATTAATCCTAAAACACCACTCAAATGCAGCACAATGCACTGAACTGAACGAAGTGTTCGAGCAGATGCGTTAGTAGCAGGATATTTTTTTTTTGTGGTTGAACTAAATTGCAAGATTATCAGATGATGGTTGAATTAATTAAACAGAAGTAAAAAATTTCGTATATAAAGTAAACAACTTTTTCCTATCGAAAACCGAAACATTTTTTTCCCTTTATTAGTTAATATATCTATCAGAATTTCTCGACTGTATGAGACGTTTTCTGGAAAAGGATCATGCTTTTGGAAAGGAGTGGGCGTACAGTGGCACGCGTCAACAAGCGCTATATATACTTTTACATCTGTATTATGTGTATAATGTGAGCATGCAATAGTTTTACAGCTGTAATTATCATAATATGTATTATTAATTAATTAAACATATTTAATATGTTTAATTAATTTTAATATCATTAATAATTAATTAAACATATTACTATGTATTAGCAAATAATTAAACATATTAATGTGCATTACAGCTGTAATTATCTTAATATGTATTGGCCGTACATATTCTCAAGCGTTATTATGTATGAAGATAAATTGCGCGAATTAAATTGGTAAATTTAGGTAAAGCAAACACTTGCAGGGGTAACTCGAGTAATGGAAACGAGTAATGCTCGACTTATCACCAAGTCTGAGATGGCAAAATATATGATTAAGTAATGTTGATGATAAATTTGAAAATTATTCTTTAAGATAACCAGTTCACGGATCAATGTCGTTAATGCTATTTTTATGATAGAATAGATTACTCAAAATAATTCCATAATTAGCGTATATGCGATGCTTGGACATGCGATTTAAGCTTCAAATAGATGGTCTCCATGCAAATTAGTCGATAGCAAATCCATGCAAGTGTAGGATATTTGACGAGGCAATCAGAGGATCAGGAGTAGGAGATCTTCCTTACACTTCCCATGATCTCAGATCACTGTACATACGATTTTTATTAATCAACAATCGTTAGAAGACGATTAAGTTTAATCGACAACGGTACGTAAACGGTTATGCTTAAACGGCAATCGTTCGTAGACGAATAGATATAATCGACAACTGTTGGTAATTAAATGATCAAGATTAAACGGCAATCGTTAGTAGAAGCAAACTCAAATCGGAATTTTGAGGGGATACTCAACTGTAAATCTTCCGATTTTTTTATGTAACGAATTAAAAAATAATAGGTTGCTATAAGCGCCGGACATTTCTACGGCATGATATATCAAGCTTAAGAAGAAATAATTATTAACCAGCTTGAGCACAGCAGGTGTATGCAAAATTTGATCAGTTGCGAAAAAAATTATTTTCTAAGATCAAGGTGTTTAGATGCCAAGTGTGACTAGGTTTTGGTCTTTTAACAAAAGTAAACATTTTCACTTGATAACCTGGAGTATAGGTTTGAAATTTGATTTTCATACTTTATTAAACATGTATCACTGACTAGAGCAGATGGGAACTACAACTCTTAATTGTAGATCTTTTGTTTGAGAATAGTATGATACGGAAAGAGCCGGTGACAACCGTGATTTATTCGTAAATGAATAATTATATATTAAACTAACACTAAAAAATATATTTTAGCCGTAATTTTTTCTCAAATTAGTTTTAAATTATTAAAAAAATTCTGAAATGACAAGCGCCGATGGCAACCGTGAATTGTTCATTACATATCAGTTAAATATTCGTTAAGTTTAATAATTGAGATACGTAGGGAAGCGCGAGGTGCATGAGGAAACATGGGGTGTTTGTAAGGGTGACGTACTAGGAAGAGTGTAGCTGTGAGGTACACTGGTACCTCCGGTCATTGGACGGTTACTCGACATCGAATTGCCCAAGTCCATACTCGGGATGAGACTTGGAGTTTTCTCGTCTATAAGGTCAGTGACGCCTTTGAAGAGGTTTTTGACAAAATTTACAGGAGCCTTTACGTCTGGAGGGAACATACAAACAGCGTCTGAGATTGAGCTAAAGCTAGGTTAAGGTAAAGGACAGTAGAAGAGAAGGTAATTGTGTGATGTAAAGGAATGATATAAGAACATTTTTGTCTTTTTGTAAATATTAAAACAAAGTTTCGTGTCATATTAAATATGGATTTTAATATAGACCGCTATCTTCATATATTTCAAGAAGTATGCTAAGGAAAAGATGGTCTTGAACTTATTTATCGATGGCTTTAAACGAGCATTAACATATGTTCATATGTTAAGATCACGGTATATAATGCAGTAAAAATATACAACATATAAGGTTATAACAACAAATTTCAGAAAACAATGAAAAGTTTGGGAGCTTGATCGTGAATTGTCTTCTATTAAAATAAAAGTGTTACTTAATTGAGCCACGATTACCACACACAATAAGCTACAGATCTCCACCACACACCAAGCAACACGTTTGAAAGCTTTCTTTTTCGATGGCTTTCTTCCAAAATTTAAGTACCTCGAGTTGCAATGGGAATTAATACGTTTCATGTTACGCATACAGGAATGAAAATGCGCAGTGCAAATATGAATTCAAGATGACAAAATTGAGAACCATTACCTGAGTTTTTATTGCAGTCGGAAAAAGTAAGAGGCATTTCAAACAGAATCCAATTTTTTCATCTCTCATCGACCAAAGGTGACAGCGAGTGTCCAAAGTCAACGTTCTCGGTTAGGAGGGAGGATATAGGAGAAGTTCTCATGTGAATATTCGCAAGGAATCTCACTCTACATTCACCAGTCAAGTCGAGGACTGAGTGCGGGAAAAAATAGTCCGAGAGGGACTTCGGAAGCTGCAAGTGAAACTCGAAGGCAACAAGTGGGACTCAAGGATTGCAAGTGGTACTCAAGGATTACAAGTGGTACTCAAGAGTTACAAGTGGTACTCAAGGGTTACAAGTGGAACTAAAGGGTTACAAGTGGGACTCAAGGGTTACAAGTGGAACTCAATTGAGGGCTACAATCGGGACTCAAGGGTTAGAAGTAGGACTCAAGTGCTCCAATTGAAACTCCATGGCTGCAACCCCGAGCCCCAAAAGGGAATATAGGGCTTCAAGTGGGACTAAAACAGCACTCCTAGTTGCTCTACACGGGATAGGATCAAGGATTTACCAACGATAGGTATGACGAAAACCAGCGTCATGCAGACGAGTGACTTCTAACTGAGCGGTACAGTAGGAACCAAGGTTATGGAAAGTGGCGAATATATCCTAATAGTGACATCCTTCATAAATGGCAGCGGTTTTCCATCTAAAGGTGAATTCTCCCCTGGTGAACAATTAGGCGATTTTTTAAGGGCAATGGAGGGCTAAGTGAGTTTAATCTTCGTGTCAATTTAGCAATGTACGATAATGTAGACAATATCTGCATGAGGAGTAACATATGCTTACGGTGACATTTTCAATTGAGTACCTCGGCGAAAAAGTTTTCGATCAAAAGATCTAGCGAGAAAAAATGCGTGACACACCGGCTTGTCATGTGATCTATTAATTTTTTCCAGATTTTTTTACTTTGCTACTATGGCATTAAAACCAAGATATTTCATGGTTATTGTCGTAAGAAATTTACTAAACAGGTTTAAAAATAGTTATAGATATCAACAGTTATTTATTTGAACTTTTTTGAGACTGAAGAGCAGGTAGTGAAATATTACTTGATAAATCGGTTATACTTGAGTTAAAATATATTTAAAATCGTATAAATGGATAAATGGATGGTCATAAAGTGCCGGATTGGTGCGTTCTGAAGTTTCGTAGCAAATTCTGTTAGATAAGAAAAAAAAGCGAAAGACGCAGATAAAGAAGACGTAGCGTTTAGAGAACTTTTAAAGAACAAAACTGATAATCATTAGATAGCAACATAAAAAAATTATTGGCAGCGGAATTAAGCGACGTTTGAAAATGTCAATTTTGCTTTTTACTGGAAGCTAGTGCGGCATAACCGATTTTTTCAGGTGATTTTTTTTTTTTTTTTTCATAACCGATTTTCAGAAAAAATGTCCCAGCTGCATTGATTTGTTTTATAATATCAAGCATTTGACAGGATTCTTCAATAATTGGTCCGTATAGTGTCTGTTTATAATAGGAATCTTGACACTCAAGCATTAAAGCGAAAATTATTCAGACGGTAAAAAAATCAATTGTCACATTTTCGAGATATTGATAGGCCTGTGCCTATCAATATCTAAGATTAACTTTGTTTTATAAATAGTATAAAAAATATAATATAAAAATTCGAATAAATGTTGAATTAGTAGTGAATATGGGAGGAAAGGTTTGGATTCGGCCGTACTTATTGCTCGCAGTCAAAAATTATATTATATTTCATATATATTATATTTATTTGATTTAATATGCCTGAATTATTCCACATAATTAACAGTGACTAATTTTACTCTCTTTGAAGATTGTCATATATAAAATAAAACAGCATAATCTTAAGAAATATTAACAATTACAATGTTTACGCATCGAAAAACTAAACGACTATGAAAAATTTAACGTGGCGAAAGAAAATCGACACCGTGAAAAAGTATGACAGCTAATTTGTCTCAATCAAAACCTGAGTACATACGTATGAATTAAATTATATTTCATTAGAACACCAATAATATCTTCAAAATGTCTGGAGTGTCGAGGAACTGGATTGTACGTATACAGGAATAATTAAAACTAAAACCACTGAAATTTTTGTAATTCAGCCAATTTAGAAACCGAATCATCAATCATTCCTAGACGCCAGCGAAGAGATTCATAAAAAGAATGGGTACAAAATCTACTTACTAAAAATAAGGTATATTAATCAATTTGAATTGCAAAAAAGACACAAGTAACTTTTTACATTAATAAACAAACATGGAGGAAATAATTTAACGAATAAAAAGGTATCATTAGAAGATTAACTACGAAAAACCATCACAAAAAATGGTAAGAAGCTCAACACAAGTTCAAGAAGGCGGATCGATAACGTGGATGTCTCAACTACGCATCATCAAAAGATTGAAAACAAAAACTATTATCACAATGGATTGAAACTAAACTCAGAATAAATACCAGAGTGATGAATTTCTTACCTAGCATGAGACGGGGATCGTCCTGGGAAACTTTGAACTACGAAACTGGAGACCGGGAAACTGGGAACTACGCATCATCAGAAGATTGAAAACCAAAAACTATCGTCATAAGGATTGAAACTAAACTCAAAATATATACCAGCGTGATGAATTTCTTACCTAGCATGAGACGAGGATCGTCCTGGGAAAGGTAGTCGAGGTCTTGTGGCACCGACGTGGACATAGACTCATCACAGTCCCTGAGCCCCATCACGACGGACTGGTGGAACTCGATCAGGTCTTCCCCCACCAGCTTCTCCACGAAATTGGACGGCACCAGTCCACGGCGCCCGTCCAGCAGCTCTCCGTCGAAAAAACCGTCCTGGGTCCGAGGGACCGATTACGTGAGTCCACATTTCAACGCGCTTACAGTATTGTTATGACTGTTATGTATTACAGTATTACAATATTATGTTATGTATTAACGTATTGTTATGACTGTTAAGTATTACAGTATTATGTCATGTACTACAGTACTGTTATGACTGTTAAGTATTACAGTATTATATTATGTATTACAGTATTATGTTATGTATTACAGTATTGTTACGACTAAAGAAATTGCTGACACTTTTTGTACAGATAGAGATACTTGATACAAATACGTTTAGAGACAATGACTTGAACTTGTATCCCAGCAGAACAGTTTGTTATGAGCGGTGATCGTTACGCGACAAAAAATTGAGACAGATGCTTATGAATTGATAGAAATTGTAATAACCGTTTCGCTGACTGCGGTAAAACCGAGTTGGTATTGAGCCTACTTACACACGTAACATATTTTGAAATAATACATCGTGATTAATAACTTTATTGTAATAATATGATATATTTAACTTGCGTTTTACTCACTTTCGTTCCCCTTAAAATTTTACTAAATAAATTTTCATAGAGTTCCGTGAACGTATTAGATTTACTTATGTAAACTTGTGTTTACGTGTAACTTTTTAGAAATATAAGTGATATAAAAAATATTTTCGTAGCGAAATAGTTTGTCATAGCCATTTTTTGCAGCGAAGTTAAAATACAAGACAATTTTGGCGGAAGCACAAGAAGGGAACCCACCTCGTCCATCGCGCCCCACACGAGTACGTAGTCGCCAGCATTGACGGCGAGCTCAGCCTCGGGGTTGTCGTTGGGCGAGTGTTGGAAGGGGTCGTACGAGTACCTGGACGTTGTTGTACAAGTACAGAAATGTAAGCTAATACAACTAAATTAAGGGGTCGAGTGACTACCTATTGGCAGTAGTACAACCACATGAAAGATCTACATGGTTAAAAATGTAAGCGAATACGACTAAATTAAAAGGTCGAATGAGTAGGTACCTATTCGAAGTAGTACATACAACCACATGGTTAAGAGCTATGTTATGCCTCAAGAGGCAGACGCATAACATAATGAATAGTTAGTCAGAATATAATATTTGAATAGCGCAATATTCATATTGTTGTATTAGGAGATGCACCTGGCGATGTAGACATGACACCTTCCCTTGCCCGGGATCTCGAGCACGTCTAGCACGGAGCCTTCGCTCAGGTAGTCTGCAGGTAGGCCAAGGTTCTCCAGGTTCCCGTTGAGCAAGTTCTTGTCTGCAAGCATAAAATAATTCATAGTTATTGTCTTCACGTTAGAACAAAAAGCTATAGTTCTTGTCTGCAAGCATAAAATAATTCATAGTTATTGTCTTCACGTTAGAACAAAAAGCTCAAGTTCTTGTCTGCAAGCATAAAATAATTCATAGTTATTGTCTTCACGTTAGAACAAAAAGCTATAGTTCTTGTCTGCAAGCATAAAATAATTCATAGTTATTGTCTTCACGTTAGAACAAAAAGCTACAGTTCTTGTTTGCAAGTATAAAACAATTCACAGTTATTGTCTTAACGTTAGAATAAAAAGGCCACAGTTATTTTCTACAAGTCGAGTTTCGTTTGGCCACTAATATCAATGGTATACTGATTCAGGAATATCATATAATTTTGAATACCAAATATCTATAGAATTTCAGTAGGGGGACATTTCATGGCAAACTGACGAAAGGCGATTTAATACAGAGCTTATGTAATCATTCAAACGTTAGAGAATATACGGGCTAGCAATTATTGTTGTTTCGTTAAATGGGATTTGTTATAAATATTAATATACGGTATTTGTAGAAACAAATGAAAATTTTAGCTTTTCTTCGCGCTAAATTTCTAACAATTTGAAATAAAATAAATCAGAGTTCGTAGAAAATGCACTTAAACAAGGAGCAACTTTCAATATTTCAGTGAATCACTATAAAAAATCCCTATTAGGAAAATAAAATGAAAATGTAGAAGAAAACTTATTAAATCATATAACTAAATTCAATGCGTTCTATAAAAACATAGTGACAATCAACCACATGTGTCAGAATAGAAGACGCTTTAGAAATTCTACCGTCACCCTAGCATGATTTTTTTCACATGTAAAAAGTTTTCATCATTTTTTATTAATTAAGGAACACTTTTCCTCTTCTGGAAATCTATCATTGTTAAAATGTCGCAGTTGTTGAAAATTTGTAACATTTTACAAGAGTATTCAGGACCTTGATTGAATGTCTGGCTTATTTAATGGCAGGATTTGATAATAATGCTGTTTAATCGACACGAAGAAGAAGCTTATTAGAAGTTTAAAAATCATAGCCGAGTTATAAAATAAATATGCCCTTACCTTTGAACCCAAACATTTTTTGTCTGCATTAAAAAAAAAAACAATAGAACTAATAAAAACGCTGGGATCCTGGTTATTGTTAATAATAATATGGTATTGGGTAGCAAAATTATTTTGATATTAAAAATTAGTTAAAACAACACAAGAAGTACAAAAAAAAAAACACAAAGAAGTACAAATTTTACAATTATCACACTAGTAACAGGAACCGATTCAACGAAAAATATATAATTTAACCTGATTTTAAAATGAAAACGATAAATAAAGGTTACTTGATAAATGCAAAAGAGAACGGTAAATATAGCAACGAATGAAATCTAACAGAAGAATTAAGATAAATTATTTTCGCAATAAATCAAACAAACACAAATGCGCGGATTGTCAACAAAGACATTAATGCATCGAAATAACATATGGGAACAACAGAAAATTTATTACGCCTATTTAGCAAAAAAAATACATTTTGCTTGTCTAGTGAAAAAAATTACATAAAAAAATAAGGTGTTCTAGCATAGTAACAAAAAAAAAAAAACTAAACCAAAAACAAAACAAATGACAATTAGCAATCAAATGCTAACCATTCCTCAACGAAATACACAAATTAACACAAATGATTACTCTGCTAATCAAGAGCAAAATCAAGAGCATAAAATTGCAAATCGTAAGAAAAAATGAGCCGAAATCTGACCATCCTTGTCGAAGTTGGTGGTGATAATCGTAGGCAGATGATTGAGGTTCGAGAAGCCAGGGTTAGTGAGGCTGTTGGTCAAGCCAGAGAGGAAGTTACTCGCACCCGAGGGCAGTGAGAAGCCGCTGAGAAGACCTGAGCTGCCGGGGGTGAGGCTACCACCCATCGAATTCACGATCCCCAGGTTCGGTAGAGATGTTGTACCACCCATCATGCTGGACGGTCCAGGTCTGGAGAGTCCTGGATATACACCAGCGGCAATACCAGCAGCGTCGTACTGAGCTAGAAGCTGGTCCGTTATACCCAAAGAGTTGTGCAAGTTGTGCGTGGAGAGATCAAGACCAGTGATGAGAGAGCTTGACGAGGCCGAAGTGATGGGGTTGTTGGTGGGAGACATCAAAGGAACTCCCGCTAGGTTCAGGGAAGCAGCGAGGTTGCTTGGATAAGACATGGATGATAGTCCTCCTGTTCCCAAAATTGATGAAAGTCCTCCATTGCCTCCGTTACCAAGACCTGAGGAAAATGATAAGTCCTAACGGCCGTGCAGGCATACAGAGGGGCACTAGATATGTGTGAGAAGCTTCTTGCATTCCTTCTGTGCTTTCTTATAAAAAAGGCAACAGTGCTGCATTGCTATGCTCATTAAATTACAATATAATTTCTTTAGCATATTGAGCCGAGAAGCCGTATTGAAACATTCACTTGTACGAATTAGATCGTCTCACTTGCCATATTCAAAATAAGAGTAAGCTGAACTTCTTCTTTGCGCATCACAGAGTGAATGTATACCGGGAAGTTGAAATTGAAAATAAAACCATGCTAAAGATGCTATTACATGCATACATTTGAGAGAGGAAACGGGACTCGAAAATTCAATGAAATTCTAGAAATCGAATTAACTAAGAATTATTTGCATGCTCTTGATCTGGGGGCTAATACACAAGTGCAAAGATATTGTAAATTGCGGAGTAATACAATAACAGGAACGGAGCGTAGCTTTAAGAAATCGAGGAAAATATTGCATACAAATTTACCCGACACATTTAATAAGACAGCGCACAAATTCTCTCTTTTTGACTGCTCACAAGGAATATTATTTCATAAGTGAATGATGATGGAAGACAATACTTTACAATTTTCAATGCGTACGACGATGGCGGCAAGTGACATCGAGAGCGAGGTGTAAATTCAAACTCTCAACAACTCAGCTCTACAAATATAAAAATTGGCATTTAATCGGATATCCATAAGGTATCCGAGTTGGTGCCCGGTATCTAGTACCTGATACACTAGGACACTAGGTACCCATTAGGTAACCATGAGGGTGAGTAAATAGTTAAATTTTTAATACAGTTAATTTGTCACAACAAGAATCGTGTAATTCATACGAAGCAGTTATTAGTAAAACAAAAACACACAACAAATTTTGGTGGACAAATTATACGCTTAACTCTAAAACAACACTGCTCCTTTTTATGATGATACATAATAACTGCTCAACAACATACATTCATTAACGCGGACACTAGCCACTAAAAGCTTTTACATGAACATTTAACATATAAATCTAAGCCACAAAAGCCAAGTAAAAATCCAATTCCGTGACTTTTTCTCCTCTAGATAACGTGGGTCGATTTTACCGGGTCACGCTAATAAAAAATTATAGCACATCCTTGGACACAGGTAAACTTTATGCAACGATTACAACATGGCGCATTTCTATTCATAACTGCATAAGAAAAAATTATTGAGACAATGGAAAATCTGACTGATATAGAAAAATTGAATTTAAATTAGAGTGTGGATGATGAAACATATCTGGAGAAAAATTGATCGGGGAGAAGATTATCAAAAAACACGTGTTGTGATAAGACGCTCAATTCTACTTTTCGACGCTAGCGCTATCAGGAGACTGGGCAGTAACACGAAATTATTGCACGACAAACTAACTTATAATTAGTGCAATCTATATAAGAACTTCGGTTGACATATAAATCCTTTGCTGTCATATTTTGTTTTCCATTTGTTAGGAAACGTCTGCGGCAACATCTACGAATGTCTATAACCCTTACAGGAGAATAACACACAACTGAGTCTAGAATTAATTCCACAAGGAATGTAAAATGATGTGCTTGATAACAAGATAATACGAATCAAAAGACTACTGTGGGTGTATGTGCACTTAATGACTGTACTTCAGTGCAGTGCTGTATACAACGGTAAGGTGAAGACGATATTTTTAAACACTTAATTGGATAAAAACGTCAACTCTCGCAGGATATACAAGGTGAATGAGTTTTGTATGAACTTGATGATTTTCGAGGAAGCATCGTGGGTAGTCAAGGATAAATTGCAGGAGCTCATGTTGCAGCATAGTGAACTAGACATATTTGAAAAAAAATCGAGTTTATTCATAGTTACTGAATAGTCATGTGGTATTTTATGTTTACAATCACTAAATGAATCCTTCACATGAATTGACATAATTTGCTAATTGTTAGCACCAGGGAACACACAGGAGAGCTGCAGATAGCATTGAAATGAAAGCAGGCAATTAAGTTAGAAGAAAAGAAGGAAGTTTATAAGCAGGGACACGGCGGCTACTGCAGTGGGGCGCTGCTAACACGGCAACTGAGTAGAAACATGAGGAGGCTGTGCGGTGAGTGGGTCCGACCAGCCCAGGCCCCAGGCTGCACTTATCTTTAACCACCCGACAGACATTTGACGTTGATTAAACGTTTCAACAAAATAACGTTGATTAAATGTGGTTCAAACGACATAACGTTGACCAAACGCTGTTTCAACGAAATAAAGTTGGTTGAGCGTTGTTTCAACGAAATAAAGTTGATTAAATGTTGGTAATCAAATCGTAATATACTTTCCTTCAACGTAATTTGCCTTGAAGGTACCGCACAACGCTTAAAACTTCACCCTCTGGACGTCGTTCTACCTTAAGTATGAGCAGCAGGTAAAAAAAATAACATCCCTCTCTCCTCAAGCATTTAGAACGATCAAAACGGAAGCGCAGAACATTCTGGTTCCGCCAATTGCGCAACAAGAGTCCGGTTGCAGAATTTCGACGGGCGACTGAGCTTTCCAGAGTACGAAGCAAACTGCTGATGCTTCATAGATCGATAACCTCGTACCTAACTCATCACTAAGATATTAAGTAATTATGTATCTGAAAATATTAAGCGCACTCTAATTGAATTGCTGAATCTTTGTTAGATCGCTCGACTTCCAACTTATCCGGCACTGAAAGCGCTAGGATGACTCCGGAGTCGTCAAAAGTTACCATTAATATTTCAAATCCTGGACGCGGATAGAACACAAGGATGGCATTGAAAGCGTTGAAAATCAAAACTTCGGACCAGTTTAATTTAATAGTAATATTGTAGATGAAAAGTTATGACAGCAGGTTTAGCAAGGGATTACCTTACGGAGAAGAAATTTAAATAATGAATTTCGAATGAATTATTCGGGGAGTTATTAGCAATATACGATAGGTAGTAAGCCAAAGTAACTTAAAGCATTTTGTAAGGTATTTTGAGAGGTTCTTGGACACGGAGAGGTAATCAAGCGCTAATGATAGTGAAAATCTTTACCAAATATTCATATTTAATTTACTCTTAGATACCACGAAAAATGGAAGGAATTTTATCAAACGTACGGTTACTTGTTCTCAAGCCCAATTTGGTATACTTGTTCCATGCAGACGGACAGGTCAAAAATTCGAAATAGATCCTGAATTCGATTGAAGAAAGTTACACTTGGGGTCTGGGCCGGACAGCAGCAGGTGAAGCTACAGAAGATGATTGTGATATTTGTGGAAGCTCAAACTTGGATGCCTCAAGATGCTGCTTCTCTACAGACAAATAATGAGAGCTTGAAGAAGGCGCAGAAGTCAAACTTACTTTGCCTTCTGTTAAAAGTGGAGGGGCGAGGCACCGTCAAGTATCCCTTGAGTTGCTGCGATAAACTTGATCCACCAAAGGACGAGAAGTCGAAGCTCTCATGAGGAGTTACGGGAAGAACGCGTGGATTCTTACAACCTAAATTAGGAGCTGATGTGTGTAGAGGCTGCAGGAATCTGACATGACGGCTCTCGGCGCGACCAGAAGAACCGAACTTGGCATCACGAGTAGAGAATGGTTTAGATTCCGAGAATAAATGAGGTTCAGAATAATACTGATATGGGCAGTGTACGGAATCACAGAAGTTTTGGCAAGGTTTGTACTGCTTTGCTTGAGAATGCGGATCAGGGAAGACTTTACTGCGAGCACTGAAGTCGGGTCCATTGAATGTACATTTTGATTTATACTCGTAAGTTTCAGGCCGACGTGCTATAGGGCATTCGTAAGCCTCTGTACGTCGTGCCGCAGGGATCTTGCCACAGCAGCAGTGGTGGATGTGGTGGCTCGTGTCCTTGCGTCTGTGTCCAGAAGAATCGTGTCGACCGCTACCGTGTCGGTGTAGGTGCCTGGGCTGTCTTTGTTGGGAATGTTGTAACAGGTAATTCCTGAGCTTCTCCGCCTGTGTCATCGAGCGATATTTTCTGTAGTATTCATTAGTGTATTTGGTGAGTTTTTTGGATCCTCTAAGCAGGCTCTTGGCTGCCTCGCGTATTTGCAGGCCCAGCAAAGGCGAGTCCAAGAACTTAACGTGCCTATTTGTCCCGGGACCTGCAGAGAAGCTCGGTCAGCTCACAGCACCGCACTGCCTCCTCACACTCTACCGCTCTACAAGCTACTGAGTTTTCTGCAACAATACTCAGCTCTCTTACAGTTAGAGAAAATAACAAAACGAAATTACCGTTTGGTTGTTATTAAATACCGTTCCGAGGTTAAAAATCGAAAATGCCCAAGAAATTTTACAACAGAAAAAAGAGAAAGCCTAAAATATAATTCGGTTTCATAAGAAAATAGAACGATGCCAAATGCCTCGACCAAAGCATCTTAATGGTTGCAGTCGCAAAGAGCGTAGTTTATCGCTGGAAATAGATTAGCAAATCAATTAGGAGAAAATGAACTCAAAGAGACACAGAAAATGTTTTTCTGGCAGCAGCCATCAGCTAACAGGGCATGCAAAGACGAGAATGTTCAGGAAGAATACAGTTGGTTCAGCGGTACAGAGATTAAGAAAATAAATTTTCATAGGGCAGGTGTAACCACATGCAATGAAACGAAGGTATTAGGAGCTGGACAAATTGGACGAGTTAATTCACTCGTGCGCACATAACATTAATACGTTCTACACTTTGCTTGCAACCACCAACCTGATCAACCTTACAAATCGTCATTAATGGTATAGGTGTAATTGAAGGGTGTAGAACCGTAAACTTTTCTAGCAGTTTCATTATAATTCGCATACAGTGTTGCAGTTTGATTATAATTAAGTCAGTTTGCTCAATTTCTGATTGAATTCATTAGAACTTCCATTGCGCCAGATAAAGTAAGTGCGAAAGCAGTTGTAAACGAAATGTTACTCAATTTTCTATTCCTGAAAATAACGCTTTGGAGAGCGTCTAAATTGAAAATGTTCCCATACATAAGTCTCTTATTTTTATTTGTGGTCGGATAAAGAAATACCACCAGACCAAAGTGAGGGCAATATCAGTACTTCAAGGGACAGGTTCAGAGCTGATGAACTGCAGGTCAAACTTGCAGGAATAATCCATGAAGAGAATCACTGGTGCACAAGAAATACGTACAAGATATCGGGGAATAAATAAGTAATATAGGAGTACCAAGTACGTAGTAATTTGGGCACATCAAGTTCCGTTGACAACTTATTGTTTGAATTTTTTTAGGAGGCCTCTAAAAAAAAGGGAATCTGCCGACATTGAGGACGAAATGTTAACATGGGAACAACGGACACATCAGCAAAGGGACTCAAGAATATAGAGGATACAGAATATAGTCTATGAGGTACAATCCGTTGTTTGGGGACTTAATACTTGCCAGTCTCCAAGGGATTTTTCGCCCTGATAGGCTTCACTCGCACCAAAGTATACAAGCAAACATTTTCAAGTTGTTGTCTTTAAACCCTTGAGCTAAGCGGTTAACGGATGCACAATAAGACATCGAACGAATAACGCTGAAAAGCCATCGCTTCTTTCATTGAATGACCGAAAAAATAACACGGAAAAGCCGTCGCTTCATTCATTGAATGACCGAAAAAAATATCACGACTTACCAATCGTAGCTCTTGATTTGTCGAGTTCGGCAAGAATTTTATTATCTTGTTCGATTTTAGCCATGATTCTGTCAATTTCGTTAGCCATTGTCCCGCCCTCGACAGTAGAGGTTGGGATGGTTGGAGAAGCCCGGCCTAGAGCCCCAAGTCCACCCCCAGCGTTGAGGCTCGACGCTGTGGTCGTCGTGAACACACCAGATGATAGCGAGTTGAACGATGTCACTCCTGGCAATAAGCGTTAATAAGATAATATATTCTAATTCTATGTTCCTAATTATTATTATTATTATTATTGTATAATAATAATTACAATAATAATTATTATTATTGTATAATAATAATGTTATAATTGAAATACACGTAGTTATAAAAGAAATGTGTTTCAAATTGAAGAAGATGGGCAAAATCACAAATTTAGCGTTAAAATGTTGTCATGAATTAAGGTTAGAGTACGCTTGGAGTTCACTGAAATTTACAAATACAATATGAACAATATTTTATCTTTAAAAACATATATGTTTGAACATTACATAAACACCGAATTTAAAAAGAAAAACAATTTTTTTTTTAAATTGATCGGGGCGATTTAATATATTTTCCGCTCGCATACTTTCATCAAATTAAAAAAAAATACAAAATATGGCATATTTCAACTTTTAATTGCACGTGAAATGAGTAAAGCATTGATTTCAAGATTGTTTTGCGGAACTTAAAATATTTAATAAAATATTTGTCAATCAAGGGCACGAGACTATTCCAGATGAAGGGAATGAGGACTGAGAAACTGATGAATATGGCAATCGTGCATATGAAAACGATTATAAATTTTAATAATATTGGGTCGTTATATTAAATTGACTTCGGTTCATTGAAACAAACATGAGAATTAATTTACTGTATTACTGTATATAATCATAACATTTGGTAGAAAGAATCATGAAGTTGCCAAGTCCTTTAAGCAATACTGAACAATATTATTATAAATAAATTCTAAAGAACAAAATGCATGCTCATAAACGACATTGAGGCGACGAATAAAGTACATGCGACGACATCGGCATTAACTCTTCAAGTAAAGCACGCAATGCTGATAAATTTACTGATAATTATCAGGTACGGTCTGCTCATCGCGCAAAGACTGATCATAAAGTACGGTCTTATGACCGAGCAAAGACTGATCATCAGGTACGGTCTGGTCACCGAGCAAAGACTGATCCTAAAGTACAGCCTTATGACCGAGCAAAGACTGATCCTAAAGTACAGCCTTATGACCGAGCAAAGACTGATCATAAAGTACGGTCTTATTGACCGAGCAAAGACTGATCATAAAGTACGGTCTTATTGACCGAGCAAAGACTGATCATCAGGTACGGTCTGGTCACCGAGCAAAGACTGATCATAAAATACGGTCTGGTCACCGAGCAAAGACTGATCATAAAATACGGTCTGGTCACCGAGCAAAGACTGATCATAAAGTACGGTCTTATGACCGAGCAAAGACTGATCATAAAGTACGGTCTTATGACCGAGCAAAGAAATATTCAGCATGAGGCATGTCGCCTGACAGTCGTCTAGCGTTGCAACTTATCAAGCGTTCCATTTTATTATTAGAAGCAAAATATTTGTAAGTAAATCAGAGGCAATATGTATATAAAATTGAAAAGATAAATACTTTGTGGGTGTGGATTATCGATATATGCACAAGCACTACCATGCGGTGGAACACATAACTACGTAGGAATAACATGCAGACGTGAAAACATTAAACATTGAGATAAACATGAACAAACATGAAAATTGTAGCGGCGGAAAACGGAACTAGCATTTGCGGCTTTGAGTATCCACGCTGATCAATTAATGTGGCGAATTATTAAATGGAACAAACAGCTGAGTTTGCTCTGACATTCATGACTCATCGCCATTTAATATCAATAATCTCGATAGGATTGAAGCATATGAAATTCCATGAGAAACTGACAATCTTCACGACATGAATTCAATAACCTATATCCGACCAAGCATATGCCGTTGAAATAAAGCTTATTTTGAGTTGTTTCAACGAAATCAACTCGTAATGAACGGGTTTTCAAGTGATTTGCCTGGATTGATGGCAGACAGATAGTACGGTAGCAAAAAACACTTGTGGTCCGTGGCTGTCGTTATGATACAGAAAAAAAACTTTGAAGCATCGAATTAGCTCATCACTTGTATAGCATTGCAGTCGTCAAACGGTTGCGACCTTTGGCGTATGGAATGGCGTCGCTCAGTCCTGACTGAAGTAAGCATTAAAACGCCTTTTCGAGGTTTTTGGAGTCCAACACATTTTCGAAATTCTCAATGTCTTGCAGGCTGACTCGCAATACTACAAGTAAAAGCTATTTATGTTCCCGAAAGCGTTTTGCAACTACCAGCGAATGTCATGATCTCAGGAATTTAGGTTTAGACGGCTTTATAATATCGCATTTAAGAGAGTTTAATCTGCCAACATTCGTCAACCAATAAAAAGGCGACACATCCTTTTATGAGAGATCGAAATTTTATGTAGAGATCAAAATTTACATTCGGTTGAAAATTCTAAATGGTGCAGCGCAGGCTTCCAGGGAAGCTGTATAACTACCAACGAGAGGCAAGGTAAGACTTTTTGCAATTAAAAGCTGTTTTTATTGGAGTGTCACTGGACGAACCGAGTTTCAGTAGATAACGAATTGTATTCACCTAATTTTAATTATTAAGTGTGGTAGTTTCTTCAGTTAAATAATGAGATATTCCAAGTCAGGGATTTCCACATAACAATGTAATAATTGTTTGGCCTTCACAGTTAATTAACATCATTTCAAGTTTTAGAAATAACATGGGCCATCTAATAATTCCATGTGACGCTTCCTTGATATTGATAATTTTTGGAAGTAGTAGAAGCACAAATAAAAGCTCAGTGATAGGAAAATGACGGTAGAGAGTGCAGAGAGAAGAAGAATATCACTGCACAGCGCACGAAGAAGCTATGGACAAGAAGCTAGAAGGGGACATCAACTTTAGACATCAACCAGATTTCTATTAATTGAAGCGGTCATTGCTGGGTGGCGAAATGAATTCACTTACCGACGCCGTGATACACAACTCACGTACAAGGAGATCAAAAGCACAATAAATACTCGTAGTAAGGATACAAAAGTGAATGAAGGCGCAAGGATGTGTTTAGATTGGGAATTTACAAGGGCTCACTAAACAACTACTGGGGCAAAATGGCACCCATGTATGAAGCCAAAACATCTTCACCTCCAATTATGGTGCAAAACATCTGACGAGACGAAACTACAGACAAAAAAGGTTCCGTGCACTGACGTTGGAGATGACGATGAATGGATTTGACTGAATTTCAGGTTAAAATTGAATTATAAACGGCCGACAACTGGGAATTTTATACGCCACCCAAATTTTGCAGGCGAGATGAAGGTTCGCCGCTAACCTGACTGACTAGCAACAGTGTTGACGGTGGCAGGGTTAGCCACAATATAAGGGGGCAGGTCGCCACAGGCCAGCCCTGATAGTGTGTGGTGGTATGACGGGACGGGGGTGGACCGAGCCGTGCTACCGTTTGATAAGAATTGACTTGAATCTGCAAAGAACGAGTCATTCACAGCTGTTGCTTCAGCTCCTTGTCGTAGTGTAAATAATAACTTTAATTGTCGCTGCAAAGAACGAGTCATTCACAGCTGTTGCTTCAGGTCCTTGTCGTATTGTAAATAATAACGTTAATTGTCGCTGCAAAGAACGAGTCATTCACAGCTGTTGCTTCAAGTCCTTGTCGTATTGTAAATAATAACGTTAATTTCCGCTGCAAAGAACGAGTCGTTCACGGCTGTTGCTCCGGATCCTTGTATTCGTAGACAAAAACGTTAATTGTAAACTGCTTATGACGAGTCATTCACAGTTGTAGCTGTGTGATCCTCAGTCCTCACCGTATTTTTTGTAATATTATATTCATTGTTATAAGCAGAAGACCAATTCATTTACAGCGGTAACTCGAAGAAGCGCGCGTTTTTTTCAAACCCCAAAAACAACGCTAATCTGGAATCCAAAAGTCATTCACAACTGTAGCTTCAAATTATTTACAGCTGTAGCTTCAATTGTTGGTGACACAGCTGCTATAACAAGGATACATGCTGTCGGGTATTACATTGCGCATGCAGTGATGTACTGTGAATAAAAGTACACAGTTTGTACTTTCGAAGAGCCAACGAGTGAAGATAATTGATTACTTTCTGAAAGTTTCGTGCTACATAAATTTCTGGCTCGGCCATGCGCAGGTCTGAAGCATTATGCATGAGATGAGAAACTATTTCTGCAAATTTAACTTATGACGCTTATTATTTCAGCTATTATATTGCACATGCGCTGGTATTGACATGAATGCTCGTTCAGAATGACGTATAACCATCGGCGCTTAACAAATTTGCCAAAATAGCCGCGATGTTCCTGATGAAAAAGATAGCCGCTCTGCAGCATGCTAAAGCTAACAGTAATATGCTTTAAAATTACAATGTGCATGTAACACGTCCGCATAAACAAGAAAAATATTCTGAGAACTCACAAGTATTCGAAAATATACACATTTTATCAATAATGGAAGTGTGGGTGCAAGAAATTAAACATGTTATAATGGTTCATAAAATTGCGGTCCATACCGTGAGGTGATAAACAAGTCAGTGTTTTCAGTGTAATAGGAAATAAATGTCATTGTGTCCCGTAGATGAAGAAAAAATGATCTCAGCTTCATGATGCATTCTTGCACTGCCAAGAGAGTTCTTCAATTATAAACTTATGTAAAATTGAATCGTTCAGCGCCACGGTGGATTGATCGAACTCTTGATAAGGAGTTTATAGATTATTTGAATTGACGTTTTCCAAATTACTATAGAACAATTATCGCAATCCCAAGAATCTTAACTTCGAGTTTCACCGTTTAATTATAAACTTAGTGAAAATATATGAAAATATAAATGAACGATTCAATTTCCCAATAAATTTGCAATCGAGAAACGTTAGCAATCAGCTGATGCAGTTCAGTCAACACGGAAACAGGCAAAACAGAAGACAGAAAGTGTCGTACTATGACCAGGATTGATGAGGGATTGTCGAAGTAAGGCTCGTCGGTGTAAGTTTAATGTAGCTTGTTGCTGAAGTTGCTCCTTAGAAGGACCTTTGTTGGCACTTGCATTGTTGTTGTCATAGGATTTAATGGCACCGCCGATGTTGGGTTTCGTTGTAATGTGACGCAAATTCAAATGTTGTTGGAGGGATGACAGAGAAGGGGTCGTTATGGAGGTCTTCAAACGTGAATAAATGGCTTTAGGGGTAGAGAAAGGGGAGTGCTGAGAAGAGGGTGGGGATAAGGACAAGGGAGAAGAGTTGCTCTTGTACTGGGAAGAAGTAGGGGAAGTTGGGGAGAAGGCTTCTTCGAGAGGTTCAGCGAACGATATGGTACTCTGGTGATGGTCCAGGTATCGCTGTTGGTCAAGCTGCTGCAAGTCATACGATGGAGAACTCGACAAGGTGGTTGAGGCCTGGTAATCACCACCCACTCCTATGCAGTGTCAGAGGATTGGTCTTCAACGAGTACACTTCAATATTACAACAAGAAAACTATTCATCAAGTTCCTTCATAAAACGAATTACTTCACTTCATAAACTTTAGAGCTGTAATTTTGTTTTAGTAGGCATTCAAAAGAGCAGAGACAATTAGTTTTTGAAATCTTAGGTCTAAACTGTTCAATATCGAAAGTAAAATAAATTTAAGTACCTATAGTCTATCCCTTCGCAGTATATTGAAACACATATTAAATATTTAGATCAAGGTTTCTCCCTACAATTATCCCAAAAATCGGGTAGATTAACATAAAAATTCGATATAAATAGGTTTTTAACTACGTTCATGTTCAAATTTTCCCTATTGAAGTAAATACGCGCAAAAAAAGTTAAGAAGGGGAAACTAATATAATGGCGTAAAAATTCTATAACTATCAGTGTTCAAAGGCTTCTAAGAATCCAACTAGCACTAATGGGAGACCTAAACTCACGCGCAAATCCACCATTCAATCTAAAAAATATGCTACATCAGGATATGCTTCTATATATCAATAGGAGTAGAAACATGTTTAAACAGCTATAGTTACTACGAAAATAAATATCCGAAATGGCAGATGAGTTCAGATTAAAAAATTTTGTTTTACAGATAAAACTTTTACGTCAAATCGTGTATCTCACACAAATGCGTAGCCATGACAGTGAGCGTAATTTTAATTGGAGGACGTCAAAATAATCAAGTAGGGATTAAGGGTATCCTAGGTAGTTAAATAACCTAATTCCTTGGCTGTGTATGATATGAATATGTATCTTCAAAAGAATTGTATAGAAATTAGAGATTTTCTTGGAAAATTATCAGCTTGTCAAAAGCAACAAAATAAGGTCAAATATTTAAATAAGTTGAGTTCCGATGGTGAATCAAAAATGAACATCGGATTAAAATCAACCAGGTCGTTTTCTCATAAAATTTAGAAGAAACATAACCCTGATGGAAAAAATTGGCGGAAAAAGAGAAAAAAATGACGGAAAGAAAGAAAAATGGAAAAATGAAATTTTCATGGAAAATTCAGAGTATAAAGTAGATTAAATTATTTGATTACGACGACAGATAAAGTTTATATATTTTTATTATAAAAACTTTTTTTTGAGACGAGTGAAATATTTTTAATTTAATGGCCTGGAATGATACAATTGTGACAAGCAGGACTATCTTGCCGATCGTGTCTTGATTTTTCACGGCTCAAGATAAAAAAAGACAAAATAATAATTCAAATTAAACTTCAAAATGAGAATAATTGAAAATATGGTACGACTTGAAACCAATCGAATCCGTGATACTTTATATACAAGAATAATTAGAACAAAATCTAATGCAAGGCTAAGATCTAGGGTACTTTTCTCCGCAAAAAGTGCTATGTTCGATCATGATCAAAAAATGACTCCAAAAAGTATTCATATAATTGAATGGATAATTTCATCCATTTATGAAAATGCATGGGAGTTTTACGCAAAATCTAGCATGCATATCTCAATACTTCGTTGCACATTAACTAACGTTGAAAAATCTACAGATATACATGATATATATTTTTTCGTAAGTTCCATAAATTGAATTATATTTTAGGTAGAATTTGAAATAAACTTCATTGGAAGTTCAGTAAATATCAGTTCAGTGAAGAATATAATTCGGTTAGAACTGATTAGATTAAAAAAAAAAGAAACTATTAAGACTGATTAGTATTGAGGTTTTATTTTTCATGATATTTAGATTAAGTTAACATTAACTAAGTAAAAAAGAAGACTCGAATGAACTCATTAACTCTCAACACTTCAGTGAAGTGAAAGTAACAGGGAACGCGGTTACATTTAATCAATGATCATCACATGATGTGACCGACACTGATACAATAACATGTGTAAGCGAGGGCGATGCTCAAAAGTTTATCGTGTAGAGACTTTTTCGGTGTTCATGTTAAGGATGATACAATGTAAACAAAACAATGTGAAAATAAAAGAAAATTACTGAGATATAGGGTAAAAATAAGGACAAGTTACCCTAGAAATGAAACATGGGTTAAGTTCCTACGGTTACTCCGAAACTTACCCCAAAATATGAGGCACTTACACAACTTTACCCGAAAATTAATATCTGCGGCAAAGTTTCAGTTGCACTGCTAGCGATGCGAATAAATCAGCTGAGCGTGTATTGATATAAAAAAACCTATTGTTAATATACTGAGTTATAACGGTTAACTGGTAATTTTTCATGTTTAAATTGCCAGAGGTGAAGAGGAATAAATTCATTTAAATCAAGGATCCTCCTACAGATAGACGACAGTTTAATATAAGTGAAACCACAGAAACTCAATAAATTAAATATTTTCCCAGAAAAAATTCGTAACTGTAAACTTGAATTTTATGAAAGTCTAAATATTTGATGCAAGTTTAAAATATTTATAAATATTGTTTCTAAATATTTAAAGCAACTGTTCGTACCTGGGGTAGCGTCCCCAGAGTCAGGGGAGTGCAGGTCGACACTGAGGGAGTCTGAGCGCGACCACGAGCCCCGGGGGGAGGCGTGGCCGCGCTTGAGGCTCTGCATCTCCAGCAGGAGCTCCTCGTGTCGCAGGCTCTGAACCTCCGCCTTCTTCTCCAGCTCCCGGACCTTCGACTGAAAAAACGAGCTTCAGCGAGACCAGTCAAGCTTCAGCGAGACCAGTCAAGCTTCAGCGAGACTAGTCAAGCTTCAGCGAGACCAGTCAAGCTTCAGCGAGACCAGTCAAGCTCCAGCGAGACNAAAATTCAACGCACAGCTCAACTATTCCAACATAAAATTCAACGCACAGCTCAACTATTCCAACATAAAATTCAACGCACAGCTCAACTATTCCAACATAAAATTCAACGCACAGCTCAACTATTCCAACATAAAATTCAACGCACAGCTCAACTATTCCAACATAAAATTCAACGCACAGCTCAACTATTCCAACATAAAATTCAACGCACAGCTCAACTATTCCAACATAAAATTCAACGCACAGCTCAACTATTCCAACATAAAATTCAACGCACAGCTCAACTATTCCAACATAAAATTCAACGCACAGCTCAACTATTCCAACATAAAATTCAACGCACAGCTCAACTATTCCAACATAAAATTCAACGCACAGCTCAACTATTCCAACATAAAATTCAACGCACAGCTCAACTATTCCAACATAAAATTCAACGCACAGCTCAACTATTCCAACATAAAATTCAACGCACAGCTCAACTATTCCAACATAAAATTCAACGCACAGCTCAACTATTCCAACATAAAATTCAACGCACAGCTCAACTATTCCAACATAAAATTCAACGCACAGCTCAACTATTCCAACATAAAATTCAACGCACAGCTCAACTATTCCAACATAAAATTCAACGCACAGCTCAACTATTCCAACATAAAATTCAACGCACAGCTCAACTATTCCAACATAAAATTCAACGCACAGCTCAACTATTCCAACATAAAATTCAACGCACAGCTTAACTATTCCACATAAAATTCAACGCACAGCTCAACTATTCCAACATAAAATTCAACGCACAGCTCTACTATTCCAACATTAAATTCAACGCACAGCTTAACTATTCCACATAAAATTCAACGCACAGCTTAACTATTTCAACATAAAATTCAACGCAAGATTTATTCTCTCGAATATAGACTATACAGTAAAATATTCCTAATACGGTGGAAAGAATATACGCTTAATATTAACATAATATTTTTTATGTTATACGCTTAATATTTACTTAAGAATATACGCTTAATATTTTTTGTTCCAAAACTAGAAAAGTCTGCAAACTTTTTCTACATTTTGTTTAATTATAAAAATAAAAATCTTTACATAGATAACACCATGAGTTAACCCATGTATAAAATTAGTAAATATTTTACGACTGATAACATGGGGAATTTTTTGTGTGGAATAAAAAATTACCATAGAATACAATACAAAAGCTTACTTACAAGATACATAAACAACGATTCTAAGAAATGAATGTATGAAAAAATTGTAGGTACCGTGTATTTCACGAGCTACAGATTATGTTTACAAAGCGACTCACGAAGAGGACATTTTCGACAGTNGAAATCGTCTTGGAGATCTAAGTAGATTACCCGCTGTCAAGTCTCAACAGAAAATCAACATTCAGCCGTCAGGCAAATTCGCTCTTCAGTTTCATTCTAATTAACCGTTCAACAGACAGTGACGGTTAAGATTTCTTTGTAATAAAATTGTAGCAATTAAAGCCATGACGATAAAAAACGCTATTTTCAAATAATTTGATCCTACAGGGATATAAATATAAATATTATTGCAAGGTGCATCTAATTCCTCTTTGGAAAGAGGCCACTTCAATGCAAAATTAGTGCTTTTTTGGAGAGGTTGCCGCTGTCGATAGAATATTTTACTAAAATTATTACAAATTTGAGAACTGTTTAGGACCGTCATTTCTCAATGACCCACCCTAGAGAGGTTGACACTAGAACTATGACCCACCCTAGAGAGGTTGAGGCTAGAACTATGACCCACCCTAGAGAGGTTGAGGCTAGAACTATGACCCACCCTAGAGAGGTTGAGGCTAGAACTATGACCCACCCTAGAGAGGTTGAGGCTAGAACTATGACCTACCCTAGAGAGGTTGAGGCTAGAACTATGACCTACCCTAGAGAGGTTGAGGCTAGAACTATGACCCACCCTAGAGAGGTTGAGACTAGAACTATGACCCACCCTAGAGAGGCTGACACTAGAACTATGACCCACACTAGAACTATGACCTACCCTAGAGAGGTTGAGACTAGAACTATGACCCACCCTAGAACCATGACCAACCCTAGAGAGGCTGACACTAGAACTGTGACCCACCCTAGAACTATGACCAACCCTAGAGAGGCTGACACTAGAACTATGACCCACCCTAGAACTATGACCAACCCTAGAGAGGTTGAGACTAGAACTATGACCCACCCTAGAGAGGCTGACACTAGAACTATGATCCACACTAGAATTATGACCAACCCTAGAGAGGCTGACACTAGAACTATGACCCACACTAGAACTATGACCCACCCTAGAGAGGCTGAGACTAGAACTATGACCCACCCTAGAGAGGTTGAGACTAGAACTATGACCCACCCTAGAACTATGACGCACCCTAGAAAGGCTGACACTAGAACTATGACCCACACTAGAACTATGACCCACCCTAGAGAGGCTGTCGAGGTTGAGACTCGCCCCAGTGGACAGTCCTGCTGTCCAGCCCTCGCCCTGAGTGAAGCCCGCCGAGCTCGTAGGCACGCCCGTGTTCACCTGTCATTCATTAATTCATTAATGTCATTCATTATCGTGCACGTTATAGGGACACAATAATTCATTATCGTACACGTTATAGGGACACAAGAATTCATCATCGTGCACTCTAAATGGACACAAGAATTCATTATCGTGCACATTAAAGGGGACACAGTTTCACTATCGCGCGCTTAAAGGGGACACAATAAATCATCATCGTGCACTTTGAGGGGATAAAAGCAAAATTAAATCGTTTTGGGATGAACTTTAGTCCATTCATTAAAGTCTATATAATGCGATTTTTGCAAATTTAACTATGAATTAGAGTTATGAAATTTTATTACTAGCATTTTTCTCGCTGACCTTTGAATTTGCAAAATTTTCCACCAAGACATTTTTCAGAATATAAACGTACAAAATTTTCAACAAAAACTTGAAAAAAATAATAGCTGTGTAGTAACACAAACTTTATACAAAAACTCAGTTTTTAACTGAAAGCTTTATGGTTGGGAAAACATATCAAGGCTTTTCGACTTTCAAGATAAAACTGAACATTAGGACAAAACAAGTTATTTTCAGACCTTTAAAAATTTAGGCCGAAGCCTTTTCTAGAAAATTGAAAAACACAAGCGAAGGTTTCCAATGAGGGATGACTTTGTGGATGGCGATGAAGAAGAAAGATTATTTGGTCGGTGCGAGAGGAAAGCAAGATAAGGCAGTGACAAACTATCGATCATTTCTCTTGAGCAGACAAACCTAGTTTTAAATTACAGCCGAACTAGAGGCGCCATTGATGAGCTATATTAAAAAGATGATTATAGATGAAAAAAAATTTTGTAAAAGTTTTGTATCTAATTACTACTTGGCAATGATGACAAATGCGTTACTAAATGTAACAGAGATCGTGAATAATGGGTCAATGATTAATGAATAATTAATATCATAGGCGTTACTAAATGTATCAGAGATCGTGAATTTCGGGTCAATGATTAATGAATGATTCATGTCACCGGCGTTACTAAATGTACCAGAGACCGTGAATTTAATCCTGAAGCGTGGAATGACTTCAAAGTAGGTTTAACGCTTTGCAGAGCGAATCTTAAATTAAAGATACATTTAAGTTGCACCACCAAATTAAGAACGATTTACGACCGTAGCATTACGAAAAAAGCTGCCAAACGCACACAAAACGTGAAGGGGCACAAGTGAAAGAATTTTGGATTAGTGAAAGGAATAGGACAAAGAAACTTATTTAAAATTAGAATTAAAAAAATGAGAACTCACATTTTGAAGATTTTGGATCTGCTTCTGCAAGTCGGAATTCTGAAGAGTGAGCTCGGTGTTCTTCTCGATCACCTTGGCGAGTTGGCTCTCCTGCCGAGGCATTGAAAATCAATACAATTACAAGAACACACATTCATTAAAATGCTGCAGGAATAGAGAAAATATGAGTTTGAAAGCCCAAAACCTACAGAAGCAAGATCGATATGATTTTAACATTCGTAGGTATGTTTTTTTTTGTGTGAAATGTCCACATACATTCCATTCCATAAATTCCATTCTATATATATGTACATAAATACCTATACATATATTTTTTACAGTAGTTCCAGGCATTTTTACAACAATTACAACATTCTACCTCGCTGCTCAAATGCTACCGAACTATCGGGCGGTATAAAAAGGCAACGTAACATATAAGAAAAGTATAAGCGTTTTATAGTAACTAAATAAAAAACTACAATAATTTACATAGGTAAGCAGATAAATAATAAATGCAAGCAAAAACTAAGAAAAATGTTTCTCAACGCTCGATGCTTTGATACGGGTAATTATGATGCATAATAAGCGTAAATTACAGCTATAAATGAAGTTAAAAAAACTAAGAACTTTCATCACCATTTTTATAGAAATAAAGCGATTAATTGTGAACTTATCCTGACATATGGTGCGTCAAAAAATTTTTTTGGGGTAAAAGAAGTTACCCTCAATATGTCAACATATTCAGTGAACAATAGCTATTGCCGGACGAAACAACATACTGAGTATTGGAAAAGAGCAGATTAAAATTGGAGATGAAACAAATGCATTTGAAATTTGTGGGGTGGCAAAAGCGAAATAGTGTAAATAAAGAAAAAAAAACTAGTCTAAAGATACGCGAATTCAAAATTTAATGCTAGAAATTAGAATATGTGCAAGGTGACATTGCAAGAGGCAAGCCTTCGGTATCACATGGAAAAAAGCGGACTGAAAACAATCTAAACTAAACATGCATCCGAATATAGGTTGGTTGCCAACTTGCGATGAGTTAACTAAATTCGCAATTTCTCCATATCGAATATAATAAAAATACTCGTATATGTACAGTCATTAACAAAGAAAATTGCACACAAAAAATGACAGTTTGTTGATAATTGATTACCTGATAAAGATCTGGGAAGAGGTCCGGCTGCAGCGTAAATGAAAGCTTTTTTCATTGTCATGAACACAATGTTATAGCAGAACATTTTTTTAATAGGCAAATAGTGACGCAAACATTTACTGGGTCAATAACAATATAACATCAGAAAAATGGCCAGGAGTTCGCTTCAGTTTTTATGAATCATTTGTTTTAATTCCTGCAATTGGATAGACATTCCATTCATGACCAAATTATTATATCGGTAAATAATCAGAAACTAGCCTGATCACCAGAATTATTTTTGAGAAACTGGCCCCTAACACCAAATTATTTTTGGGAAATTTGTCTACATCACCAGAACTTTTTAAAAGAAACTCTCCTGTACACCAGAATTACACAACGGAAACTCCACCGCAACTTCTCAGAGCAATGCTGGTTACCTCCACAATTGCCTAAAGTGAAAGCAACTCACCAGGTCTTGACAAAGCTCGTTCTTGAGTTTGAGTTTGTCTTTGAGAGTAACACACTCCAAGTCTTTCTCCTGGACGTGTTTCTGCAGCGTATGGTGCTGCCTGGTGAGCAGATCAAGCTCCTGCAGTTGATATTGCAGTTCCCCCTCCTCGCTCACACCGCCGTACTCCCCACACTGGACCGCCTCACCGGACTCCCCCAGAGGGCGGGTGTGGCACCCGTTGCCTGCGTGGGCCCCAGTATACGAGCCGTTGGACCCAGCACCGTTTTGACGTTGTTGACCCTGAATGTATAGTCAAATTATAGCGATTATGGCGCTGCCTCTTCAATGTCTTCACTTTTAAAGACATCATATTTTTCATAATCATATCAAGATCATCATATTCATATTTTTAAACGAAAATTAAGTCCTAGTCATAGGAACGGCTTTTTCTTAAACTTTTCGATTGGAACACAAATGAACCGTTGAGAATTTTTCAAAATAAGACTTCAAAAAGCGTATTATTGAATACATCTTAAATTTTGGCCTATAATTACCGGCTTGTTATGAATAAATGCTTTATTCTATGATTAATTTTTGCCTACGTAATAATAAACACAATAAATTATAGGTTAAGCGATTGGGACTGAGAAACCAAGAACTGCATGTTCAACACCCAAAATACAACAAATGGACAATCATTATTTTTTTGTAATCTACAAAAAAAAAACAATTATCTGCTTGCGAAGAATAATTCGTAGCGCACGGTGGATGGAAACTGCGATGAGAACTCGCGAATAAAGAAAAAAAATCGGAAGAAGTTACTAAATATGATGTGCACAAATGGTGGTAAATCTCAGACCAAAATCTCGTCAGGTTTATTAGTGTCCATGACGATTGCCGACGATCAATGCGTAATTATGCATAAAATGTGAGTTTAAAGTAATGCAGCTGGGAAGATTAAGAAAGCTTAATTAAGCCATAATTTGAATTCTTTCAATGTTGAATAGTCACATCCACGCTTTAGATACGACAAATGATATGTACAGTACAAAATTGATAAAAATGTAAAAAACATTAATTATAAAAATAATTGAAAAAGAGTGACCCAAGTTCATATTATATTATGTACTCGTCTATTCACTGCGGCTCAGTGCTGAATGTCTAAAACAATCTAAGCTTTAGTAAAGTTAATTGAGCAATTAAGTAAAGCTAAGCTAATAGTCTGGTGCAAAGCTCAAGACAAATTTTCGCGCAAACTTCCGGATTTCTTCCGCACGCAACTCGTATCCTGCCGCGAGCAACATGTGGCGTGATCCCGAAAAAAATGTGTTTAGTTTCATACTAATTCTAAACAGTAATTGTTCTCGTGAAGTGATAGCGTTTAATTTGAGTACCACTGTCTGTTCCAATTAGCTAACAATTATAACTTGGCACTCCGCAAGCATAATTAACTCATCCCGAGAAAATACTTTGCTGTTGTTTTAGTTTTAATAATATTTCGCATTGATTGAATTATCTCTATGGTTCTTTTTGCGTAGTTTACCACTCCATCATCGATGGTAATTTTATTGATAGCTGATAAAAATCCCTATACATCATTTGCACTTACGCATATTCATTGTGAATTTTGATGTAGCTAAAATTGACTTGTATGTTAGAGGAAAAGAATTAGGAAACGCGTTTTGAAATAAGTTCATCTTGGCGCACTATTGATAAATTCTTACGTCGAATGAGGAAGATATGAAAATTGCATGCAAAATCCACACATGCCACTTCAGTAACAAGCTCATGTTATTGAACATTGTGAACAATGCAGTAGGATATGGCTATATCTATAAGGTGGTTGGACAGGCTTACACCAGAGACATATACTGTTAACTCATGCACTAATATTTGCAATCATCGGCTGAAATATACTCTAAATGTACAAGACTCGTCAGTTAATTTTNAATCATCGGCTGAAATATCCACTAAATGTACAAGACTCGTCAGTTAATTTTGTTCATAATTGTACTACAAATCACTGCTATTGGTATCTATATGAAAATAAATAAAATCTGGTACGAGTAAAAAATGCGACTTAAAAGAGTAATTTAATGCGTATTGTAGTCAGTTGGTTCCCGCTGAGTTGACGTGCAGGGCAATCGTTAGAGACAAATACGTTGATAAGAGCGTCACATTAGCGGCGGTAGCGATATTTAATGAGCTATTAAGTGCAAGCTAAGGGAGTGAAGTATAGAAAATCTTTAAATAACTAAATACATTTTCTTGCTGAGCATTTCTTGCGAAACACAAAGATTTGAAGGTCATTAAAAGAAAATTAATTTGCAATGGTTAATTAAGGTTTGGTAATTTTGAAATATTACACCAACATCAATTTACTTGAATATGCGCATGTAGTACGGTTCTATTCAGCCNATGTGTATAAGAGACAGCGCTTACACTGCCCTGAGAGTAGCAGCAGTTGCAGGTTAAGAACAGGAAGGACGAGTGGACAGCAGCAGCAACAACAGCAGCAGCAGCAGCAGCAGCAGCAGCAGCAATGTGGTTGTGGTAAGGAAGGTGCCGCGGGTGCGTGGCATAAGATACTGCAGTCGCCGACGATGCTGCTGCAGTCGGGATGGTCTCGTGAGACAGACTTGAAGCTGTCTCTTATACACATCTAGATGTGTATAAGAGACAAAGACACGAGTACAAGCTCGAATGATAAACAGCAGATGGAACAGTATTAATGCTGTCTCTTATACACATCTAGATGTGTATAAGAGACAGGGCAGAAAGCGTGTGCACCTCTTTTGATTATGAGGAGATCGTCTACAACGTGAAGGATCATAGACAGACAAGCGGAGGTGGTAGTAAGCGAGACGTCACAACCAAAAACACTTCTCAGGTCCCATGGACTCTTATTACTCACAACGTGGTCATCTAAGGAAGAGGGATGCTCTTGCATTTAAGGATTAGAAGTTAATTATAAGTAGCTGTATACCATCTCTATTGAATATCAATGCAATGTGGACGATCGTATCTCCAAGATACGGGATTTCATTAGGATTCTAAAGACTAATTGCCTATTTTTCCTGTACAACTGAAAAAAGTGGATGAAGATGTCAAAAACCCAGACTCAGCAAGTCACCCTGTCAGAAAACTGTCAATACACAAGAGAATCGTGATAGGAATATGACAATATTTTAGCAAATGTTTTGGTTCACCGTCATGAAAATTCAGTATAGAGGAAGACACGAGTACAAGCTCGAATGATAAACAGCAGATGGAACAGTATTAATGATGTATGATCTTTAGATTGTCTTATTCGTCTGTCTGGCAGCAAAGTGGGAAAATGTAGTTCCTAGTACATAAACAAATACTTTCAAAATGTAATTTCAAAACGTTTTAACATGCTAAAAATTCCTCAGCACTTTCAAACACAATTATTTGTACAGTTGAAAAATATTAACATAGTTGCAATAATAATAACCAATGGCAAGTCCTTTCATTTTGATAACCTTCAATAATCTCTTTGTATAGTATTTGATGAGATTCGCAGTGGTATCCGCTTTGATATCATTCCATTCTTCAATTGCGACTTCCTGGCGATTATTGGGAGCCCGAGTATTGATGCTAACTTTCAATTCTTGCCATAAATTCTCAATTGGGTTCAAGTCGAGGCCATTTGCTAGCCATGGAAGAACAGTGGCCTTCGTTTTATCAAGCAAGTGGTCGTAGCTTCCGACGTATGCTTCGAATCATTATATACTGCTGAAATATCCATCGTCGTCCAAGAACCAAACTCCGACCGAATGTTTGCGGGTTTTCATTCAAAATCGATATATAAACATCTGAGTTCATCATTCCATCAATTGAAACTAACTTCCCAGTGCCACTTGGAGAAAAAACCCCAAAACTTCATTGATCCACACCCAGGTTGCATGGGATTGTGTTTTTTCGGAAGGAACGCTTCCCCCATTTTTGCGTCAAATCTTCTTCGAATTATTATGCCCAAATAGCTCAATTTGTGTTTCTTCACTCCATAATACTTGGTTCCATAAGCCTTCCTTTTTGTCCACGTAATAAATTGCGAATGAAAAACGAGCAGCAACTTGACGTCGTGTGAGAAGTGGGACTCGTCGAGGTCTGCGTCCATGCAGGCCATTCTTGTTGGCAACGCTGTATGGTACGCTGACTCACGTTTATTCCCTCACTGGCTAACCTATTGACAATGCCCTTCAACACCTCTATTGGATTCATATCTACCTCATGACACAGTTTTTGAACGGATCGTTCCGATAGTTTAGACTTCCGTCTTAACCCAGGCAGCGTGTGTACAGTACTAAACTCTACAAACTTCTTTTTCACCGATTGTACGGTGTGTCTTGGAATTTTAAGGCGTTTCAAGATGCACCCATTACCATTGCCAGATTTGTGTAGGTCAATAATTTGTTTCACAAATCCACACTGAATTCTTTCGCCTTGCCCATCTTGGAGTTTGCAGTCAAATGGCAGGAACCGACACCTCTAGAATGAAGTCAATAATTATGACGTCCCGATAATTATGTCCACTGGGATAATATCAAACAGGATGTCACTGCAAATCTCCTCAAAAAATATAGAAAGAGACTGTTGGAGGTTTTCAAGATGAAAGGACATGCCAATGGTTATTATTATTGCAACTATGTTAGTATTTTTCACCTGTACGAATATGATTGTGTCTGAAGTTGTTGGAGAATTTCAGCATGTCAAAACGTTTCGAAATTACATTTTGTACGAATAATTTTGTCTCTAACCGTAATTGAGAACTTTGTGGTAGTGTCAAGTTATTCACTGTGCCGCAACAATTAGGACCTTGCGAACTATAATGCTTATAAACCTTCATTAAATGTTTTTTTTAACGAATAGTATGACAAAATTTAGGGTAATGATTTCTTTTATTACAACTAGAAACTTCATAACATAAAACCAGATTAGTAATTTATTGATGTTCTAATTGCCCCTTTTTCTGCAATTTCAGTTCGATTGTCTAGCAAGTTTAAGTTATTATTGGAAAGTATCTCCTTCAATGAAATGTTTAGCAGTGATTGAGAAAGAAAAACGTTAAGATGAGAGAATTTTTGCCAATGATCGATAAAAATTAATTGTGAACGAAACTAATTAATCTCTTTAATACTGTCATGAAATTTAAGTTGTAATCAAGAATAGATAAAAGCTATTTTCGGGTTGATTGGCGATGGAAGAGCTCACACTTCGAAAAAAATGTAAAAAACTCCAGTTTTCAAGGTAATGCATGATGGAATGACACATGCTAA